CCCAGGTCTGTCCATTCTGTAGCTTCTTCGTCGCTTCCATACAGCAAAATCTCATGGAGTTAGCTGACACTTGTGCAAGAAGTCATACAAATATCTTGAAATAACGATTGGATACGTTGCCCACATGACGCGTACGTGTCTGGATAAATGTGGAAAAACTTGTTTACGATCAATGATCAACCCAAGGAATAGCTGGCCATGAAGTGATCGTCGACTTGTATGTTTACAAATTTGAACAGACGTATACATCCACATGATAAAGTATCACGTTCTCACACGTCTCCTTTTTTCAAAACGGGTGGCAAAGATTTGGACACGACTGTGCACGTCCTTCTTGTCACAAACAGGTCGGTGCTGAACCCCCGTTACGAATTCTTCATCATTACGAGTACCTTGTGGGTAAGAGAACCCATAGAATTGTTTGTCGATACAACATCGTATTCTGGCGAAAGGACTACAAAGGTCCATAATCTGCGTGTAATTTTGACTACGTTACGACGATCAGTTGCACGAAACATCGCTCAGGCGGACCATAACACGGACTTTTTCGACTCATGAGCATCGATCAACCTTGGAGTCATCTCAGCACAGTCAACGTTGTCCAACTGCTTTATTGACGGTAACAATCGTGGCTGTCACACAATAGCAATTTGGATAAATTTTCCATCAAAAACGTCTGCAGCAATCAAAACTATAGACTACAGCCCTGAATGAGCCTGTTTTGAGGATCTATGGTAAAGTTATTACTGTTGAAGAGTGATGTTGCGGTTACGTGTGTAGGATGTATATTTTATATGTTGTAGAGTTGTATTGCAGTTACTTATAAGTTAGGATTGCATAACTTGTCCAACATGCATATCGGCTCAGTGGTATGTGAAGGAGGATTCTACGCTACTGGTACTGGTTCAAACCCCTCCATGGTCAAATTTAATCGTGGCGGACACCCATGACCCGGTGTTCGCGGTTCACCAGAGCTTTGACCTACCCGAGGCTACGTCCTCCACCCCACGCAATCACCTTTTGTTCTGCATAGGCTGTAGTGGAGTTCTTAACATAGGTATTTACAAGGAGTAACTACCTGTGGTACAGACAGGGCAACAAATCGGTGGCTGAGAGTCACCGGCTTCTTATGGCCATTTGTTTTGAGATAACAAATTATTCAAAATACAACTTACTTTTCGGTTTTCATCCCCAGCCGTAAGCCATCTTCAAGTTAACGACAACTCCATAACCTAGGTAAATCAACAATTACACGAAGCTATGAGATCGACAAATAGCACAAAATACCGTCGCAATTTACACCCAGTCTCATCTCAAAGTTCGTCACTATATCTGGTAAAATATCTTGTCCTGATGCACCACAGACTATGAAGACCGTATTCATGACGAAGTCCGTTGAAAAGCGCCAAATTAAAGATTGTACAGCTTTGAAGGTAATATGCTACTTTTTTCGTATAAAGTGCATACTTTCGGAGAAGCTTTATGGTTACTAAAGATTCTTTTGTATTGTAGGAGAAGATACTCATGACACGAAAAAAATCTTACTTCGGGGATCTCAGCAACGCGAGCTGCTACAGCTGTTGCTTCAACCTGATGTTTGCCGCAATACTGTCCCGTCGTTGCAGTTTCGCTACAAGGCTCTTCACGCTCCTTTGTCCACTTGCAATACAGATCTTCGGTGTGAAGTTTGCAGTAAGATTTGTCAGACTCTGCAACGACTTCGGAGCACATACATTCAGACCCCAGCAAAGGGTGCCGCTCACACGAAATTCGAGGAAGGCTTTCGGTAGCAATGTCAGCCAACTCACACCGAGTCAAGCACCCAAAGCTTGCGTGGTCTTCGAGAACAAAATCAGTCGATACAAAGAAGTTTGATACCTAATATCACGGTGCGCTAATTGATGAAAAAGTATTTGAAGACGTAGGAATAAGTCCAAAGAATTTCAACACTTTTCATCGACAAGTCTGATGCTCATGTAACAGACTCTAACTTGCCCACGACAGATTTGCTACAAGAGCAGGTGGCTCGTCAGGTTTGTTCGTGACTGTTAAAGAAATTGTCCATTACCATTGATCTAGCTACAGTAAGACTTGTCTAAACCGATACAGTCTTATCTTTTATTCCGGATTAACGGATAAACAGTTAAGTCACGAGCTCGTCCATACTAAATCTGATAAACCAACAAAACTTACTTACTACTATCTGGTAAATGTACTCCGATTTCCAATTTAAAAAAGGCGTGAGTTATATAAATGTGTGTAATTAACTACACACCTGCCACACCATTTTGGTGTGGCTGTACTTTGTGTACATTGATGGGTTGATGTGATCGCTTTTAGTGAGGTTCAATGGGTACACATCGTACGTGGTCAGTATACTTGGGTTAAGCATGATGAATACATATGCTTATATGTTAGAAAGCTACAGAGCAGATAAATAGTGATTAGCACTAAGTATAGGGTAGGTGATTCTATATTTAGTGCTAGAAGATAAAAATTAGATTAATCAGTTTGAAACCTGCTGTGTATAGCGTCAGTTGCTTGAGCGTCTTTCTTTAGGAAAGGAAATTAGACTGGTATCATTGAGACGTGGTCGTTACAACAAAAAAGCATAAGCTTGTAAGGCTATCCTTTAGAGGATGTTCATCCTGAGACGTAAAGCTTGTCTTTCTTTGCATAAGTAGCTTTGCTGCGGTAGCTCTGCTACACCTGGTAACACTTGTATTCAATCCCGTATCTGCGTTTGTGATTACTTCTCTGAGAGAATGGATATCAAAGACATGCCCGCAGTTGGCATATCGTGACAAGAAGGGTTGCAAAAGCTGCTCCCTATCCTTTACCCAAAGGACGACAAATACCTCATTGCCCAAGGCAAAGAAAAGGTTTCACGCGTATTCATATGCTTGAAGAGTACAACAACGCTCTGGTAGAGCATGTAAAGGCACATATGTCTTCATCTGCGCCCTCGCCCATGGCGACTGTGGCGCAATATGTGGTTCGTAGATTAAGTCCTATTCAGCTGGAAGTCGATAAGCTCGACGGCAAAGAAGGGATATGTTTTGCCGGCTAGGTTTGTATCCTATATTATCGCTGAACCAAATCGTGTTGGCTTGGCCACGGGCAAGTTAGGTGGTTTAGCCATGTACTAGGCATATACATGCGGTCCATCACTCCAAGATGTTTTCCCAACATGGGCAGATCTGGAAATTAAGATGACATGAATTAAGTCAAACGCATCGAAATCAATCGTGATTTTTTTAATGTCGCCAAGGCAAGCGTGAGCTTGCGGCAAATGTTCAAAAGTTGAGAGCTCTAATTGCCGCCATGGTCATAAACCCTCTGTCTAAGGCAGTGACCGTCACGACCTTTATGGAGGGCTTCTGAGTTGGTGTTGCCAGAACGGAAGTCTTTCGGTAAATCCATCCTCATTCTAGGAAGTTTTTGGAGTGTCATTTAATACCGAGACCAACTTAAAGGCCGCCAGGCCTGCCACTGTATAGCTACTCGTCTGATGGTTCTGCTCCCATTGACTGTAGTCAGGTGAAAGAAGATTTAAGCTTTAAGCTGCGGAGCAGCAATGTGCGCAAATTTTATATTTGCAAGAGCACAGGCCATTTGATGGCTTAATACTCCGCCCAAAGGCGTGTATAGCCTCGAAGGGCCGACGCCCATGGTAAACCCTCAGGTTTGCCGCAAAGGCACGGTGGAGTAGTTGCAGAGCGTTCTTCTGAGGAAGAACTGAGTTTTGTTAAGCATCAGAGGTAAAAGTAAACAGGTCTAAGCCTTAAAGAGACTTGAACTCTCAAAAACGGAATGAGAATGCAATTCAGGCTTGCTAATTGTTGAAGGGACGGTCAAAAGGCTTTGATAAGCTATATACCATTTTGATCGGTTAGGGAATATCGGCAAACTATGCTAACCGTGCCACCTTGGAAGGTATTCAGCAATGTGCTGAAGCGCTAAGAGCTCATGAAAGTGACACATTCACGGTTCACTTAGCGACGAGTACGCGGGTTACGGTACCCAAAGTCCCTATGGACTTAAATGTAAAGTTCTTGGACTTCAACAGCATGGAGCACTGATTGGTCTTAGACCTAGATGCGAGGTATAATCTTATCCTAGGCATGGCTAGAAAGTCGTGAGCCATGGTCATGTGAAGTTACCTGAATGTTTTGAAGACAGCACTCAGGTGACTTGACATGATCTTCTAGGTTCAGCAGCTCGTCACCACTGACAATTGGACCATCCTCCTCACACTTCGGCTTACAGCCACACACACTCCACTCATGATGTTTAGTAATTTATCATATGTCATCTAGTGGCTATTCAACCGCACTACTAACAAACAGCCTCCTCATGGGCTATGGCCTCACACTTACAGTGTCTACAAAGTCAGATAAACTGACATTACGCATATTGACCGATTTAGTCCAATATTTCTTTTGTGCCAAAGCGCTTTATATTCTTGGCGGAGGTGGGTTCGAGACTTTCCAGAGCCCTACCAGGAGCAATGCGCGTTAAGTCTAAGTTACGCCTAAATTCTGGTAAGTGCAATTTTACTGGCCCCTATACAGGCGGACTTGGCATAGTACATATATTTCATAAGTAAGTGTTCACTTACGTGGGATAGCGGGTACTATGTATCGTAGCCTATTTGCTAATCAGTGGGTATTAGTCCTATTACTAGCCAATAGGATGAGATCCTTAATTTGAGTGTCCTTATAAAATTTCAGAGACCACTCGTACTTAGAATAATTGTCTTAAATGAAACATTGTTGTAATAAGTTTACTTTCACGTTCAATAAGCGCTTGATTTTTACACTTCGATGTGTAACGTTAGTGTTAGCTTAAGTAACGGGATCCTAGCACTTCGTAGTCCTGTAACGAAGATAAGCGCTCTGCCTATACACGGCGGATGCTGGATTACAGTCTTTCAGCATCTGAACGCTTTCGAGTGGGAAGATCCATGTCATTAGATGATAGCCCTCTGTCCTGCGTAATACCGTAGTCGTCATGCTTAAGATACTCTTGAGCAGCTACAGCGTGTAGCTACCCAAGACTTCGTCAACCGCGAATTGACCATTTGCGTCGGCAAGCTTCAACTTCGACGGCTATCATAGGTACTGACGTCGTCAAGCTCGCTCCCCATCTTAGCGGTGAGATGCGTCTTGCGCTTAGTCAAAGGATGTGCAAGGCTGGCATCGCCGCCAGCTTAAGTCAGAATTTATACGCTCCCACTTCCTCTTGTCGAAATTCTCGGGCACGGCAAACTAGTGGGCAATCGGCAAGCTTGTTGCCAGTTCGGGATGCTTCCCAGATTGAATATACTTTAAGACGACTTACGCTTGCCGTTTAAGCCTCCGCAGGATGGCATCACCATCTCTCAGCTTTTTGGGCGCTGAACCAGCCCAAAAGGTCGATTGTAGACGATCTTCAGCATGCACGTCACCTGGCGTCGTGCATCCTCAATTCCGATTGCTACGGTGACGCTGACCTACATGATCGTCACGGAATGAACGCTTAGCATCTGCGCTCTGTTTGATGTAAAATTTAACGTAGCATCTGCGCTCTGTTTGATGTAAATATAACGTCGTCTGTAGTAGCACTCGCTATCGTTCGTGCGAAGACATCAGCGTTGTGGCTTTTGTTAATGAAATACCCTTCTATTTTTCCTTATGCTCAGGGGTCTAAGCCCATGAGGCTGACGCGATCGACCACGCCCGTTAAACTCAGCACGATTCTGGACACGGATTTCGGATGCCAGTGGAGACTTAGTAAATAAATTGTTCTCATTGTAGTATCTCGTCGCCACGCCCAAATTTTGCCGCGCGGTCGCACCATTACTTGCTGTCACCGACTTTGAAATCTTCGCCAAAGCTGCTCAAAAGACAACAAGGCTACGGAATCCAGTAAGCGCAGAGTGTTCTAACGACCTTCAGAAACGCCATGCTTTCCTAGCCATGCTTTGCATGACGCACAGCTCACTGCAAAACACGTCTAGCAAAGATACTTTGTTGAAAAAAGTGTGCTTAGTGCTCACGTTGACGGCGTGACACGTCCACTTATAACTTTCATGGACTCAGGCGTGACAAAAAATCCGTTCGCTCTAAGTATTTTATCGGTTTAATTGTCTCAGTTACGTGTCTGCGAGTCCTTTGATTACGGCGCAGATGAAGACACATGTGCCTTTACATGCTCTACCAGAGCGTTGTTGTACTCTTCAAGCATATGAATACGCGTGAAACCTTTTCTTTGCCTTGGGCAATGAGGTATTTGTCGCCCTTTGGGCAAAGGATAGGGAGCAGCTTTTGCAACCCTTCTTGTCACGATAGGCCAACTGCGGGCATGTCTTTGATATCCATTCTCTCAGAGAAGTAATCACAAACGCAGATACGGGATTGAATACAAGTGTTACCAGGTGTAGCAGAGCTACCGCAGCAAAGCTACTTATGCAAAGAAAGACAAGCTTTACGTCTCAGGATGAACATCCTCTAAAGGATAGCCTTACAAGCTTATGCTTTTTTGTTGTAACGACCACGTCTCAATGATACCAGTCTAATTTCCTTTCCTAAAAAAAAGACGCTCAAGCAACTGACGCTATACACAGCAGGTTTCAAACTGATTAATCTAATTTTTATCTTCTAGCACTAAATATAGAATCGCCTACCCTATACTTAGTGCTAATCACTATTTATCTGCTCTGTAGCTTTCTAACATATAAGCATATGTATTCATCATGCTTAACCCAAGTATACTGACCACGTACGATGTGTACCCATTGAACCTCACTAAAAGCGATCACATCAACCCATCAATGTACACAAAGTACAGCCACACCAAAATGGTGTGGCAGGTGTGTAGTAAATTACACACATTCATTTAACCCCGTTGCGACTGCTACGTCATAACATTTCGAAGAAATATCTCACACAATTGTATGTGCGACCACGCTCATGACAAGATAATTGACAAACAATGATTCAACGTCTATCCGTCATCGTAGAAGCTTCACCAAAATGAACTTTTTTCGCGACTTAAACAATTTACTTCCTCAAATTATACAAGTGTTCAAAGCGTACAAAATGTTGCAACAATCTTGATCATGTTCACCCTGAGGCCCATAGTTGTGTGCTTTACACCGTGCAATCTTATTGTTGTAATTGCAAATCCACAAAGGCATTGCACCCTTTCATGACACTACAATGGCCAACTAATATAGAAAAAATAGTATCGTATTTTCTATTGAATAGTTACAAATGGTATGATGTAGTCATAATGTCTCATGCCAATCAAAAAATAAACGGTCGTGTCAAAAACCTTTTCTGCATACTTTATTACCAATATCTTGACGTTGAAGTTGTTCAAACTCGCCATGAATTCGTTAAGTAAAGAGCATGTCTTTTATTGTCAACCACCTAATAAATGAGTCCATTTGTCATTTTGCCTTAAATAGAACAAGAAGAAGTGATGGTTCGAGAGTATGATGATAGTCATAGCAGTCGTCGTGGAAGACAAGGACAAGGTCGAGGAAGAGGACGACGTCGTGAGCATGACAATCGTTATTCAAGAAGCAGTCGAGGAAGAGAAAATGACGAAGTTGTTGGTGGAAAGACGCGTGGGTATCACGTTCAGCGGCTTCCGCTCAATCCATTAAACCTCCAGTTTCTTCGATCCGTGCTCAAAAATTGTCCTAACCATAAGCTTCAAGAAATAATAAATCAATTGAAAGAAACGTGGCTACATTGCTGGCAAGGGGTTGAGAGTCTACCGTTGGATGCTCTTAGAATACTTTTGTCGGCATTAGCTTGTTTGCTATTTTCAGCATCTGTTGCTCCACCTCTTTCGACAATAAGTAATGCCGTTCATGTCTTTCAAAGTCAAGTGATGCCATCTATGGACAATACATTAGATGGCAATGATACCACCCTTGAAGGTGTTGAACTCGTTGAACGCGTTGTCTTGAGATTACTTCAAGTTTACATGGGACTTGAAAAGAGATGATGTAAAACATGCATTAGATGAAATGATTGCAGAAGCAGACTCGAGTTTAAAAGCATAGTATTCGACTGCAAACTCACCGTCTAGTGGGTGGTCGACTGACGACGTTACTGAATGAGATGGAAAAGTCATGGAGCATTAAAGTCAAAGATCGAGAAACAGTAGAAATCCAGGAGAATTTGACGTGCGTAGATTGACGACATCCCACAGTGGCGTGGCTGGCAGATCAAAAGACTTTCAGTCAGCATTACTGCCGAAGCTGCAGCTTCCTTGCACGAATGAAGGCACAGTTTACCAAGATAGTGACAAATATTTTTTGACGATTGTAAAACTATGGAGTGGAATGACGTTTGTGGAAGGTAACAACGCCTTATCACCGCATTGCACCGTAAAGATGGGGGACAAGGTATGTGATCAACCGCTGTGGCCGTTCCCAGGTACAAGTGTTGCTATGAATTGTAGAGATCCGCAGTGTGCTCGGTTTGCAACGTTTTTGTGCGCACATAAACTTCATGCTAAAGGTTATTGCGGCAAGTGTGCTGGAGAGTACCAGCAGAGATTGCGAGGCCCACCGTCCAGGTACGCGTCGACGCATATCTATGACGGGTCCATTTCGCAGGTCAAGTATGACGGGACCATTTCAATCGAGCACGTGGCATCACGAAGACCGCCGTTGAGTCCTATTCATTGGAAAACGACGACTATTAAGTCCTACCTAACCTGGTAGGTGTCGTGAGACTTGCTTATCGTAGCGCATCGTTAAGAAGTTTGGATAAGATTGATTGGGGAGAAATTATTTTCCAAGGCAAAAGTTTCGATGAATTTAAAGCTCGCGAGAGAGGATGCTTAACGTTGCGTCTACTGCAGTACCTCGATGAGCCAGGTAATGCGATGCTGGCACAAAATCCGAGTGTAGGAAATGCTGTGGCAATTATTGATTGCCAAACGTTTGTTCCGGATTTCATTCCAGTGCTGAAAGCGTCGAAAAACAGCGCCAGATGCCGGTGCCATTCCAAGAAGGTGCTCTCCTTGATGTGTGATCGAGTGTCCAAGGTTTCTGATGACTATAACAGCTCCTATGAAGATACAGGTCTTATCTCCAGCACGGGTGTATCGATAAAATGTCTGATTCAGGAGGTGATTCGATCGTCACTTCTTGAACCCATTATTGATATCCGTCGAGATGAAGCACTTCGAGGTCGTTTAAAGTACTCACTACTGCAGTTGATGGATAGCGTAACACTCGATCCTGGCCAGCTGAAAAGTTTTGCAGGTGCATTGATGTTTCCCGTGCATTGCGCACAAGGTCCACCCGGCACAGGAAAATCGTATTTGGGTGTTGTGGTTGTTCGCGCTTTGCTGGTAATTAGAGAACTCTGGAAATTAAAGAATAGCAACAATGGAGATCCTCCGATCCTTGGTGCTTTCGTACAAAAACCACGCGATCGATGAATTTCTAGTGGATTTGCTCCGATCGGAGCCGACACTGGGCCATGAATCACAAACTACTGCTTATTTTGGACGATGTTATCTTGAAAAACGCTTTTAGAGGTTTGTACGCATCGGAGGAGGGTTTAGTGAGCCCGAGCTTAAGCAGTATCGAGAGCGAAATGTTGCAGTCTCTGACCCAAATATACGCGAAGTCTCTCAGCGATTGAGGATTGCCAGGAGCTTCGTGAAAGATGGCACAACCTATTGAGACACCTTCGCTCCCATCTTCGAAACCCAAGGCACCGTTGAGGGCGGTACAATGTCTTCAATTCCAGAAGAGATGAGGATGATACAACGCGCAGTCCGGCAGCATCTTCGGCCGTGGCAACACTTTTGCAACTGACGGAAAGCATGAAAACTACTGGTGAGGCGGTTGATGATCCCGTGCGAGCATTATTTGACAAGACCAAACAGAAAGAAAACTCAGACATGGACGATCGAGAGAGTGCAAAACCTGAGCACATTATGTCTTTTCCATCGAGACCGTAGAACGCAGTTCTGAAGCAGAAAGCGATGTTGAGTAATAAGGATATCGCGTGCTTATATAAAGGCATCAAGCATTATGATCGTGATATTGATCCTCAAGAAGTCTTGTACCAGTGGATCTCAGGCTTTTTTGCCCTTTACCGGCATGTACTTACCCCGAACCATGCTTAAATGTGTGCGTTTAAGCATGGTTCGGGGGTAAGTACATGTTGACGACAGTAATTTCTGTCAAGAGCATTTCTGAAAATTCACAAGAGACAAAAATCGATTTTGCAATGGAAGTGTGGCTCGTAAGCGACTTATTGCCAACAGCACTTGTGCACAGCTAAAAAATGCAAGAATTGCAAAATCGCCGAGGCTCAGTCATTTTGCGAAGACCACGCATGCTTTGTGTGCTTGGCTCGGTGTGAGTTGGCTGACATTGCTACCGAAAGCCCTCCTCGAACTTCGTGTGAGCGGCACCGCTTTGCTGGGGTCTGAAATGTATGTGCTCCGAAGTTGTTGCAGAGTCTGACAAATCTTACTGCAAACTTCACACCGAAGATCTGTATTGCAAGTGGACAAAGGAGCGTGAAGAGCCTTGTAGCGAAACTGCAACGACGGGACAGTATTGCGGCAAACATTAGGTTGAAGCAGCAGCTGTAGCAGCTCGCGTCGCTGAGATGAGTGCCGATAAATGCCAGGCACGAAAAAGGAAAGGAAAGGCGTGCAAAGGAAAGTTTTTGTCTGGTACGCGTTACTGCAGAGACCATGTGGGTCGTGCTAACCTGCTTGATACACAACTCGCTGAACTTTTGGTACCCAATGATGAATTTGACGTCAATGCTAGCGCATATAAGATTGTTAAAGTCAAGTCGACAGTAGATCAAACACTGGATCCCCCCTCTTTTATACTGCCTCCCAAGATCGAGAAATCAAGTGCTTACGGCCTGGAAGGTTACAAAGCAAATCAGAGAATGATGACATGGGCAGCTCCGATAGTAATGTTGAGGACTTCGTGGACGCTGTTCAATACGACAATGAAGACGAAGTAGAGGAGTTTGAGCACTTGAAGCATCTCCGCGATGTTTATGAGGTTGAAAACGATGAGTTTGAGGATACTACTGAGACAATAGAAGAAATTTACGAAGAGGAAAAATCTTCATGGAGATTATCGAGCCAGCAACTAACAGTTCCTTGCGAAAGGCACTGGGAGATGACGACGGAAGAACGCTGGAACGCTCTTTATTCAGTATGAGCCTTCGGGGCGATCTCAATGCTTGCTTACAGCATGTGTTCGTCAAAAGACTTGAATGTCTGAAAGTTGAACTACAGCATGAGGTTCTCCGAGCAAATTCTCGCGTTTACGAGGGCAAAGCTGTTATTATTGGAGGTACAATAACAGGTTGTGTGTCCAGATTGGAGGCTATTCGAACGACCAACCCGTTCGCAATTTTGGCGGAGGAGGCATCAGAAGTGATGGAGCCTCTCCTTGTTTCATGCTTTAGCTCATCTACACGAAAACTGGAAAAGATCGGAGATCATATGCAGCTGCAGCCGTCCGTAATGGGCCCGAATCGACTTCGAGCGAGCGAACAAGATCAACATTTCGATGCTTGAGCAAATGATCAGTGCTCCACAAGGAATTGAAGTTCCGTCGTCTGTATTATCAATCCAGCGTCGAATGCGCAAGAACATCTGCGACCTCACTCGAAACTTTTACGTCGAGATCACAACGATTGAAGATCACGAAACTTGTGGCTCAAAAGTCATTGGATGTAAGTCTAAAGGAAGCGTGCCGCTTCTTGATTGATGCATGTGAAGGAGGCGGCCGCGAGGTTCCGGGCGTATCACCACACGTATTTTTCTGGACACATTGTGGTTCCCACGAGCGATCATCGGTCGGTTTGTCCCGTGTAAACCAGCAGGAAGCAAAAATGACGTGTAGGTTGGTGCATTATTTAGTTCATTGTGGAGTGCCTCCTCAGTCAATTGCTGTGCTCACTCCGTACAAAGGACAATTGATGCTCATGAGGAGAATGCTAATGAACACGTACGGGCTATGTATGAAGACTAAAGGACGAGATTCACGACCAGCTCCATCTTGCATTGTATCAACGGTAGATCGTTTTCAAGGCGATGAAGCTGACATTGTCGTTATCTCACTCGTAATTGATGGCAAGTCTCGCACGCCTTTCGTGAAACTTCAAAATCGGATGCGTGAAACTTCAAAATCGGATGATTGTCTTGCTGAGTCGAGCACGCTTGGGGATGTATGTTGTTGGAAATGTCGATTACTTCGGCGAGACTACACATTGGCAGAAGACGTTGGGGCTTTTAAAGAAAGACGCAGTCTGACAACATGAGCAATCCGAGTGTACGACGTATAGCGGACCGCATATCGGTCGTGAGCTTCCGATTTGCTGCCCTGAACATCGAACGTCTGTAGCTGTTGCAAAAGAAGAGCGAGACTTGAAGCTTAGATTTTGCACTGTAGTGTGCTCGGTAGACCTTGAAGACTACCACAGCTATCGCAACTCTATCAAATGTGACGGACACAGAAGAAAGGTAGCTAGCTACATGAGAGTACTTACTAGACTGGGTGTCTCATGTTCTCATGAGTGTGGGCTGATGTGTCACTAGCCTGACGTAGAGAAACACAATCAACAGTGTCATGTGAAGGTCGAGTCGCCTTGCAGTCGTCACCCTCGAGAACTGGTGTGCTCCAATGTGACGGCTTCTGCGCGAGGAATGTACATTGATAAAGCTCTGGAGAAGTACCAATGTAATATTCGAGTGGAAGTCAGTTTGCCCGTGGCCACAACCAGAACATGACATGCTACTCACACAGTGAAATCGTGGCAGGACGGAGGTCATGGTTGGTGTGCAACAAAGAGGCTATCGCACCGCACGAGTACTCGGAGTGCAAACGCGTTCTGAAATGCACGTGCAGCGAGTTTGATCGATACACGAAAAAGCTTGCGCCCTTATGCATTGAAAAGGTTGAGTTCACACCGCCTTGTCAGCACACGATATCACTATCATGTCACGACCGTCAGGACTGCGCCAGCGGAATGCGTAAGTTTGTATGCAAGGAGAAAGTCAGGATGTCATTGCCTCGATGCAGCCACGAGATGGCTGCGTCTTGCTCGACAGCAGAAACGCTAAAGAAATGGTCTGGCGAGTCGTGCGCGACAATTGGCGTCGTCCAAGAAGGCAACACGTATGGCTCCAAAGACTATTTGCAAGCAGACAGTAAAGTTTCAACGTCGTTGTGGCCACTTTGAGATGGTCAGATGTGAGCGGGCATTTGAGCTTGCGCAGAGTCCGTCGCGCGGCCAGGAACAAGTTGTGTTGACGAATCCGGAATGCGGTCATGAATACTCTACGACGTGTTTTGAAGGAAAAAGACTCCAGGAAAAGGTCGCACAATGGTCGAAGAAGATGGAAGATGTTGATCCGTTGGAAATTGTGCAAGAGGGTGATGCTAGCAAGTATCGTAATTGCGAGCTCAATATCCAATGCAGTCGTGAAGTGGTGTACATTCGTGCCTGTGGTCACAAGGCAAACATGAAATGCAGTGAGGCGCGACACATCACGACATTTTGCGACGAGACCGTGACAGTGGAGCATCCAATCTGTGGACACCTATCGCAGTTGCAATGTAATTTGAAGAAGCATGTAAATGCGTGGCAGCCGTGGCAGGATCAGACTTCATCAATCAAGCTGCTACAAGAAGACAGTGTTGTTGAAGACACTTTATCATGCCTGGGTCTTTTCCGGGTGTACTATAATTCATACTGAAGGATTGCGGGATACTTGTATGGTTCCGTTGGACTACCACGTGTGGACATGATAAAGAGATGAAGTGCTGCGATGCCTTTACGATTCTAAAGTGGAAGCAATCACTCAACGGAATTGCCGACGGTAGTTGAAGACAAGCGGGACGATCTCTTGATCATTTTTGCAGACTAGAAGATGATATTGAAGAGTACTTGGATCGCTTACAGCATTGGTCTTCTAATCACGTTCCACGAAGTCGTGTTCGAGGATTTTGGTGTGTCAATGCTATCGGACCTAAACGAACCTTGGCAATCTATTTTACTTATGTGAAGACACCGCGAAGGATACAGGAACTGGTTCAGCTACAAGAGCTTTTGTGGACCTGAGTAGCATTTCGAATTGCAGCAGATGTAGATAGATTCGACAGCAGTATTGCTACTGCAGCATAAAATTGAACCAAACGCACTTCTAATACAATTGAATACAAAAGAGTATTGATAGTTTGTTAATGTAATAAGCAGCTATGTCGAAACACAGTCATTAACACGTTTAGACATACGCTATCTACTGGGACGGCCATCTTTCCAGCAATCCAAGAGTCATCCATAGTCAACAAAAGCTGAAGACCGGCACACCATTAAACTCTCCAAGTATGCCGCAGATTCATCAAATATAGATGGGAAGAAGTATACGGTACGTACCATCCATGAAAGTTAGACAGCATTGCATAGTAGCTGAGAAGTTACTAAGCAGCGCCTGAAGACGTCGTGCCGACTGTATTCGTAGTAGAGTGGACCGGCTTGCTACTTGACATGTTGAAAAAGGGTGTACACGGTGGCAATTCCAAGAACACCAGCAGCGATTGCTATCATCATGTTTTTGGTGACAAACGACGAGGCGCTTTTAAGAGTTTTGACAAGTAACTTGTCAAGTTCACCGCGGTCCGCTTTCTTAATCAAGTTCAGATCAATCATAAATTTGTTCAATAATTTCTGGTCCTCAATGGGTATATCCAGCAGATCTTTAGCGGTCGTAGTTTCCTTTGGATTCTTGCCCAGATGTGTATCACCAGGTTCGTTATGCGCGGAAGTGACCGCTTGTGGTGTCTCGGCATTTGGTTCTTTATGCGTGGCGTGTGGTGTGTTGGCATTTGTTTCATCATGCGTGGCGTGTGGTATCTCGGCTTTTGGTTCGTTTTGCGTGGAAGCGATGGAATGAGATGTCTGGGGATTGGTATCTTCATGCCCCTTTACGATCGGACCCGCTTTCGACCTATCACCCGCTGTTGCAACATCCTTGTCGACAGTAGCCGCATTCTCAGCGATTGGTGTTCCTTTCTGTTGGGAGAACTTGCTGTTACTCTGTGATTCAGCATTGATAGCGTTCATTATAGTATTCTTAGCTTTCTTCTCTTCCTCACCTACTTCATTAATCCTAGTGACAGCCTGTGTAACAGCCAAATTTTCTGCTTTGAAGGTAACCTCTCCGTTGCGTAAGACAGCAGCTGCCTCAGCAGCTGCCTCAGCAGCAGCAGTCTCTGGACCTCTTTCTTCACGGAGAGCGTTGACTTTGTTGAGCTCAGCGAAATTGTCATCATTAGCGTTACGTTCGGCGCTGACAAAGCTGCTGCAGTTTACGACAAGCGTGACCACGAGGAAGGCAAGAAAGACGGTGAGACGCATGAATGAATGAATTGCACCACGAGTCTCAGATAGGAAGCGAGTTTTCGAATGAATTTGGTTCTGAGAAACAAACAAGTATGAACTAGCACTAGTAAGGTCATCTCTTTCCTTGTTTAGAGTCGTTGAGGTTCCGAGTTGGATCAGATATTCGAGACAAATCATTAAGATCACTGGTACTAATCGTTCATAGTTGAATTGCATGCTATGAGCACTTCCATGGGCGAGATAATTAATCTTCATCTTATGAAATATGTGAAGGAATGGGTTTAACTTGGGAACAGCCTGTCGTCCGTATGGAGGAGAACAGATCAGTCCTAGAAAATATTCAGCACTTGGTATCGCTACTGTTTGCGCAAAGTGTAAGCTGAATTATTACAGATAAGAAATATGTCAAATCGGTATCATGGCTAGTACAACTAGACAGACCAGTGGTGATGGACAAATTACTGGAGCACTCACCGACCAGACCTGTTTTCTTCCATCAAATCTATCATGGGTAAGTTCAGGTCTATCTAATCAGCCTCAGCCATTGCCAATGGCCAACTAACTCTTTAGTAGTGAATATACCACTAGAATAGACTTGTTTTTAAAGGGTTGTTGTTGGTGTGATGACCCTTTCTACACAATCCTACCGACCAAATACACCGTGACGAAAGTATTTTAAGGACGTGTTTAGATGAAGCAGCAAAATCATCAGGGCAGAAAACTCAAGCCATTCGTTACGATGTATTTCTCAAGTTATCCGACCAGGTTTTACAAAGTATTACCGATACCATGATGAAAATAAACTGGACTGTGAATTTTCAAAGGTTGCGAATTAGAATCTTTGCTTTGAAAGTATTTCCTGTCACGTATCATGCCAACTGATCTCTCTTGGTCATAAAACTACCAAAAGATGCAATTTTGTTGGTATGCAGTAGTCTCAATACCAATGAAAACATTTCTGAGAGAAAGAAGGGAATAAAACCTCATGGAAAAGACGTAGACGATTTGTTTCGAAATGATTGATCACGTGGTGCTAATTGCTGTAGTGAACATGTCCGATGCTTTTGTTTCGATATGAATGCACGTAGTAAACAAAGGAATAGACCTGTTGATCTTCTACTCTTATGACCTGTGATGCAGGTACTTCAGATTGAAAAGAATAAGCTTTGTAAGGAGATTCAGATGATTGAAAATGGCACATAAACAACGGAGAGGGGGAGACAAAGTAGTGACAGTTGATGAACCACGATGTGAACCACGTTATTAGGTGTGGGTATGCTTGCCAACAGATGAGCATCATGGACGCTTACTGGCTCTAACGTGTCTGTGCTGAGGTTGAGACTAGACTGATCATGCAAAGTGAAGAGGGTAGAGTGCGATCTGCTGGAGCACCTGATCTGCTGCAATGCTAAGAAAGGAGAAGTACGGGCTTGTCGAACGCAACAATGACTTTACTCCTTCTAAATGACTCACTCTCTCCATGTTAAGTATATCATGCAGTCGAGTTGCAAGAAATATTGCAACTGATGAAGAGGGAAACAGTGGAGGCTATGATGTACACGAGCGACGACGTTGCAACGCATAGAACCCCAGTTGCACGGAAGAAGCAACCCAACCTTCAACGTCGCTGGTAGTCGCCGACACCGTCTGCATCGATACATGTTTGGTCGTTGTGGCCGAGCTTTGTGTCAATATGTGAGATGTCGCTTTGGGTTGGACTAAAGCACTGAGTCCGGGGACAATGGAGCTGTAACAACACCCTTGAACTCCGCAGCTCCAAGATTAGTGCACGCAGCGGGCTTATACTACCTTAACACATTACCGAAGCAGAGAATGCCGTACTACATAGCAGTAAAATTGCCAAGCAGCGTGTTGGGCATTATATGGGTTTGTACTCCTTTTCTTCATGCAGCTGTTACTGACCATTGTCTCGGGTTTTCCAGTACTTCATGTAGGATTTTTCATATTTGGCCAATTTCTTCGCAAGCTTCTTACGTTGGCTTTTCTTAATAGGCTCGCCATTCTCGAGCGTTGGGAATCCATTCGTGTCAAACATGTTGAATCGGTCGGCAAACTCCGGCGATTTCCTGAACAAATCTGAGGGAGCAATCTGCATCAGCATCTCAAGCTCCTGCTGTTTGTTCCGCAGTTCTAGCGCTGCCTCGCCATCAGTTTTTATTTCCTGTTCATCTGATTCTACTCTTCGAACTGCTTCTCGTTCTTCAAGCGAGAGCAGCTTAAACACGGAGGATCCTGGCGCAAGATCCTCGACTTGAATACCTAACTGAGGTAGCTCCTCGTTGCGCAATGTGTCACATAACGCAAGAATGCGCATGTTGCCTGACTGATTAAGGTCACGCAAAGCTTCTTCTCGCACAGCAGCACGAAATTTGATCAAAGAGTAAAGTAGAGCCTCCTGTTCGTCCCTGCTAACCAATTCGTCCCTTTCATTCAGCTGCTGCTTTTTGACTGAAACAGTGAATCGACGGCGCATCATGGCAGAAAACTCGGCATGAAGTCCCTCCAGTCCGAAAAGGTCAAGCACCTCAAGCACGTAACTAGTCAATGCAATTAGCACCTCCTCAGGAGCCTGATCATCGCCTCGGTGTGCCAGCAAGTACGTGTTTCCACGCGATATCAGGTTCAATACAAGTGATAGGGCGCGTGGCGTGTCTAAATCATCCAATAAACCTTCGTCCACCTGTGCTTGGGTCGTGAACAGTGCGTCTAACACTTCCAGGTCTTGTTTCTCACAGCGTTTTGACTTGATTCCTTTAATTTTAGTATCGCTGCTACAAATATCACGATTACTGCCATATGCCATAACATTTCGAAAAAAGCATCTCAAACGAGTGATTACTACTTCTGCATCACGTACTCGATCCTCCGAGTAGATTAAATTTGAGCGGTACTTAAACTGCAGGCAAATTAGGCGGAAATGATCCGCCGTGTGTCCATCATTCAAAAAATCCTTCACTGAAATGAAGTTCTTCAGCGACTTGGACATTTTCCTTCCGCGAATATACAAGTGTCCAAAGTGCACAAAGTGTTTGCACCACTCTTTATCATGCTCACACTGAGGTCCATAGTTATGCGCTTCACACTGTGCAATCTCATTGTTGTGATGAGGAAAACGCAGGTCCACTCCACCCGTGTGCACATCCAGTCTATCTCCGAGCACATGATGCGTCATTGCCGAACATTCAATATGCCACCCAGGTCTTCCCATTCCCCACGGTGATTGCCATGCCGGTTCATCTACATTCAAAGCTGTTTTCCATAATGCAAAATCTTTCGGGTCTTTCTTCACTTTGTCTTCTTCTTCTTCTTCCATAATTTGCCTCTCGTCCATTACCACCATCGCTTCAGCCTTCATTTCTGCATCGTCTAGCGTCTGTCGTCTTGGATCTAATTTTCCATAGCCTTTTCCTAATTTTTGTGTACTAAAGTACACCCCAGAGCCGTCCGTTGCCTTGTACGCAAACCCTTTTTTCTCAATCTCCTCGACATATTTCACAATTTCTGGCAAATGTTCACTAACTCTGGTAATGACCGTTGGGGGCTTTACATAAAGCTTTGCCATATCTTGAAAAAACTGCATCTCCTGCTCTCTAGCAAGTGTCTGAAAGCTCACGTTTTGCTCTTTTGCTCGCTTGAGAATTTTGTCGTCAATGTCTGTGACACCCATGACGAGCTGGACCTTATAGCCTCCTGTACGCTCTGCTACTCGACGAAGAATATCTTGACATACATATGATCTTGCATGCCCTAAATGTGCTTTATCGTACACGGTGGGACCACATGCATACCATTTCAGTACATTTGGGATAGTACAAGTCTCTCGCGGAAAACGTTCGCATTGACCAGATAAGGCGTTAAATATTCTCAAATCTCGGGATGTTGTTGAGAAAGGAATACATGAGATGAAATGATGAGAAGAAGTAGTATTTCGTGACCATGATGCACGCACAGAGACGCATGGAAACACGAGGTGATGGAGCATCCACATTTCGGACGGCTATTTATTTCAAAGGGTTTGTAATCGTTGGTGTGGAAGACATCACTTACTTCACGTATTGCAATTATTACTAATAGTCTCTACATTTCGTCCCATACTATTGTCAATATTGACGTTATCATTTGCTGAAGCTAATCAAGTTTGACAGAGAATATGGCGTTGCGCTAATTTAACGAACTTTATAGAAATAAGTTTTTGACCATAAACTAAAAAGCATTACCTTTATTCTCTATTTTAACGTTGACTTAATTTCAAGGGATTTCGTCTGTAGTTTTATATCGTATAATCAATTGAGCGTTGTCATTTAAAGCAAGTACGTCGTCCTCGCCCTCTTGCCATGGCCCTTCCTGCTCCGTGGCTATCATACAAGACACAGGATGGCAAGGTAAACCATTTTCATATCTATATATCTTTCATGCTTTATAAATAACGTGGTTATCGTGTGTAGTTGAATTAAAAGTGCTGGACGATGTACTTGTTGTTTAAATGCTCTAATCTCGAATGTATTAATCTATTTTATATTTTACCTCTATCTAGGAATATTACTATAACCCACAGACAAAAGTAACAACATGGACACGACCATCAGGAGGTTTATTGTCTACTACTCAGACACAATCTAAGCAGGAGCAGTCAAAAAGTAGCAGTACTTCAGCTTTAGGAGCAGGACGAGGTGGTTTATTGGCGCAGATTCAGCAGGGAACGAATCTTAAAAAGGTCAAGACGGTGGAAAAGACGCTGTTTGCTCCTATTTCGAGTGCTCAAGGAGGAGCTGGAGCTGGAGAGAAAGCTATTGCACCAGCTGTTGGTGGAGCTGGAGGTGGCATGGGTTCTATGATGGCGGCTATCAAGTCTGGAGGAAATTTGAGAAAAACACCAAGCTCAAGTATTCAGAAGGAAAATAGCAGCACTGGTGGTAATATTGCTTCGAGCAGTGTGGGAGGTTTTGCAGAGATTATGCGGAAGAACCGTGAGGCTGCTGCACGGAGGTCCGGGGGTAGCTTGGCCCCAATGACGCACAATAGCAGCTCGGCACCTTCGACACCGCGGCAAATGCCTCTGGCTTCAAGTTTGGGGGGCTGCGAAAAGAGCAACAACTCGGTAGAGATACGACTAGCAGCCATTGAGAGTAAACTCGACAAGATCATGGTACACTTGGGCATTAATTGAACTGGTATGACTCATACTGCAAACATTGGCGGAGAAGGTACAGTGCATATATTACTATGTAAAGCGTGTGTTGAAGAAGCACGAGATTGAAAGCGCTCATAGTTGTTATGTCTTTGTTATCGAAGGCAAGCGTTAAATACAGCGTAACTTTTAGTGAGGCGTACGATAGCTGTAAAGCGTTTGATAAGCTGGTATTGTCAACACGAGTGAAATTAACAAGACGAAGAAGCTGTGTGTCAAATCTTTCTAGCGTTCTGCTACTCTCTCTTCATCTATGCTAGCAGCGTAACTGCTGTTTAACCAAAGTGCATGGCCATTTCCTGAAGCGACATTGTTTTCTTTTTCTGCTTTTTCTTACCATTGCCTCGACTGTCCTTAGACGTGTTGGGAACACGGCTTTGCGCTATGGCCTGCATCTGGTTATCCCACGTCGCACGTGTTACGGGCAGCACGCCAATCGGCTTGGCAGCTTTGGGCAACTCAGGAAAGTCACTCTTAGTGGTCTTAAAACTGGGGGCTGCAGGAGGCGCAGTTATCTGGCGCAACACTGGTATCGGAGTTGACGCGTATGCTGAAGCCACAGCGCCGTATTCAGCCGGCGTGGACGATGATGACGAGACACTAAGACTAGCAAACGCATCGACGGGAGCGTTCTGAAGCTTGGTACTCGTAGGGGTACGGCCAAATGCTGGGTATGCATCCACGTTGGATCCGACAGGTGCTGCTGCCTGCCAGCTACCAGACGAGCTCCACTGTGTGGTTGGTGGAGTGTCTCGCCCCAACACCGCGCGCATATTCGTATTGTGAACAATTGCAGAGGGCTCGCGCCCCACGGCCTTATTCACGCCGCTTTCTTTCATAGCATTCCCCCAACCCGATTGCGAAGGTACCGGTAGCTGACGCTGATTGCTCCTTTGGCACGCAGTTGGTGACCCCTGCGCCAGTTTGGATTGCTGCTGGTTGGTGACTGTGTCTCGCTTGGATGTAAGTTTCTGGAAACCCTGGGCCTTGACCCGTTGTTTATTTAGCTGTTTGTGGTATGCAAAGAACGCATCCACTTGCTCTTTGTCCGGAGAAAGTCGCATCAGTGGTAGGAAAAGCTGCGTGAAGTCCACAGGGGAAAATAACTTACGCATTTTGGCATAAAAGTCTGGGACTTCCGTCTCGCCCAAGCGAAATCGCTTGCAATCCTCACGAAAGACCTCGTACTTGGCATCGCTACCCAATGTCTGGCGGATCTTGAGCACAACTGCAGTCTTGGACGATGCAGGGCTCACAGTTTCGCTATCTTCTAAATCGGACACGTCTTTCTGAACTACAAGAGCAGGGGTCGCCAATTTTTCTTCCAAGCCGCCGCCTGCCTTCCGACCCTTTTTCCTACCTATATTATTCTTTCGAGCAGGTTTCAACCTTCCGAGCAATGGGTTGTTCGCGCCTAACACCGCGGCAGCAGATGCCAGAGCTGGGCTTTCATACTCCCACCCGTTGTTATCCATGTGCGCGCGTAAAGCTGCCGAAGGCGGCGGATTCAACGCGTTCCGAAATTCCAAGCCAGTTCCGTTCTGAGATGAACTTGATACTAGAGCCGGAAAGTCCTCTATCGTCCGACGGTGAGACACCGTCTGGTTATCCCATAATGAAAATGAAGGTCCTGCAGCGGCGCTGTCGGATCCTGAAAGCGACGGAAAGTCTGCCACATTAATCGTATGGTTTCCTGTCGATTGGTGAGACAAGCTCGAGTCCTTAAACTCCTCTTGATTTCCGTGAAATGCCCGACGGACTGTAAAATGTACGTCAATCTTGCGACTTGTCTTAATATGCGGATGGTCCACTGTTAAATGCGCTTGCAAATCCAAATGTGTCGAGAAAACAACAAATTTCTTAGCTAAACATTCGTGTTCTTCGCACAAAAAGTGATCAGCTCGAAAATGGTTTTCCAAGTCATTGTAATCCTTATAATATCTGTTCTGAACATGTAGCTGATACAAACAAATATCACACTCAAAGTGATTCTTTCTCAAATGGTCGTATAGTTCCGTAGTCGAGTAAAACCGAGAAAAACAAAAATCACATCTTGGATGTCCCATAAAACCTTCTCTTGGGTTCCCTCTTGTGTTATGTTTCTTGAGTTGTTCCTTTGTAAATAGCTCCAATTCTTCTAAAAACACCTTTTTATTTTCCAAACAAATGCTGCAGTATTGCAATCCATGTACATCCACTACATGAGTCCGTAGAGCAGCAACCGTTGCAAATTTCTTGCCACATTTCTTGCACCATGGATCACGGAGCTTCCGAATGCGTTTCGTATAATCTTCTTTCAGAAAAAACATTGTAGAGATTTCATCAAAAACATATAAAGGTCCAATATTATCTCCCCAGTCTTGAAATGATTCAAACTTCTCTTCATCACTCGTGACACAAATAACACGTGGCATGTCTGTTTTGCACATCACGCATGCAGTCTCACCTAGTAATTGACGTAGACGTAATGCACAAATACTGCAGCAATTGAAATGATTACATATACCTACAGTATTATATCGAGATACATTATCAAGGACATTACAGCATAATACACACGAAACGAGAGTGAGCTTCGTCATAATCAAAGAAGAAGAAGATGGTGAAGAAGAGAATGTCTGTGGTTTTCGAACGGTTATTCTAATAATGACACATTGGGCAAAAATATTGTGGGCACTAGTATATTGTAATATTTCCATCCTTTAGTGTGTTTTTTTTAAATTCAAAAGCTGATTTTGAGTATTTCGACTTTTAAATAGAAATCGACCTCAAATTTCATAACTCTTAAAGTCAAAATATCTGTCAAAATTGATTCTTCTGATTCTGACCAGCTCTCTCGACTATTAGAATGCTAGTCTAGTATACCTACCTACGACGGGTTCAATGCTGTTATCCGTCTTGGCTCCATTACGAACGTCCATGGTCTTGTTTCATCCATTGCCGACTTGTTTATTACGTTATTATGGTGTAAAATCAGCACATACGAGGTCATTGAGAGAGAATAGAGGACGTCAGTGGTCTGACAAACGTTGTCCTCGTCTTATGCGCACAAATGATGGCAAGGACGTCCCGCAACTGAAAGGTGAAGGTGTTTACGGTATTCACAGTGTTCTTCAGGTACTATTAAGTGGTCATCGGAAGATATATGGACTCTATGTGAAGGAAGATCGCATGTTGTCAATGGGAGAACGCCTGAAGAAGAAAACTACAGCCGATTTACGAGCTCTAGAGCACATTAAGGAGCTGGCAAAGCATAATGGCGTGGAAATGTACACGACCAGCAAGTGGATGCTTAATTATATTACACGGGACAAACCACATCAAGTATGAGAGTGTTGGAGAAAGGTAGTGTCATGTATATGCTTTTGTACTGATTGTAAGTTGATTGGTGTGGTTAAGGGCCTTGTACTGGATGCTGCGGCCCTTCAATTGAAAGAGTTTGACCCTGTTACACCATTAGGTTAGTTTTTAGCTGCAAGGTGTTTTATTCGTTGAATGCAAAGGTACTGTAGCCTGTTGACACGAAGATTGATGTGTAGAAGCAGTGACTGCGTCAAAACAATTGCCAGTGATTCTAGTGCTGGACGAGATTCACGATCCACAGAATTTGGGAGCAATTCTCCGTTCTGCACACTTTTTAGGTTGTGTAGCGGTTGTTGTAAGCGATCAAAACAGCGCTCCAATGTCTCCTGCCGTCTCACGCGCGTCAGTTGGTGCATTGGAAATCTTGGTTGCCAAGGTAGGTTTGTGTCCTCGCATCTACTGTGTAGATGAGATTGACAATACTGATTTTACTCCAGAACAAACTGTTCAAGGCAAAAAACTTGCATGAGATGCTTGCAGTCAGTGGTGACCTTGGCTGGCGAGTTGTTGGAGCTAGCAGCGGACCTAACTCCATTGTCTCTACCAAGCTCTCAGATGGCGCCCAGCCCACGATCCTGGTCATGGTAGATTCACAATTGTATCTTTTACAGTGACGACGTTGAAGGAATGTATCTCACTTGTGCTGATTGGTGGTTACGATAGGGCAATGAACATCGTGGACTACGCAAATGTATCCGTCAGTGCTGCCAAGACATTGTCGCTATTCCAGGTATGCGCGTGAATATGCTTCAAAAATATCTTTGTGTGTTCAACAAGCCATCTCATTCGACGCAGGGCAATCTACGGACGACGACACCCGCGTGGACTCACTCAACGTCAGCGTTGCGTCAGCAATCTTACTATATGAACTTTTGCGCTAGAGAGCACGATCAGATATCTTACAAGCGCGATAGAAGGTCTTGTTCTCATGGTGCAGTCGACGACCTCGCCTGCTTTGATGTATAACTTGTGCGCTGGAAGATGGACACGCCCACACACGCAGATATCTCAATGAACATTTGGGGATTTGCTTCGTCCGGCTTATGGGCATTTTGCTTCGGGAACAAACGTTAAACAAACAAAAGTCAATCACCATACTCACAAATACTAGTAGAATGCCATACATGTGCTTACCTTGACGCTGCCGGGCAATGTTGGGTGACCTAGGCAAACCGCCACAAGGAATTCTGTTGGATCTGAAAACGGCGATACTGTCAGTCTGATCGTGTGCTCGACTGAGTGTTTTCGTGGTCCTCGATGACGGATGCAACTTGCGGGCACATGATGATGCGCCACATTGCCGTTAGGGAGCACGCTCTTGATGTATACCTGAGTGACATCCCGCACATTTGTCAACAAGAAGCGTACGCGCTGCTCAAATGGCCAGTTTGCTGTTACTTCTCGCGGGTCTGGCTTGGTACTCGCGGGTTCTTGGATTGAGGCAAATGCTATAGCCATATGTTGGTAGCGCCTACCACTCGCACTGCCCGTGGAAGATGTACAGCGGGACATCACGCTCCCGATTAGATTTACAGGCCACGCCTTACGAACGGTAGCCACAAAAATACGCTTCAATTCATTCAGTGAACATACTTTCGCCAGCGACTGAACTGGTAGCCAAACATCATCTTGGCACTGCTTGTCACTAACAAGGAAACGTAGCCGGGTTGCTTCTTTGACAATCCATCGTAGAATTTTGGTAGTTTGAGGACTGTTGATGGAGTTCTGTAATAATGTCAGCACGAGGCCTACACGGCCAAGCATGACCAGCTAGACACACAATACAAAAAAAATTGTTAGTTGACTGTCAAAAACGACACATAAAGCTCACAGATGAAAGAATCAACCAACCTGTAGCAACTCCATGCGGGGCAATAAAGTCAGAGCAAAAGCTTTGACGTACAAACATGAGGCAACGTCAACCATTTCTTGGCATCCCTTTTGCAGGTCCGTTGGAAGCCGTAGATGGGTGAAGGCTATAGCTTCATTCTGGTCTTGACCCCCCCTGCTACTGTTGTTGGTGTGTCCACAGCTTACGCTAGGACTCGTATTGAGCATTGCTTGCATTGAAACGTACTTGTGTACCACCGGCACCAGTGTAGTTGATGCATCAGGAAACAACTGCACGTGTTGGCGCAGACGCACAAGGGTATCCGCAATTCTAAGAGAAACGTCAAGATCGTCTGCGGCAAGCGCTCTCCGAAGTCGATGAATCTACAGTCAATGCACAAGTCCATTAGCCACATGGCCACTGCAAAAAACAACGGATTGTTGGGGTCAGGATGTTTACCGCTTTGAGATACACCGCAACTGTTACGTCCAGTGGAGGCTTTCGCAGGGTCGTCATAGCGCTAACCACTCCAGCTGACACAGTATACGAGTTTTCAGAACTTCGAGAAAATGTCTCCGACGGTGACGAATGATTGAGAAAAAATAAACTAGATCCGTCGGACGGAGGCTTTGGCTTGTCAGAGACCGCTGAAGTTTTGGCATGTTCAAGTCCCGTATGGCCCAGTAATGCTTGGCATACGCGTTCTAAGAAACGACGCTTGCCGATGCGCTGAGTAGACGCCTCTCGCTCTAGGCGATCTGACAGGGCAACGTCCACTTGCAGCACTTTGGCGCACTTTTGACCGAGTATTTGTACCATAACAAGAAGCTGCTCGTTCCAGTAGTCAGTATCCTCATCGTTGACATCGCCGTGGTCGAACAAAGGTGACGCTGCAACCTCTAGAACAAAGTCAACAAGGCGTTGGACTGCCCAGACACTTGACAGATCACAATACTGAAACACGAACAAGATTCCGATCACTGCAGATCCGCTACTATCTGCACTTAAGAAAGCACAACGGACTAAGCAGCTCATATCAGCGCTTGAAATAGTAAATTCTGTCGTCGTATTGACCCTGTGCCGACACACTAACAAGCGACCCAATGTATTTACCAGCACTCGACACAGGTGTGCAGCACTGGCCATCCTCGCATGTGGAAGAATGTCAAAATGCGCTGTAATGGCACGTTCTAACGCTCGTTGGCTCCATTGCCCAGCACCAGCGTTAGGAATCAATGTCATTTCACTTAATCTAGCGATAGTGCGCGAGGCTTCTGCAGCGACATCCATGTCGATGTCCTCCAAAAGGGATAGCAAGACGCCGCTGGACATCATGTAGCGTGTATTCATTTCAACAACATCAGGTAACACATCAACCACCGCTTCATCAATTTGCGTCTTAATTACGGCGTGTTCAACAACTTCGCTTGTCAAAGCCCGCGAAAATCGACGCAAACACCTTGCAACTTCAGCCCGAACCGATTTCTCCGTATCATAGCCAGCTATGCACAACATATAGAAAGTTTTTTCTGGTAAAAGCAATGGCTTTGTTACCGTATCACAAGATGTCGATGACGGAAAATACTTGCAACTAGCAACTGCATGCTGCGAGTACCGATTCGCCAGCGCCACGAGCACTTGAGCCGCCAGCACTTTCACTTCGTCACTCTGTGCGAACAAAACAAACGCCGTGAATCGATCAAAATGCTTCGTTACAATGTTTTTCGAATTTGAAGCCATCTCTGCAACAGCAAAATTCTGTCCTGCGTCATGCAGTCTCAAATATCCACGTAGACAGATGGTCTGCATGCCCATATCGTGGTCTTGTACACACGTGTGCAGCAGCGTTTCTACCTGTGTGTATTTTTTTGTGAACATAAGGCAGTCCAAGACAATACGCATCATGTCTCGACGGAGCTTAAAGTCTTCGCTCACACTGATGCACTGCATGAGCTGCTCGCCCATGGCGTCTACTTGGATCATGGGTTCCACAACTAAAGCCTTTACAGCCAATAGCTGTCGAAGACCTCGTACAATAGCGCCCACGACGATAGCTCCTCGATTACCCACGTCCTTGCTCGTCTGATTCCCGTCGTTTAGTGTCTCTGACTGGGTTTGATTTTGCTGCAAAAACGAGAAGAGAAAGTCGATTGCTGCTGCTGTCATGGCTTCCGGAGATACTGCCGCTGAGCTGTATTGTAGAAGAAGACGAGCTTGTAAATGTGGATCTGATGTGCTCTGTAACTTGGTGCGGATAGCGTCCAGGACAGCCATTGGGTGAAGAGCTTGAAAACCTTCTACTGACGTCAATAGAGGGCGGTGAGAGACAAAAGATACAGCAGATGACGAATCAAGCTTAGTAGAACGGATACACAATCGTTTTGAGTCTTTTTCAATTGCAACTTCGACGCTATTACCACCTGAACTCGACACTTCCAATTCTCGTTCGCGCTTGATTATCGAACTCATTCTTTTAAAAGCTTATTGTGTGAAGTGACATTAAAATTCGGGCACTAAAGTAGCAAAAATGAAATAAGGTATGAAAAGTAAATTTGTATGTGGCTACATTCTGACATGGCTACACCCCGACCTGATTACCGTCTGACATGGCTACACCCCGACCTGACTACCTTCTGACATGGCTATACCCCGGCCACCTTCTAACATGGCTACACTTTGACATGTCGTGCTTAGTGCTGAGCAGCTATGTAAAGCATAGCTACACCCGCAAGTGATTGGTCTTGGTACCGTTACCGTATTTCAGACACCATACAGTCCATACATGGTCGTCTCATTGTTTCATTCGCACTCTTACTGACAAGCGACCACTCGATGCAACTCCAGCAGCTCTACTCGAAAATTGCCAACCATGGTCATATTGTCTCCGTCCTCACTGTTGCATTCATAATATTGACACAGTTCCTACCGTCACCTCGGGTGCCTTCATGCACTTGGAGTCAGTTATCATGCCAATTGGAGCGTGGTCGACCAGCAAGGGCACGATCTAGCTGAAAGAGCTGTTTACGATCAACAAGGATACAATGAAGGAGGTATGAAAGCGTACGCACGTTCGAGTCTTGAGTTTTCATGAGTAGACTGAGAGAGAAGAAATGACACACTCTTGTAACCTGCAAAAATGTGATCATTAGCAACAAAGTGGACGTATACCAGTGGTCGCATGTTACAACTTTCAGCAACTGCATTGACAAAACCCAGAAAAAAGATACTTTCTTATATACCGTATCCAGATGTCGTGATGTTTCAGGCGCTAAAATGTAAATGAAAACGCGTAAGACTCGATCACTTGGTGTTTCAAATGAAATGAAGCTATATACTCAGTCTTACGAGCTCGGTAAAGATTCTGAAAAGAGTAATTGTCGACTTCGTACATTACTGAGGCAATTGGTACTAGTTGTAACTCTAGCAATAGCCTTTCGGCTCAAAGATCAACTGCAATCAATCAGTCACCCCTGCATGATAACGGTCTATCATTTTCAGATGGTCTCGAGCATTTTGACAGCAGTTGCACCGTATCTCATCCTGCCAACGCAAGCCCGTATCGATTTATGGCTACAGTATCTAGCAAATGGTGTTGATAAATATAGCGGCGCTTACCGCGTCTGGTCCGTCGTAAGTCCTACGTACTGTTACTTAATCACTTCTGACGGTATACATATCCTAGGTTGGCACGCACGATAGTCTACTTCTTACCCAACCATGTCTAGTGATCTAACCATGTCGATTTAGCTACCCATCATGTTTTAAACGTGACGTATGGAGGACCATACAAGATTTATATTGAGCTCATTCAAAAGCCAATGACTCAATCAATAACCTCTGGTTTAGGACGCATTCGATAGAATGAATATTGTTCAGTCTATGAAAGCGTTTGACCGTATGGAGGTGCTGAACTCCATTAGCTTCCATAATTGGTTGAAAATCATGTAGTATCTGTCCAATCCAAATCCATCTCAACCTCTCCATCTGACAAAATAAAACGCCCATACACGCGATCAGATTCGTAGTAACCAATTTGCATCAAACTGTCCCTTTGATTGATCATGGTGTTACCTTCTGGTAACATTGCCTCCGACGTCCATGTAAAAGTAACAACTACGGAATCAGATGTCGACATGGACAAACAGGAACAAGAGCTACGCTCACGTGTTCATGCTGTTTCGAGACGGAGACGACCTTCAGACGACATGGACGGAGCCGAGAGTCACACGAGTCATGTCTCGCATCATTCCTTAGCGTCCATGCAGCCTGCACCAGGCTTTGAAGGGCACCATTATAAGAGTAAGAAGATGTTTTGTATTCATTTTTATCAAATTATTGAGCTTTCAGGAGCAGTTTAATGAACATCGTTCTAGTCTTTTTAACGCTAGAGAGTCACACTTATTGACACCTTTTCTGTCATTGTCTGTACTAACAGCTGAAGACAATAACAGGAGTAAATCGAACCGATGGACAAGAAAGAATGAGAAGAAGCAACAAGTCTGTAGCAGTAACAGTCGAAGCAACGATATTTACTTTGCTCCTCACTCTCCTGTTCCATCGACAGTTTGTTCCAACCAACCAAGAACAAAAAGTGGAGTGTCTTATGTATCTGAGAGAAAAGGAGCTGTGTTGACTGAAGTGGGAGAGCCTAATTATGGTGTTCCAATTTTTTCAAAGGAAAAAACTAGGTGTCATCGCGTAGGATTAGGACGAGGAGACGAGTTTGATGATGATGAAGAGAAAGATGTGGAAGATGGAGAGAACAAGACAAACCCTACAGATGCAATGCACATGTTTATGAATGGAGCTCCTCATGTATCCATTGAAGAAGCGCAAAAGTACACTTTTGCGATTGTGTTGAAACACACGGAGCAGATTTTTCAGTTGTTGAAACGAAGATTTCTGTCGCGCTCAGCAACATCTATTCGACGTGATTTACCGCATCAGGTGAGTGTTTTACAACAAAAATGTGTGCGACGACTGATTCAAGCTGGATTAGGAGTGATTTTATTGGATGATGGACTGTATGATAACTATTTAGACGACCAACGGGAGATTGACAGAAATCATGGCTGGAAAAGGAAGGAGAAAGATTTACCGAGGAATTTGTGCATCTTGATTGATCCCAAGAAAAACCCAGACTTGTTGTTGCATGAGTTTAAGCGTGAACTGGACGAGTTATCGATCAAGCGCGGTGACTCGCTTGGGCGGCTGGCTGAGGAGTCGCTAGACTCGCTCAAGGAAATGTGTTTTTCACCAGCACTGGAGCTGCAGCTTACACATAACATTATAAAGAACGCGTTGAAAGACTATGACAAGGAAGAATGGGTGATTGATGTGAACAAGGAGCTTACAGTTACCGACGTCATTGTGGAGTGTTTTCCTCTGCACGATCGTGCTTTCAACCGACAATTTTTTGACGAATATCGTAAGCGGACTTTTGAACTAAATTTACGCAAAGCTGTGGCGGGTAACAGTGATCGCTGGGCTGTGGAGGAACTCCGTCTCCACTTTGGCGAACGCGTAGCATTTCTTTTTGCATTCATGCATATTTACACCAAGCATTTATTGCCACTTATGCTGTGGTGCCTGCTCTACTACTTGAGCTTCCGCTTTATGTCCGGTGCAGTGTGGAGAGAGTATATGGAAGGGTTGGCAGTCATTGGTCTGTCGGTGGTCTGTTTTTGGGGTCCGTCTTTCCTGGTATGTTGGGCTCGGGAGACACGTTTGCTTGTAGAGAAATGGAATTTGACCAAGTACAAAAAATACTGTGTATGAACGCAATGATGACAATCCTGGATTCAAGTACATGTGGGTGAAGAATCAGCTGACGCACGAAATGGAAAAGGTTCCTATGCAGCGCAAGAATCACTGGATTCAGCTTACCATGTTGGTGTTTGTTCTAACATGCGCTTTGATTCAGTGCTTGTGTCTTGTGCCGTTTATCCAGTGGTATGTGTACGCCAAGAATGCTCCCACGTGCGATGCTTGCAACGGTGACAGTGAGGAGTCTTACGCTTGCATCTGGTTTATGACGTGCTTCAACTCGACGACCTCTGCATTGGGCACGGATCGATGGGTGTACATTCTTATTCAAGGTATTATCCTTGGTTTACTTATCGATATTATTTTCTTCGAGCTTTTCAATTGGATGTCGGAGAAGTTTGTGCAGTGGGAAAATTATGCGAAGAAGTCTGACCACGAGAACCGTCTCATTCACCGTCGCTTTGTATTCGTCTGGAGCAACTGGTTTTTCTGGTTCCTTTTCATTTCATTTGTCTACATGCCGTTTGGTGACAAGATCCTGGAGCTTTTTCACCAGCTTGGTTTTGGCGCGCTGGCACCATACGGCTGGAATCCAAATCTTCTTACTCTTGACACGCTATTCGTCACTCCACTTGTGGTGACACAACTCCTGAACATGCTTCTGGAGACGATTGCACCGTATCTACTACGCAAGCTCCGTGGTCGCCCATCTATTGGTTGTCGTCAGGCCTCACCCTTCACGTGGTGTGTGCGTCATCTATCGCGGTGTTTTCATTTTGCGAATTATCAGAGGCAGTCCATGCAACCTGCCAACATCAGTTCCGAGGAGACTACCCGTGGTGTCAGTAGCCAGGGCTGGCTTGAAGTCTACGATAACAGCGCTCCAGTCACTTACTTGACTGCTACTCGTCTAGCACATTTGGTTCAAAAAGACACGGGTTTTCGTGTAAGCGTGATGCCCATGTCAGATGATTCAAACAAGTATTCGGCCTATGAGATTTTGGCGGAAGTGAAACTGCCAATTTTTGATCCGGTATTGGATTACCTGGATGCTTGTATTCAGTTCTCCTATGTGATGATGTTCACGGTAGTATGGCCGCTGTTGCCGCTCCCAGCTTTTTTCAACAACATTCTGGAAGTTCGCGGTGACGCATTCCGACTGTTGTTTGCGAACCGGCGACCGATGCCACGGCGCGATACATCGATCGGCGAGTGGGCCACAGTTCTTGCATACGCTAATATCATCGGTGTGACTGTAGTGTCAGCTTTTGTAGTGGTGTATCATTATGGATACTTTCGAACAAACTGCAACTTTACATTTAGCAACGCGTACGTGGTGTCGTTCGGAACAATCGAGGCCAGTGAGACTGCTGATCCGAGCGCATGCGTGAACGACAGTGAGTCGGCACGTTGGCGCATGTTCCAGATTGTGCTGTTCGTGGTGCTTGAGCACGTGAGTTTTTGCGTTCGTTATCTGGTGATGCAGGCCGAGAAGACTCCTGCCTCAATTCGTAGTTCAGGCTATCAGCGGCTGAAACAAATTCAGCGCCTGACTGCAACCCCTGCTGCTCCTCCCTCTCAGCTCGAGTACGTGCAACGTCTACGAGTGCTGTTTGAAAAGTACGATATTGATGGCGACGGGCATCTGGCGGAATCTGAGCTGACTCAGCTTCTAGCGGCCTGGTTGTGCAAGCACCCATCGGAGCTACTGCCATATTCGGGACTCATTTTCCGCTACATGGACAAGAACAAGTTGGGTAAAGTCCCGTTTTCTACATGCTGCCTTATGATGCAGCACGTGAACCATGACCGATTCTTCTCATGCCTGTTGGGTCTATACGATCCGATAAATGGAGCGTACAACGACGAGATTCGCCGTACTTGTGATCCCATTGAGTTGCACCGTGTGCTAAGCGAGGTTTCATCCGAGGTGCAGCAGCGCCGTAGTAACATGAGTCGTGCATCAGACGCGACGAACGTCTCGCGTCAACGTGATTCTACCTTTTTTTACGTGGATAACTAACTAGATTGGACCAAAGAAGACCAAGCAGTTTTGTTGTCGTCAAATTCCACATCTCTTTCTTATTCTGTTGAAGATTGACTACATGAACACCACGGTGTGTCTTTTTTCGTCTTGCATACTACACCGTTTGGAACACAGACGCTTATACTGTCACCAGTTTGCCGACCTTGCAACACCAATATTATGAAATGCATGTAATGTGTTTTCAAGTGTAAACTTGTCCACCATCTCTTACACTTGCGCTAATGAAGAATAGCTCCCTTCACCGGCTTTTTATTCCGGACGTGGACACTTTGTTGTGGTCATTCATGTCCACATGCTTTTCTCATATTATAATGTCGGGATGTTGATTCATTATCCATTACATTACCTGCCTCTAAAGGCGCTTCAGAAGGTCCTAGCCGTTAATGTATTTGACGATGACAAACATGCCTCCCCGCCATTCAGTGATCTGCTATCTCGACGGAAAGCGTACCGCTCCACCCTTATCAGATATGCATCGCCCGTGATGCGTCGGCCCATGTCCAACAGTGCTGTCATTGGAATACAGGCGATATTCGTTATCACAACGACCTTCTTTAACAGATCACGTGCCGTTCTTACCAAATCTCAACGGCTCGGAACTTGTATTGCTGACATCCTCAACGTAAATTAATTTAAACATTCCAATGCCCATCAAACTGACCGTCTCGTTCAGCTACACGCGCCATCAGCGCTTCTGAGATCTATCAGATGTTGGTTCATGACTCACAATGCTTAACTAGGAACTGAGTGCGTAGCGCTTACGGTTTGAGACCTTCAATCATCTGCACGGATCATGGCGGTATAGCCAAGATGATATCATATCTCGAATCCAAAACGAGGACGCAAAGAATCTTTTCGTAAGAGCCTGGCTCGGTTGCGCAACGGACAGCGTCGTAGTAAGTGTGGTAGAGCGGTGATCACTAAAAGCTCTTTGTGATTCCGTCCTTCCACTGCCGTCCAAACTGTCGACTGGCGGGGGAAATGTATGCTTGCCCTTCCTCACCTCACCAAGTCTCTAAATAAGGCCTAGAGGCCCAGCCAAAGGACCTCCAAATATTGGTCAATCTCCCCCTTCCGACGACATTGAAGGCCACGCAGTCGTTTCTTACAGGACTGAATTACTATAGTAGGTATGTTTAAGACAACGCTGTGTACGCGTTGATCCTTTACGAATTAAAGGGGTGGACTCTTACGCATGGCGGTGCAAGATGAAGATTAACGACAGGGGATGTGAGAAGGCATTCCTGCGCGTGTCAACAGGAATTTTGGTGGCCTCACTTCATCGGTTACTAGACAGCTAGATTCGATCCTGCAGATATGTGTCAGCGCATTGACCACAAGTATGTATGAGATACACAAATGGCTTCCACATAGGTAACAGCACTAAGGTAGTTAATTACGTCAATGTTGTATCCATGGTTTTGCTAAAGGCTCAGTATAAGGATGTGCGTCCAATCATAGCGCGCGTCCAACACAATTTATGTGGATCAATACGTAGTGAGATTTATATTCAGCTTATTAACTGATAGTCACTCTCACACTTTCTACTTACTGCTCAGTTCGCACAGAAAAACGGCCTTACGGCTTCCGCGACGTCACTAGTGCTGATGGTACTTGTGCGTCGGGTAAGGTCGCCTTGGGATCCTACCAACTACCTTGATGCACACAAAGAAAGACAGTTTAGACGCTTCCTCGCTTGTACCAGAAGGTGTGTGCGTGTAGTGAATTGCAGTTTAGCGCCCGCCTACAGATGGAGCTCTTGCTGAAATAGACGAATGCCGTAGAAAGGTTGACAATCAGGTTGCATTCTCCATTGATCGACACGCGACTAATTAGACATTAGCGGCCGAATGCCACGATGATCTGGTTGTCTTGTCAATATTACTTGTCTTTCCCGATGGTACTTTCTGCTTCCTCTTGAGTTTGGACGTGATTCTTTAAGAAGGTTATCATTAATGTGGAGAAGCGATTATAGAAATATTCTGTCGGGGCGATCGGGTGATCTTGCAATTGTGATAAGTGAATCGATCGATAAGGGAATCACGTGGTGTGGACTACACACGTCGGATCACGATCGCACCAAGTCGCTAACTTATGGGATCGCGCAGTGTAGATCACATTATGCGGATCGCGCAGTGTAGATCACAATATACGGGCCGCGCTTACGCCAAAGTCGTATCGCGTGGTGTGGACCACCTGCCCCGGATCGCAATCAAGATTGAAGCGGCGCGTGGCAGTGCTTAAATTTGCTAGTAGGGGGTAGCCATAGGTATTGTTTCTGCCTTGAGGCTAGTAATTGGTATAGGTTTTAGTTGTTAACTAATACATCGGTAACATCAGAACGTACACGTACTCTTGCCTCTTCCGGGTTGAACTGCTGGACACCCGTTAGATATAAAACGCATGTACAGCAGATCGCATTTAAAAAGTGTATTGACAGGGTTCAAGTCTACTCAAGACAAGTCTACTGCAATTGGACGCAGCGTTCAAGCAAAGGACCTCTACGAGACAGCTCAAGTTGTAGCCGAGCTACTGTATCCAAGCTACTTATGCACTACGTGCAGAGGTAGACAAGCTCAAGAGATTATATGTCTCAGGGTGCTTAACCCTCTGCAAGGCTACCTTAACAAGCTTATGCCTTTGGTTGCAAGCAATCACGTCTCCAAAAGACTAGTATCAAAGATACAATTCCTATAAGGAATAGAACGCTCTAGCAACTCAGAGCAGGTTTTGATACTGATTTATATTTATGTTTATCTTCTAGCACTAAATATAGAAGCAACAAGCGCTCCACCTTTCTCCACAACATGTTCCGCCGGTTGGTCGATATCAGAATGTCGTCAATGTATGACCGTTGACCCAGCACCGAATGGTACGACTTTACATCTGGTTCCCCCATCGCAACAAATCTTCAGTTTTATATGTATTGGTTCCTAAGAAATAAGTAAAAGACTTATAAAAAGCGTCATCCATCAGTCGCTGATATCTATGAGGCGCATTCTTCACCTTATGACATCCGGAGCCAATATAATCATCTCAGCGGGGTGACAAAAGCTGAGATCCATCTCACCCTTTCGGTGATTCTCGACCCTGGCCTTTTCCTTAATATCTCAGGTCGATTGGGGGGAGGGGTGCTACTCAGACGAACCCACAGGCCAAACTTATCCTGGGCTTCTCTTCGCAGTTGGGTCTTACCACACTACTTCACTCAACGGGAGGCCAAAATGTATTCTTTTTCGGAACAGGTGGGTGGACTTAACAAGTTCCTTTCAAGCGCAACGGAGTCGTGCTACGTAAATCACAAAATTGAGCGTTATTTAATATAATCTTATCCTTTCATTTTTTACTCTATCCTTGCCTTGAGACCTACTTTTTGATGCTGATTGGCCAGGGGTATCTTGGACTTGAGAGACTGAGGTCTACCTTGGTTGACTGAAGTCTACCGATGATGGACCAGGGTCGACCTTGAGGGACCAGGGTCAACCTTGAGGGACCATGGGTCAACCTAAGAGACCAAGATCTTCCTTGAGGGACCGGGGTTGACCGATGATGGACCGTGGTAGACCTTGAGGGACCAGGTCCACCTTGAGAGACCGAAGTCTATCTTGAGGGACCAAAGACTAGCGATGCGATACCATGGTAGACCTTGAGCGATCGAAGTTCACCAAAAAATTGTGCTTGGAGGATGTTCGAAAAGTTTTATCGGTATGACTCCAGGTCAATAGTAAATTCGGGGTTGAAGGGAAAGCTATGATCAAGATTGCAAAGACGGATCTGACAATGAAGAATAGACCATTTCGTTCGTTGGTGGGTCACTATTGTATGAGGCATATGCGGTATGCCAATTGAGCCGGGGCTTGTAATTTTCGCACAAGAACAATGAAATGTATTTGTATGAGCATTGCGATATTTGAAGATGACGAAGGGCAAAGGGATTTGCCATGAAGGAAATTAGACGATTTGTAGCTGAGCGCCTGCACCGATGTGTACTGGGCGAGTAAAACGTACAGCCGCAGATTGACATCAGGAGTGCTAGTCATGATCAACGGTACATTTGTGACCTGCAAGTCGAAGGTACAGCAGAGAGTGACGCTGGGTAAGCAGAAGCGGAATGACTCTAACTAGGAAAAGCTGTACACAAAGAGCTTGTGGAAGGAGATGCAAGTGCAGATTAACTATGCAATACCGAAACATGAAGACACGCCCGATGTGCAATTGCCATTGCGAAGACTGATGTTCATCAGATTCGAGACAAGTACATCGACCATTCGTGCGTAATCAAGTGAAGGACACAATTTATTGAGCTCAAATAGACGGATTCGAAATCGCATCTGGCGGACTTGCCGTGGAGAATAAAATTGCACGATATATCTCTATTGCGTTTATGAAGATGGCCAAGGGTGTTTAGAGCTTTAGTAGCTAGACGCAGATAATATGACAAGTGAGTTAATGTTAGCTATATCTATACGTTGCTACGCTGCATTACGTACGTGTAAGCCTATTCATAAGCACAAATATACCACATTCTATCTGTATTTCAACCAATTGTATTGTGAATCGTATATGTATTTCAACCAATTGTATTGTGAATCGTATGTGAATTTCAACCAATTGTTCGCTTTGACAGCGTTTCATACTCATCTTCGCCTGCAAAATGCCTTTGCCAATCCACCGATCCCGACTCTGCGACTACACGCGTCTGTGGGACGCAGATGTTTCCATTGCCACCAGTTTATCCAACTTAAGACAACAATATCATGACGTGCATGTAACGTGGTCAAGTGTAAACATGTCTAGGGTCTCTATCACGAATGGTGCGATTGAATTACAGGCAAATAGTTGCTCGAAAGTACAAATTACACTTGCACTCATGAAGAATAGCTCTCTTTACCGGCTTTCACTACGGATTCAACTGCCACAGGTGGACACTTTGTTGTGGTCATTCATGTCCACATACTGTTCTGATATTATGATGTCGGGATGTTGATTTTCTTACAGGATGGACGAGCTTTACTGCAAGTGGAATTGCCAATGATGAATAATGTAACAATGGCTCTAGGCTCAGGATCTGCTGATGCAGCAAAGAACGAGGTCTTAATAAGCTCGTCACAAAACACGTCCGTATTTGTGGAACTGCCGTGCATTTCAGTACGTTATTGAGTAAAAAAGAGAGGAAAAAAAGAACATGACAAGAAAAGCTAAGGATGTTGCTACTGTTTTAGGATGTAGCAGACACTTTTCATGATGTAGCGTTTGTATGGGACAAGAAGTGGATGCGGTGGTATGTGGATGAAGTCTTGCTGTTAGAAGAATTCATCCAAGATGAAAGTGCACGAAGAAAAAGCGATGATGACTATGGCAAGGTCGTTCTGGACTTGAGTGTCACAACACCGGGGGGCCAAGCTTGCAGTGAAACGGATGACGTTGTATTCTGGCAACTCGTCGGACCCTTTCTGCGCTCCACGATATTCGACTTCCAGAAACTGTCGACCACAAGCACGTACGTTGGTAAGATGCTTCAAGAAGTTTATTTAACTTTCTTACCTTTACTTTATATACGTCTGTAGCATTTTCTCCTCGTCTTGGATCCATCCGTGGTTCATTGTCGGTAGATGAAGTGGAGACATATATCGATGAAGTAGCTACAGCATTTCCTCTCATTACAAAAGTAGAGGAGCTTGGCCGATCGGTTGAAAAACGGCCACTGCGTGCAATCTGTCTTGGCGCATGCTATGCGCCTCAAGAACAAAAGATTCCACAAGCACTTTTCACAGGCATGCACCACGCCCGCGAGGTAATTCGCCAAAGAGTCTGTGTTTTTAGCTGTCAGTTTTCCTTACAATTCAATCTTGTCTCCATGTTTGATTGTTTAGCCTATTTCGATGATGGTACGTTTCCTCTAAGCTAAACGCTCAATTTTACAAGGTCCGCGATCTTAAGCTCGTTCTTGTTGGTTCTTCATTGCAGAATTTGGTCTACACGATCGACATTTTGACATCAGATTATCGTAATGGAGATTTAGCAGCTTTGGAGCTGCTAACGTCCCGGCAGCTTTGGTTCATTCTTGTTGTCAATCCAGATGGATACGCACATAACGAGATGCTGCGCATATGGGAACACAATAAGATAGGTCGGCGCAAAAGTGCAGCGCCAACTTGTTATAGCAGCCTTCCAGATGCAGGGGTGGATCTGAATCGCAATTACGACGTCTGCTTTGCACGCGACGCCAATGGCAGTAGCAATGAGCCATGCGGGGACGATTACAACGGACCCAGCGCTTTTTCGGAACCGGAGACACAGGCTGTCCGTAATCTTGTGGAACGTCAGACGTCAGATTTCAGTGTGGCGCTTAATTACCACTCTTACGGCATGTACTTCAATCTTCCATTCGCTTGCAAGGCTGAAGGGGAGCCAACTGGGACGAACAATTCAATTTTTGTGGCGTTGGCTCAAGAAGTGGTCCGTTTTAATGGATTTCGCTATGGCCAATCTTGGAAGGAAAGCAGTTTGTACACGGTCAACGGAGAGACAAGCGATTGGATGTGGCAAGCGCATGGCATTTTTGCTATGTCACCTGAAGTTGGTCCGGCATTTGAGGTCACCTCTGTTCTAGGGTTTTGGCCCCCTCGTGATGATGTCCCTCAGCTATCATCTGCGCTTCATTATTCAAACTTGTATATGTCCCGCATGGCGGGTCCTGTGTATTCGTTGTTGGTGAATCGTGTTCAGCTTGGCACTACCGATGTTAGCAACTTAACTTTACCATTTATTTATGTTGATGTAACAATCTCAAACCGTGGTTTGCGCCCCGGAACTGCGGAGTTGGTGGCATCCTTGTTCGTGAATGGAGCAAGCGCCAGTGATATTGTACGGTTAGAGCTCGAGGCAGTACCAGACGGCTCGGGGTCTTTGGCCGAACAGAGTCACACATTGGCAATTCCTAACTCCGAAGCTGATTTTCACCATTCTACGAGTGAGATCAAGGCACTGTATATAGTGGTGAGGGATACACTCAGTTGCCATCTCTTCCGTGTTGGTACGTTGTGACGTAGTCTTACTTACTGTATGGAGGGAATTGTTTTCATGCTGATGCTGCTTTTGCTTTTACTTTGTGCGCGGTCTAGCCGTTTATTTCGACACGGTTCGTGAGAAAAGGAACTATTCGAATTTCCAAACATGGACTGCGCTACCGCTTCCTCGCTGTGGGACTTGTGAGGTGTTTGGTTCTTCAGGAAATTCCAGTAAGGCGGGCAACGATCTCAAGGTATCTCGATTATGTCATGAAATCAAGGATGTAACTTACCTAAAGCCTATCAGCACCCGACCGATTGGGCCGCTCGCAGTTATTCACAATCGTGTTGATAGCTCTGCAGAACCTGGTCCGACACCAAAGGCTACTCCCCCTAACAGTGCTCCCTACGTCGCTTCCAGCAGTAGTACATCAGAAGAAATGACTAAAGACAAGCGCGCATCATTTTCGTCAAGCTTGGCATCCCCAACGTGGTCAAATTCAGTTGCGATGGCATCTTTGGTATCTCTCGTGGTACTTATAGTAGCCATCCTTTTCTTTCGGTGCTATTGCCGGAAAAACAACAAGAAGGCCGCGGAAGCGAAAGCTGCTTCGATGGGGCAAAGTAAAGTGCAGTATTCGCGCATTGCTGGAAAAGGCAGTAACTTGCCAGCGCGTGACAGGGAAGTGTTTTACGAGGAAGAAAATGAAGAACAGGATTCCGTGGTTGCAGAGATTGGTGAGAGGAACGTGTCGGCCGACGATTAGAATACGGGCGTGTCGAAACGAATCGCGCTCAGTTTCCTCCTCGTCGAACAAGTGATAGTACCGCTCGTCATGTAAAGACGTCACGCTATACAAGGCAATAGGTAGCAGATCCGATGACGTGTGGTGTGTGTGACCGGCTCCTGGTATTCTTGATCTTCTCTTCGGGGTGTTCGTTTTGCTGCTGTTGTAGCACATTGAAGATATGTCGTGCAGAAATATTCCAATTACGGGCTTGAGGGCATCTCGTCTTACTTAGTGTCTCGTGTTCGCTCCTTTTGATTTTGGAATTTGCACCAGCAGATCAAAAACTCGTGGAAAGGTAGGCAAAGCTAACTCCATCTTGAAGATGATGTATTATGTGAAAGTGACCTACAGGACAAAGACGAGTAGTCACATGCTGTCTCCAACACCGTTGCATCCAATCTACCTCTTTGACTCTCTCCACTGACAACCGTCGCAGAGATACCCTACCTTTTTTCTACCTTTATTCGAGACCACTCACTTCCAGCAGCCCTAGGATACATTTTCGCAGAAGCGTAACATTCGACATGGGGGAAGCTAGCAATAGCAGCAACAGAGTCGAGCTACTGGTTTTGTGGATACCGCCAAGGGCGAGATGCAGGACAGTGGCAAGTAAGATGTTGAGAGATGCTAATGGTATCGTTGTCAATGTGCTAGAATTGAGGCGATTAACGTACAAGAGTGAGGAGCAATAGCCGATGCAGCCACAGCACACGATCACGATTATGCCGTCGGTCTTATAACTAGATACGTTGATGACACTGAGGACCACGATGAGGATGGTTATGAGCAAAGATGCAGACGCTGACGTGCATGAGGAAGCGTGAGTTGAACTTTTTGTTCAACCCTTTGAAATTCCTGACTGATGATCATCGGTCAGGGATCACGATAGTTCAGATGTGCAGTGTGTCGGAACGACCGAGTCTCGAGAACAAGTTGCTAAGGTTTTACTTACTGGCTGTCGATTACTTGCAAGGACGAAAACTGGCCAAACAGTTTGGTCGAGTTTACGTCAAGTTGAATGTTCATGTTTTAAAATGTCGGAGGGTGTGGCAAGGAAAAGCTGCTCTACAGACCAAGCCACCCGTTATCACTGATGAGGAAACCAAACGTGGAGCCCGTGGCGATCCCTAGAAAGAGGAAAAATACCATGACGGCTCCGCCCGATTCGCGATCCTCAGGCTTTAACATTCGAGGCGCTACGCCCATTGTAACAGTCGAAAGCAAACCTGTAGATATGCCAATGAACAAGTTGATGACAATATTGAAGGCCAACGCACCCATGCTACCGAATGGAAACGCGTAAAATGACGTGCCAGCCACGCCGATAAGTAGCAGCGGAATGAAGGCAATGCGGAGCAATGATAATCGTAGTGCCCATCCCATCGTCACGACGCGGTACACTGTCGTCGTACACAAAATACGACCAATGAAATCGCCGTAATTGTAGCTACCAATGATACCCGGGGAACAGTACCATGTAGCCGTGAGGTCATGGGCTTCGTCGTTAAATGGTGGGTACAGATTCCGCGACGCTGCGCAGCCAAAACCTGGAAACACTGAGAGCGACACAAAAAAGACAAGAAACTGTGCAATCGCCGGTACTCGAATGATGCCAAAAATACGTGCCAGATTCTTCAATGTACGTCCCATGGATTGATTTGCCAACTGCTTTTCCTTGGCTGACTTTTCATTGCGGTTCATGAGAAATTGAACCGATGGTAAACTTATCAAGTACCGGTAGAGCACAAGAGCCCCAATGAGAATAAGAATCAACAGACTAAAAAAAGAGATAAAAGCTCCATCTTGTCGAAGTACTTGTCTGATTCACACCTCCCACTGCCAGTCGTAAGACGGTCGCTACCGTGATATTTAGAATACCAGCACAGGAATTACCAATTTGTACACCATTGGTAAATTTTTCAATTGGAAATAAAGCAGCAATTGTATAATACGTGGCTTCCGAGAGAGAATTACCAATACCAATGCATCCAAAACACACGAGAATCAGAAGAGCACCAGTCTTTTGACTTGTAAATGTCATAGCACTAAAACTTAGAATCAGGAGAGCCATAAGTAGAAAGATAAAGTAACCGCTATGTACACGAAAACGTGAAGTAAACTTTTTATCAAGCCCAAGCCCCATTTGAATACCTTGACCAATCACCATTGGCCAAGATGTACAAAGGGTCGTTAGAAATGAAAACTCGAGCCCTGACTGGGGAAATTGACTACTATAGAAATCTTGAGCACTAAGACAGGAATAATACGCCCAGAGGACCGATCCATTGAGAAAAAGTAATGAATAATAAATCAAGTTTTCATGTTGTATCATATCATTCCATATTTCTAATGGTAAGCCATCACGTTCCATACAAACGACGTCTTCTTGTACGAATTTCTCAGATTTAGTTGGGGATTCCATGAATGCTTTGGATAGAAATGGATGAACGATTTGAAAATTCGACTTGAGATCTGAGACATATATATTTCTAAGAGAATTGGTACATTTATGAAACTTATATTATGTATTATCGTAGGTTTATCATGTCACGACCTTTCAATGTTTTTCTCTCTAGTACTTGATAATATCAAGAACGAGAAACGGACGGACAAAAATGGAATCGACGAGGGTATTTTTTCAGAATGAAGAAACCTTTCTATACTACTACTATCTGTATCAACCCATTGCCAACAATGCCAGCCAATGCACGTCCTACTATACTGTTCACTCACGCATTCACATACTGCATCGAACGGTTTTGCAAGCCGTGGTTGGGGAGAATGGGATGCCTATTTCTGATCAGCATTCAATCGATCCCGTGGTGGATTCATCTTTTGAATTTTCACCATCGAATCCCGTCGTAGCGCACTGGAAACAAACAAGTGCGAGCTCATTAGTTAGTTAGTTGAACCTGAAACCAAGGAAAAACAATAACTCTAGCAGCATTTGAATGCATACACACGTACCTGAGGTCATTGGGAGTCACGAAAATAAACTGCTTCTTATTGTCCTTCTTGGCGGCCTTGACAAGCAATTGAATAGTCATGTCACGGTTTACTGAATCCATAAACACGTCAAACTCGTCCATCACTCGAAACGGACACTCAATGCTCTCGCCAAGAGCCAGTAATAATGATACTTGCGTGTAAGACCGTTCACCACCAGAGAGCTCCTTCATGTCGGTTACTTGCGACGCTCGCGACGCTCCTTTTTCGTTGTGCAAAACAGCAATCTCAAGTCGCTGATCATCATGCCGGAATTTCAGTTTACCTGCAAAATTATTCAGGCACATATACTTATTGAACTCCATGGACGTTCGGTGAGCAATGTCCTTCCGCAAAATCTGCCACACCCGTTTGCGTTCCTCCAGCATCGATCGAATACGCTCCAGGTTATCACGAAACTTGTCAAAGTTGGCCTTCTTGCTTTTATACTTAATCTCTTTGGCCTCCATGTCATCTTTCAGCTCCGAGAGATCCATGCCTTGAAATCGACTACGTTCGCGGTCAATCTGATGCTTGATATCTGTCAATCGTTTGCCGTAATAGTCGTGCGAGTGTGTAACAGCTACTCGCTCACAGTGTTGTTGTGCCTTTTTTCTCTGCTCCTCGCATTCTTCTTGGAGTGCTGCCAGCTCGTCTTCCCACCGCACAACCATTTCACGCAACGTACCTGCCTCCCGCTGATACGTCATCTCTTGTACCTTCATTTCGCTCAAATGTTTGTAGATCGCATCAGTATCTTCCTGGTACTCATTCATCTCGATAGCGATTTTTTTCTCCGCCAAGTCTAGTTCTTCAAGCATATGCAACTGACCTTCCAAATCTGGGTTCGACTTTGATAGAATCTCGTTCAGCTCTTGCTCACGACGGTGAAAACCATGAAGCTCTTCCTCAACGCCTTTTACCTCTTCCTCTAATACAGAGGTATCGAGCGTATGCTGCTGCAAGTCGTCTGACAATTCTTCCTCAAGACTGCGCAACCCTGCACGCTTCTGGTTAAACCGACGTGACAAGTAGTCAATGCGGTCATTCTGCTGCTTCATCTGGTGCCGGAAATCTTCGCGGCTACGTCGTAGCCGATGCTCATCGCGACGTAGCACCTCCAAGCTTCCCTGCAGAGACTGAAGCTTCTGGTCTAGATCTCTGACCTCTCCCTCCACATCTTGGCAAATAATGGAGCTACGAAGGTGTACCTTGTTGGCAATGAATGCCAAATTACCAGAACGCACAATAAATTTGTCGCCGCTAGGGAGGTACACTTCCGACACAAAACGCGCCATCCTAAAATTGCCACTTGAGCCGCTTAAAACACTCTCCTCGGCTGACTGGCGATCATCAAACAGCAACTTACTTTCCAAGCTGCATACATCAATTAGAGCATTGAACACCTCGTCATCGTTTACCTCGAGAATGTTGCAAATCGCGTGGGCTGATAGGCCTCCTTCGGCCAGACGTAAATTCTCATATCGACGTCCCGCACGCTGCGAAATAATTATGTTGGCTTTGTTGGGTGGACAGCGAGCCTGGCGCTTCAAATCATCCAACAGCGCCTTGTCTTTACCATTGGTCACCAAGTAACTTCCCAACTGACCCTTCAGCGCAACTTCGATCGCAACTGCAAAATGCATATACCTCTCCGGGAGCTTGACATTGAGTCCTAAGGGTCCAATAGGCGGAGCAGCAAACCGATGACGGTTTTGCTGGATAAGCTGCTGTAGCTGAGGAATGCGATTGCCGTATACGGCAAGGCTATCGCGCTTTTGCTCTCTGAGCGAGTTGATTCGCTGCTGAACCTTACTGGCCTCGTTGTCAGCTTCACGCAATTGTCGAAGACAGGTTGCATGCCGATTGTCCACGTCATCCAGCTCCTGAGGTCGTCCCTGGGCCCGTTCCTTGGCTTCATTGACTTCGCGTTCCGCCTCCTGCACTTCCCGCCGTGTCATTTCAATACGCTCACGCATTTCATCATTGCGCTGCAAGCGATTATGAAGTATAGCTTCGTGGTGTTCACGCTTTTTCAGCAAATCGTGTTGCAAACGGGCTAGTCGCTGGTTGGTGCGTTGTTTGGACTGAGTCAGGTGTTTCAGCTCCGCCTTGCAATTGTGCAATGGACGCCGAGCTTCACGAATTCTGCTTTTCACTTCCCCTTTCCTTTGACTGTTTTCGCTCATGCGCGCATTAACGTCTTCAAGCTTATCGTTCTTATCCTTTTGCTTTCGCTCCAAATTATCTACAGCCTTTTTCGTTTCTTCATATTCACTAGCAGCATGTTCCGCATTACGCTTTACTTTCTTCACCTTTTTCTCCATCTTTGCAGCCATGGCTTCTTTTTCACACACAAAAGACCATGCCAATTCCTTTTTGAGCACTTCAAACTCTTTTTCCAGCATTCCAATCTGCACATTCATATTCAAACCCACCAAATCAATTCAACAACCTCAGTAAGAAAATGAGAAAGAAAATATCCAAGCGGACTAAAATCACTCACACTCTGCGCTTTTATCCACTGCTTCTTGGCGTCGTCCATTGCGTCTTTTAACGTCATCATCTTGGCTTTCTCTCGCTTTAACGTCGACTGTGCAATAGTTCTCACCTCTTCGTCAATCTTAAAATACGTTGTTCTCATTTTATACAAATCCGTCGATTGGAGAAAGAATTTGTATTTATCCATTGCATTCCCTTTTAAAAACAGTTTTGCATTTTTCTTGATCGAGAATCGCACATGGATTCTCCGTCTGAATATTGAAATGATCGAGCATGGCATCTAAGTCCATCTTGAGCTTTGATACAAGTACGCCATGTTCATTCTTTAGTCGATATTCTGCTGATCCATCTCGACGAATCACGCGCTCGACCACAAGTTTACGACCAAATTGTTCTGGACGAAACGCATCACTACCACTAGCATCATTGCGTAATGTAATTCGTACAAATGCATGTCCATCATGTCCATGACGAATTAAATGCTTGATACTTTTACCACGATGTGTACTACGTGCACTAGCTCCCAAACAAATTTGAATGGCAGCTAGAATTGCACTCTTCCCACTTCCATTTTCGCCCGTAATGAAATTTATATGAGGACATAAGGTCACACGTAATTTACGGTGACACATGAAATTTTCACAATAAATTTCTTCAATTATACCCATTTCTGTCTCCATTTGGGTCTCTTTTGCAATCCTATTGTGATTAGTGTGACTCTTAGTTCCTTTGGTCAGCATGGAAGAACAGCAAGATGATGGTGGAACAATACGTTGTTTCTTCTTCTTCCATTGTCCATGCTCCTTCTTGTTGACGTCATCATCATTGTTAGTATTAGTAGTAGCATCAGTGTCCGGAAGAAAAGTGTCCATTTCGTCTTCTGTCTCAGACGTCTCTTGATTCGTAGGTACCAACTCATCATGCACACGTTTCTTCTGATGCACATTCGCACGTGATTGCAGACTTGAAGGCATTTACTAAGAGCTGATAGTAGTAATAATACGAGTCGAATACAATCACACACACACACCTGTAGAGATTTTCAGATAATGGGCACTTTTAGGAAAAAAAGATGACAAACAGGACAAAAAACAATGCTTTTTGGGATCCTCTTGTCCAGCATGAATAGACCAAAAAGTGGATCATGTGGTTATTGTAATATTGCTATAATTAGTTGGAGAGACTATGGATTTGTCGTTTCAGAAATCGATTCAAAAACATTCTCGAGCGGGAAAATTATCAAATTTGAATTAGCTACAATGTTCAAAGAGGAAGTGAGTCACGTGTGTCTATTCATTCACGCAATTAACTTGCTACTATGGACACTTTTCTTGCAATGCCAGTATATTCATGACGCGAGTTTATTCTGCTAGTCTTCACAAAACCTCATGCACTTATTCAGTCTTGAAAGCAGTTGGTAGCAGCGACTTTTGCATCTGCGTCAGCTGCTTTGTGGCTCTCACCAACTCTGAACGTCCAGCGTGCATGTGCTTTAAATGTTGTCATTACGGCTCTGCTTCAGTTAAAACCTCCTTGATGATCGACGTGCACTCATCAAGTTGCTTTTCATTCATGACAAGCGGGGGTGCAAGGCGGATAATGTTGCCGTGAGTGGGCTTGGCCAACAGACCCTTCTTTATCATGTTCATGCAGAGTTGCAAGGCGTTCGGCTGGTGAGGCCGCTCGTTAATGATGATCGCATTCAGCAAACCACGGCCGCGCACACCTTGAACTACACTTGACTTGAAGCTGCACGATAACACACACAAGTATTTTGAGATCGGTTAGTGCATGAAAAAGTCATCAACTGATATCAAAACAATCAGATGCATTCACGTACTTTTCCATCTCACTTCGAAACTTGTTGCCGAGCTTGAACGCATTCTCCGCAAGTTTCTCTTCTTGAATGACTTCCATGGCCGCCATGGCAACTTTACAGCCAAGTGGGTTACCACCATACGTGGAGCCGTGCTGACCAGGTTTAATCGTGAGCATGATCTCATCACTTGTCAGCACAGCTGAGACCGGGTACATCCCACCCGAAAGTGCTTTACCTAGAATAACAATATCTGGCTTCACGTCTTCATAATCCACCGCTAGCATCTTTCCAGTGCGTGCTAAACCGGTTTGAACTTCATCAGCAATCCAAAGTACATTGTACTTGGTGCAAAGTTCACGCACACGTTTGAGATACCCATCATGAGGCACGACAACACCAGCTTCTCCTTGAATAGGTTCTACCATAAAAGCAGCAATAGTTTGTCCGTCTTTTTTCAGCACGTGTTCCAATGCATCAATATCATTGTACGGAATGCTACTAAAACCCGGCATAAAGGGTCCATAGCCACCATAGGCGTCCTTATCATTTGATGATGATATAGCACTTAATGTCCGTCCCCAAAAGTTATTTTTTGCAAAAATGACCTTGGCTTGATTCTCTCGAACACCTTTAACATCATAGGCCCATCGTCGTGCGAGTTTCACGGCCGTTTCACCCCCTTCCACACCAGTATTCATTGGTAAAATACGATCATACTGAAACACATTAGTCATATATTCTTGATACTCTCCCAAGACATTATTGTAAAAGGCACGAGATGTGAGTGTTAGTGTCTGTGCTTGATCCGTTAAAGCTTGTACAAGCTTGGGATGACAATGACCTTGATTAACAGCGGAGTAGGCACTTAAAAAATCGTAATATTCGTTTCCATCCACGTCCCATACTTTACAACCACGACCTTTATTTAATACGACAGGTAATGGATGATAATTATGAGCCCCATACTTCTCTTCTCGTTGAATGTACTGACATAATAACAACAGAAAACAACAAACTGTGAATATTAATAGTATTATAACTAGTTGGAAAGAGAAAGAGAGTGTAATACTGTGAGAATTTATATAGTTTGTCTTCTGTACCTCTTGGGCCGTCCAGATGCTACGAGATGCAGGATGATGAAACTTGGATACAATGGGATAGAGTTTTTGCATGTTTGTAAATGTTTTCATACTCATATAAATACACGGCGTCGTTTATATGGAGGGAAGCGAGTAAGATGGGAAATGATAGAGGGCTGACGTATTGTTTTAGTATGGGACTTGAAAAGACGCAAGTTTTAATTACCTCTATATATTAATAGGTATCTTCCACGAGTCACTTCAACTTTAGCATTGCAACGAACGTTGCACTGTTTATTCAAAAGATGTAGCAGCACCGAATCAGAATTGAGGATGGAGAAGATAAGATTATACAGGTACGATGCACTCCTTTATCCAACGTGGTCTGACGATCGTCAAACCACGTTGGATAATACATTGTCCTAGCTACGTATGCCAGCCAGCCAATTACCATCAACAACGTCTCAAACAAAGATACGCATCAAGTGTGAAAACGCATGCGTCAGGTTAAATTGTCCTGTCAAATCTAATACATATCTTACGATGGAAAACAAAGAAAAATATATCAATGCTGCGACATTTTCTGCCGTTTTTTTCTTTCATTCCGGTAAAATAAGGTTATTTCCCTAAACTAGGTTTCTCCCCTCCTCCATTCCGACCCATTTTTACATTAAAATGGACCCATCAACGCAAGCAATTGAGCAGGAATTGACCCATTTACACGTAAATGACCCATTTGACTCAAACTTGCCACCACAAATGATACATGCAGATGTCATTACTGCAGCTGTGAAAGCTAAAGCTACAGATACAAAGGATCATAATCATGATCATGATCATTTATTAGATAAAGACGAGCATGAGGACGCTACGGAACGTTTCGACCATGAAGGAGTCTTGAAAGCTTCCATCTTGGAAAAAGTCGCGACGGAAAAGCGATTACGTAAACTCTCGGAAGTATTGATGGATGATTACGATGCGACACAGGATAATGCCGATGCGGGTGATTTATTTGAGACACTTCCAGCACCATATGGTCAATTATCCACCTATCAACGGATTGAGATTACGTCAACGGGTGAAGACATGGATTATGAGACCAAAGAAGTGTGTATACTTATCCGGAAATGTCTTTCTCTCCGAAACAAATGGATTACAGTAAATGAAGATTATCCGGCGACTATCTGGCCAAGTCCATCAAATGTAGCCATGACAACAACAACAACAACAACATCGAGTATACATACTGGAGCCAAGTTACGACATCGTGATGAAATTCCGTATACACCCTATGAGAATCGTATACCTGATACTACGCGTCATGCTTTTCAAATGATTGATGGTGTTGTTATGGTGTATACAAATCAGGAAATGATGGATCAACCACCAATGTGTAAAATTGGTCACATGGAAGAGTATTACAAGGATTTGTTTGAAATCAAGCGAATTACCAACTATGGACCGATGAAAACACTTGCGTTCAAGCGATTGCAACTATTGGAAGCAAGATTTAATCTACACATGTTATTAAACTCGGATCGAGAGCTTTTGGCACAGAAAGCAGTACCTCATCGGGATTTTTACAATGTCAGGAAAGTTGATACACATATTCATCATTCCGCATGCATGAATCAAAAACATTTACTCCGGTTTATTAAATCACGATTACGTAATTCACCAGGTGAGATTGTGATTTTTCGTGATGGACGCTTTATGACGCTGAGTGAAGTCTTTCGATCATTAAACCTTACAGGGTATGATCTTAGTGTTGATACATTGGATATGCACGCGAGCAATACGTTTCACCGTTTTGATCGGTTTAATTTAAAGTATAATCCTGCTGGACAAAGTCGATTGCGTGAGATTTTTCTAAAGACGGATAACCTGATTGCTGGCAAGTATTTGGCTGAAATTACAAAGGAGGTCATTTCTGACCTACATGCCAGTAAATACCAACTTGTAGAGTGGCGTATTTCGATCTACGGACGGAAACAATCGGAATGGGACAAGCTGAGTCGATGGATGTACGTAAACAAGCTATCGTCTCCACATGTGCGATGGATGATTCAGATTCCACGACTCTACTTTTTGTACAAGAACCTGGGCGAGGTTGACAATTTTCAGCAAATGCTAGATTGTATCTTCCTGCCACTTTTTGAGGTGACGCGTGACCCGTCGAGCAATTTACCACTGCATTTTTTTCTTGAGACGATGGTAGGCTTTGACTGTGTGGATGACGAGAGTAAGGCGGAACCGGTCCGAGCCGAACGTGGCAAAACGCTACCGAAGCCGCAAGAATGGACCTATGAAGCCAACCCACCGTACGACTATTGGTGCTACTACTTGTACGCGAACATCGCTACTTTGAATGAATTTCGTCGTCAGAAGGGTCTCAATATCTTCTCGTTTCGACCTCACTGTGGCGAAGCTGGCGATCCCGATCACTTGGCAGCAGCTTACCTCACTGCTAATGGCATCAACCACGGCATCACGCTGCGAAAGTCTGCTGGGCTGCAGTATCTGTACTACCTATCCCAGATTGGCATTGCCATGTCACCGCTGAGTAACAATCGCTTATTCCTTGCGTACCACCGCAATCCGTTCCCCATCTACCACGCGCGTGGTTTGAACGTCTCACTCAGTACTGATGATCCAGTCATGCTTCACTACACAAAGGATCCACTGCTCGAGGAATACTCGGTAGCCGTGCAGGTCTGGAAGCTGACGTCCACGGATATGTGTGAGATTGCGCGTAATTCGGTATTGCAGTCGGGCTTTGAGCACAAGTTCAAGGAGCATTATCTTGGCCCCCAGTACACATTGCCTGGATCACGCGGCAACGGTGAGTCCCTGCTTATACTTGTTTGTTTGAGCTGCTTACTAACGCAACAGTCCATTTCTAGATATTCGAATGTCGAATGTGCCAGATATTCGTGTGGACTATCGCCACGAGACACTGCAAGGCGAGCTCGCGTTCATTCAGACGTAAAGAATCGCCGTGTCATGTCAAACAAGACTTATAGCTTTAAAGGGACAAGCCAGCTCACAAGACATACGTTTTTCAGATTGATTTTTTAATGTGAAAAAGTGACTTGCAATGTATCTAGCATGGTCTACACTCCACCATGCAGGCAGAACTACGTTCCATTTACTAGACTTACTGTAGTTTGTCCAGAATACGCAATCCTTGTTCCTGGTACTCGCTCTTTAGCAGCCAGAAAGCGTCGTTGTCCTTCATGACGTCAGCCAGCACACTACCACCAAGGAAGACCAGGTGTTTACGACGAGGCGGGTCGTTAATGCGCAGACGAAATTTGCTCAGACGGCTCTTGTCTCCCTTGAGCACATCGGTCAAGTATCGCTGCTTAATGTCTTTTTCAAGACGGCTTGGTAGACCCGGGTACATACTGGAACCACCAGAGAGTACAATATTCTTGAAAAATTCCGTGCGCAGATCAATGTCCGCTTTCATGCACATCTCAAACACCATGTCACTAAGTCCAGCACCCTCGACATCAATCAAATTCGGTTCAAAGAGAGCTTCCGGTGCTTCAAAACGTTCACATCCAAGTCGTACAATACGACCATCCGGCAATTCATAGGATTCTTCAAGAATCGTAGTTTCCAGTGCAAGTTTACGTTCAGCAGCTGTATCATAAGCTACGTAGCACCATTTTTCTTTAATCTGACGCGCTGTTTCAAAGTCCGCCGTACGATTCAAAGGATATCCACGTAGTAACATGAGTTTAATGAGATAATTGGTAATATGACGTCCAGCAACATCGAGACGACAAATCAAATGCTGTGGTACGTAACCTTGGTACACTGGTACAACATGTGTCACACCATCACCCGTATCAATGACCACACCAGTTGTAATTCCCTGTGCATATAATGTCAGCATAGCTTGTGTCGTGATATTACATCCATCAAAACCATAATTCTCAAACATCATTTCCACGAGTTTTTCTCGATTGCGTTTTGGATTTAATGGTGGTTCCGTCAATAGAATTCGATATCCAGCGATTGGATCAAGTCCTAAGCGTTCCTTGAATGTATAATCCCAGAGTTTCTCCATATCATTCCAATTCTTGACAATCCCATTTTCCACTGGATACGTGATTTCCAGGTTTGATCGGACTGCTGCTGCTTCATCACCAAACATAATATCCTGAGACAAGTTCATACCAAATAAATATTAAATTTCACAGTGAACAAAAATTCAACTGACACAAAGATCCTAGATATTATCCAACTCGGTTTATTGGTCGCTCGTACTTTGAGTAAAATATCCGATTGAACGGCTTCCTCGGCACGTAAGACCGGTCGTCCAATAAGCGATGGAAAGATTGCTTTTGGAAAATTCTCAGCGGCAAATCCAGCTTTAACAAACTGGATAACAATTGGAGCGAGATACACGATACATACATACATATATCAAGAGAAAAAAAGAGAGATTAGAGGAGTATATTATCGTATTATAAAGATATAAGGAATTATGATTAACGCACTCCGGTGCCATTATCACACACGATAATCTTGTTAGCAGCGACCATAATGGTGATTCGATATCAATAGTGAATGAGTAGGTGATGATGATGATGTAATCAAAGCTCTCTCTCTCTGTCTTGAAGAAAACCAGTTTAGAACGCGGTTTTGAAGTCGGTGATAACTGGTTAATCGTACTTAGGAATTGTAGTGACGGTACCTTATTTGATTTAGAAATAAATGTATGTTTATATAATTATAATTTTACAAATCAAGACGTGATGAAAAAGTACGTTTTAATAATAATACAACGCTCTCTCTCTATCTCTCTCTATCGTAGGATTTTGTATTTGTCACTAACGACAATATCAACAAAATACTCGCTCCTTCTGTATAAGCACAGTATTCTCTATCTCAAACTTGTCAGATCATTCTCCTTCTATGAATGAGAGAATCATGATCTTCTTCTTCACTCCCGTCTCTCTCTTCTTCTTCTTCTTCTTCTTCATTCCACATGGTTGAATAATACAAGTTCAATAGATTGGATAGTAAGCAATGACATGATGCTCAATAATCCATGTCTCTCCTTCCATAGTCAATAGTAGCAACAACAGACACCAGAAGCAGGAATCAGGGTAATACAGGACTATACTCTTCATGCAATCTGTCGCATTCGATGTGCCGTCTTGCAATCAAGTCCACAATATTGATCATAACGACTAAGACCACGCTGAAAACACTTGGAGCAATTTGTACACCACCGTTGCTCCTTACTTGGTGCATACTTCTCGGTGGAATTTGCTACATTTGGAGCTAATGTCATGCTAAATCTGGCCAAATGGTCAAAATTCTTAAATGTATGCGCATTTTCTTCACTGTGGCGAATAATATCATAGATATTCCGTTTGCAAACGAAATGTTCTTCATCTTCTTCACATATTATTGTATCACGATGATCACGATGAAATACACCACGTAATTTACCACTCAAATATGAAAACGATGTGAATTGACGCCGAGAACTTGTTTCATGCATCGATTTCTTACCAATTACTACATGGGAAAAAGGTTTACTAAGATGATGACTAAGATGGAAACTATGGTGACGTTTCGATATTATCGGGTCCTCTGTCTGAAACCACTGGAGATGATTCTGAACCATATTTTAAACCCTTTTTTAATCTATCAAGAAGCTTTAAAAATAACAACTGACTGAACCATTTGAAAGAGAGAGTGGGAGGACCTAAAGCGAAAGAGCAGGAGGAGTGGAGGAGATGAGATAAAAACGATCTGTTGATGAAGAGAAAGAAAAAAATGTCTAAAATGATTCAGGTTAAGTATGCAAACAAAGGTTCCTTTCGATAAAAGATGACATAAATTTGCCATCGTAAGAGTGGAAAAGACAGCTAGAACGCATCTAAGGAATACAATGGCGTGCGTGGGATTGATAACAATGCGACGATATGATCTTGCTGATAGGATCATGAAGTAAGCATTTAGAGGCGTTACATGTATAGCATCCGTCTTGTAGATTGTACCTTGTAACGATTAATCACGAGTCTCACGTTTAGATACTAAGCTTTCTCTAATGTTGCATGTTATTTGTCACACATGGTATTGCAGTACGATTGTATAATAATTACATGTGAACTTTTTCCTATTATAGAAATTGGATGCAACATAATTGCACAATGGAGCTTTTTTTATGACCATTACGATTTAAATGACCTTTCTACACGCATATAAACATTGTGTGCAATGTTTGTATCTAACTGAGACACACCATATATTCTGACCGGTTCTCAAAACCCTACGATATGCAACGCATCTGATCTATCTTCTGATCGTTATTCGCGACAAGTCAGTTAGAAATCAACACCAATGACTCCCTTCTTATTTCTATATTCGTTTTGACAATAACATCACACCGAAATAGAAATAAAACACCAATGTTCACGTAATGGTTGTATATTTCTTTCTGTTTCTAAGACTCTTTACTCGTTGATCAGTCAACACCTCGTGTACTTTTCTTCTACCGGTATGATGTGTTCATTCTCTACTGAGTCTTCTTCTCCCATTCGTCCATGCGTTGCTTGAGTTCCTGCGCATGCATGCGACGACCGATAAACTTGAGCACCTCTTCAATTAGAATTACCGGCAGCGAAAACACCAACACCATCAGCCATTCGTTCAAATCAAGTGGAATCACACTGAACGTATTGGCCAGCACGTCCACGTACAAAATAACAAAGTGCATGACAAAAGACACCACCATGGCAATCATGAGGTACGGGTTCGACCAAGGAGGCATAGTGATCAAACTGCCATCCTCGGAAAGTGCATTCAAAGCATTGAACATCTCAATAGCCACCAACACGGAGAGCGAAAGCGTCGACGCCGTCTTCTTGCCGTCAGTGAAGTACCGGCAAGGGTCCGACGAAAAGTCCATGCCGTCAAAGTTGTTCACGGTAAAGTTCTCCCATTCGTGGCACTTGGTCCAGTGGGTCAGCTGATCGTACGTGATCAGAGTATGACCGTCCCCCGATGCCTCATAATACATGTACCAGTATGCAAAGATACCAACGCAAGCGAAACCTACGTAAATGCCAACAACCATGTAGCGGAAGAAGACCCAACCGTTGATCAAAGCATCATCGCTGCGACGAGGTGGCTTTTTCATGATATCCGCATCCGGTGGGTTGAAGCCCAACGCGGTGGCCGGAGGACCGTCAGTAACGAGGTTCACCCACAAAAGTTGCACCGGAATAAGACCCTCCGGAAGGCCTAACGCAGCCGTCAAGAAAATCGCAGCTACCTCACCAATGTTTGACGAAATCAGGTAGCGAATAAACGCCTGCATATTGTTGTAAATGGCTCGGCCCTCCTCAACAGCAGCCACAATCGTAGCAAAGTTATCATCAGCAAGCACCATGTCTGCAGCTTCCTTAGCAACTTCCGTACCCGTAATGCCCATAGCAATGCCAATATCAGCCTGCTTCAAAGCAGGCGCGTCGTTTACACCGTCACCAGTCATAGCAGTAATTTCACCCAGCCCCTTCAACATCTTCACAAGCTGTTGCTTGTGCTTCGGCTCCGTGCGGGAGAACACCATACCATGGCCGTACGCCAAGTACTCTTTACGTTTTTCGATTGGAAGAGCAAAAAAACTCACCACCAGTGAAAGAACGCGTCGAAAGATCATCGCCATCATTGAGGATGCCAATCTTACGGCAGATACTCTCAGCAGTCAGCTTGTTGTCACCCGTGATGCAAATAACGCAAATGCCTGCAGTGTGACACATCTCAATCATGGGGCGCACCTCCGGTCGTGGTGGGTCCAGCATACTAACGAGACCAATGAAGGTCAGACCAGACTCAATCGCGGCAAAGTTTTCAGTCTTCTCAAGCAACTTGTGCGCTGGATGGTGACGGTCGCCGTCGTATGCGCCAAGTTCACCAAGGTCTTCTTTTTTGCCAGCGCAAGACAACGAAGAGACTTGCGAGCAAGGGACGACACCTGGGTCAGCAGCACCTGGCGGCCAGCGTCCGTCAAAGGCTTGACACTTCCGTCTCCAAGCTCAACATGTGTGCATCGGTCAATGAGACCCTCGGGGGCACCCTTTACAAGCAAAATATTGTGATTCGAGGTCGTCGAGCGGGTAGCACGCTGCGTCGCTGCACTAGACTTTTCACACAAAACCGACATTGACTTGCGGTCGCGCGAAAACTCGAGTATAGCCAGCTTTTTGTTCTGCTGTTCCAGGTACTCATTACAAAACTGAGCAGCTTTCTCGGGGTTAGCAGCACGCAACGACTGCATCTCCGCCTGCTTTATAGCATCATGAGGAAAACCAATCTTCTCTACAAGAACCTTTAGAGCAGCTTCAGTGGGCTCACCGACACGCACATATTTGCCATCATGATACTCAATAGCCGATTCATTACATAGCGAACATACAGTCGCTAGCGACGACACAGCCTTAAATTGGCCCAACGGAGCACCCTCGATCTTACCAATTGGAGCGTACGTGTGTCCTTCGACGTCGTACGTCACCAATTCCGTCTCTGCTTTACCAATGTGCGAGAACGTGACACAGGACATCTCGTTCGTAGTGAGCGTACCCGTCTTGTCCGAGCAAATAACCGTCGTACAACCAAGTGTCTCAACGGACGGTAACTTTCGTACAATTGCATTCTTCTTGGCCATTTTACGCGTTCCGAGTGCAAGACAAGTAGTAATGACAGCAGGAAGACCCTCAGGGATAGCAGCAACCGCCAGTGCCACAGCAATCTTAAAGTAGTAGATACAACCTTTAAACACTGATCCATAAATGGGATCAAAGAAGTTTTTATAATTGATCACCCATACAACAATACAAATAATTGCAATCACTTTCGACAAGAGTTCTCCAAATTCATCCAATTTCTTCGATAATGGTGTTCCTTCCTCTTCCTTCGATGCTTCCTGTACCGATTGTTGAATCTTTCCAATCTCTGTGTCCATACCTATTTGCGTCACAATACCACGTCCAAGACCATTTACAACCACTGTGGCGGCAAATAACATGTTGGTCTTTGCTTGAATAATATTTTCCGTTTCTTTTGATAACGCATCAATTCCTTTATTCACAGACGTCGATTCACCCGTCATTTGAGCTTGTTCGACACGAATAGCAGTTGTTTTCATCGATAAAAGACGTATATCGGCTGGTATTTTATCACCTACACGTATTTCCACAATATCACCAGGTACAAGTTCACAAGCAGGGACAGTCATCATTTCTCCGTCACGCAATACACGTGCATTCTCTGATTGTAAATCTTTTAATGCTTCTAAAGCAGCTTCAGCATTTGATTCTTGCCAGACACCAACAATTGCATTTAATATGAGAATAATCAGAATAACCAGTGGTTCCACATAAGCCCCAATGCCTCCATCATTATTCTCATCACCACCACTTCCTTCAATAATAGCAAGTGCAAAGGATACAATAGCAGCACCAAGTAGAATCTTCACAAGAGCATCGTCAAATTGAGCTAACACAAGTCTCCATAATGGTGTTTTCTCTTCTTTTGTTAATTCATTGAGTCCATAGACAAGACGTCGTTTGAGAACGTCGTTTCGAGATAATCCAATAATGTCATCGACATGATAATGTTGTAATACTGTCTCTGGTGTTTCAATCTCCGGACGAAAACTCGTGTTCGTTTCCATTATCTCGTAGGACACAAGAACCTTTTTGTTTTTTATCTTAAAGTATGTATACCAATGGATCCAGTTTGTGCCGCGTGGCAAAAAGAAAGAGTGACGGGAAGGAGGGATAGGAGGAAAGTGGAAAACGGACGTAAGCGAAGAGATACAAGTTTCCCCTGTCTAATATGATAGAAATGTATATTGAAAAGTGATTGATACGGACTATAGGATTTTAGAGTGTCTTTTTGTAAACGTGTTTTTTTTCAATATACGAGACAAAATATAAGGAAAGTACTATTATAGACATTAGAAACGGAATTGTGACTTGAGATATTAAGAACAATTACAGAATAATGAGATCTTACAAACTAAATTATATAAGTACGCAGCAATAAGGTAATATCGAATAGAGTAGAATGGTTTTTTGTCATAACATTGACTACCATTTGTGGACATGTTCATGGCATAGATACCCGTCAAATCGTAAAAACAACAGGATCAACTAACTATCCAGTAAAAGCAAATTCTAGAATATTCAGGTTCGATACATGATATGATGCAAATCACGCGTGACTATAAATGATTCAGTCATTGTCGCAGAGATGGACCAAGCATACTATAATCAAGCGAATCTTCTTTCATGTATTTTCTTTGTTGTTTTGTGCTAAAATTGCCTTTTTTTATACCCATTTCCATCCTTTAGAACCAGTATATCATCTTTTATGCCGACCCATTTTTCACTCGAAACTGTCGATAGTACAAAAGACCCATTTTCACTAGGATACAATCGAAACAAACTCATGGCATCATCATCTTCCACTTGTCCATCACGAGATAATAAACGTAATTCCTTCAATTCACGACATCCAGTCACTACTTTTGACCCATGTTCAAGCCGAACAATACTCTCCCCTCGTAATAAAAAACATCCACTACATTTGAAATATCCATCGCAACAAATGCCGGTCGTACTGATTCCTTTTTCAATGGACAATTGAAAATTCACAGCCTTGAAATCTTGCTGAATGGTGACAAGCTGCTACAATTCCAAACGATAAAAAGTACCAGTCAGGGGATGAACCCAAATACAAGCATTCGTATCGTGATCAATCGTCCTTGCGACATTACACATGTATCCCTTTGTATCCGGTAGTGTAATTGATTCCGTTTCCATAGACTTCGTCCCACTTGTAATCTCCTTCAGCTCTTCTTTACAACGCCCAGCGCGTTTTGCAACAATCTTAAGTGAAGTAACTGTATCATTATAGCAAGCCGTAAATTGTTCCATGGACGCATATACTCGACAACGACGAGCCTTCTCGTGTTCACGTACAGCCACTGCGTGGGTCACCTCAAACACTCCTAAAGCATCTTGCTAGCCACGAAGTTAATGTTCATTGCGATATTTCACAGCCTCGTAGCTATGACCAACAAATACAAACAGGTGTGCAACCTTCTTCTTGTTGCAGTCATATAATCTGCAGTAGAAATTGACATCCGCTTTGGCAAAGGTAGTGTGTTGCTCTTGCAGTTTCCCTGTTGATTTTAGCATGTTCGACGCTTGTCACAATTGCACGTCCAGGCAACTTGTTGCCACTGAGAACCACTCGCTTCGTATCGTTCCATGCAGTAAAATAAGTTCTCAAAGAGCTTAAAGCGGGTTTCAATTAAGTTTTTCCATGACGACGTAACTCGCTTGTATAGCCACCGCTCAAGACGTCAAAATTGCCAATAGCTTTATGTGTCAGGGCTTGGAGCACTGGATTTACCACCTCAAAAGGCCACACGATGCAATCAAAAACCCAGTGACAAACACATCGCAAAATCGATCGCATAGATACCAATTGATCATGCAAAGCACGTTTTTCATCCGTCTGCTCCCTTGTGTCGCTCATCGTTCTCAATGAAAATTGGACGATGAACAGTCCTTCCGAAGTCACACAACTGCCACTTGTCCACTGCCATCACATAACTGCCAACTGTCGAAATAAAATAGTCGGCGTTCTCATATATTTGGTTGTGGCTACCCTGTGACTGTGGTACTTCCTATTGACCGGTTTGAGATCCGAGATGGCTAGGGGCATCAGCAAAGTAGGTCTGTAGGATAAATGCGCGCGAGAGCAATGGCTCAATCTCATTTTCAACCCAGTCTTTCGTCGGCAAACTTTGCAAAAAAAGCACTAGATCCTGAAACTCCAGCGTCTTGAGCGTCTCGCCAAATGTCATTAAAATCGCAGCACACACGTACACATGAAAGCTTTCAAAGCCAGAATCTTCGCACAAGTATGTGTCCCAAATGCGCACGATGCCGTCCAGCGGTAGCTCGCGCATTAGCAAACAGTTCATCCAACGGAATGCAAACTGCACAAACTGTACGTTTTCATGCTCGACAATATGCTCAAATAGCTTTGCATCACAACGATGGACCAAGTCTTCCATGCGCTGTACCATGCGCTGAAGTCCAGGCTGGGCAAATGTGTAATGGTCCTGGATATCGTCCAGCAGCTTCGTTAGACACCAGTAGCTATCTGCCTCAAGAATTCGCAAATTCTCGTCCGACACGTTGGACAAGTCGCACGTCTGAGGCTCGTCTACGCATTAACGTTATGTTAGCTAGTTCTAGAATTGACAAGCCGCTTTATACGTTGCCCACTTACCGACAAAAGCCGAAATGAGAACGACCAAGAACGGCGTCATGAGGTCATTGATGCCTTGCACGTATCCACTCGCGGGATGCCGAATTGCCCAAATATATAGAACACGTTCCATACACTGTACAAACGACCAACCACGTGTCAGATAAATTGATGAAGATAGACTGATGTCAACACCGTCTCACCTGGTGAATACGCTCATTCTGGAAGAGCTTTACATCAGCGTTCGTGCGCGGAATGTCGACGAGAATCTGTCGCAGCGTCGTTTGCTCTCGTGCACCCCGATCAGTATCCGGGATATAATAGTACTGTTGCAGTAGTTCAGCGTATTCCTGTCGCTTTCGCTCCAACATGGTGCTACGCCGATCTTTCTTCGACGGCATATAACCCTGTAAACGCACATACACACAAGAACGTAAAGTGAGAGCCGAAACTACAATGTATCGCGCTTCAAAGCAGTAGCTATACCAACAGCAGTCGCCAGACTGTAGGTCGATGCTTTGTAGGTATACCGCCCCAGCTGAGCTTGCGAAGCTGGTCCAAATCAATCATTTCCTTTTCTAGTAGTCGTTCAAACTGGGCGTAGCGAAGATTGCCTGAAGCATTGCGCGATGACGAAGCCGACGTCAACGCAGCGTGTGCTACAAGCGGGCTTCCCTTTCTGTCTCCACTATGGTTGTCATGGAGGCGGTGAGGTTTACCGTTTTCCTGACTTAGAGACGTATCGCGCATCTCCTGTTTCAACTCATGCTCGTGCAGCGACTGACGGCTTCGAGTTTGTCCATCTAGTGGCTTGGAAGTCAAGTTAGCATTCTGACTGTCTGCGGACAATACGCTACGTAACCGTGGAGATACCAACGCAGTCACGGGAGAAGACAAATTCCTGCCATTAACATCATCACAATTCAACTTCTGACCAACCAACTAATCCATTATTGGTGCACGCATCCGCACCTCAGTGGGGCTGGCGACGGTGTCGCCCACACAGGAGGCAATTGTCCCGTATTCACCTGCTTAATTGATCCTGGTACAGCTTGTGCTTTGTTCTGTCCCCTTGAGAAAAAGCTCGACGTCGCAGCATTCGTGAGACCAGAACCACCTGCTCGTTCCTTCTTTTTCTTGTGTGAAAACTTGTGCAATGCAGTCTTGAATACATTTGTAGTATCTCCCTGGGAAGAAGACAAATGATTTGACTGCTATAATCAATCACACAAGCACAATAAACACACACAGCACCGATTCATTCAGTTCCACGAATGCAGTTTCAATAATATCGTCCTAGACTTTATCATTCTCAACACGTACTGTCTCTTTACTAGAAAATCGTTGATCGACTTTATCTTCCATTGATACAATGACTCAATTGATAGAAACGACGTGATGACTGGAATTAGACTCGATCAAAGATACTTGAACTCTTCGAACAAGATCTTAACTTGAAACTCTAATTTTATCAATAGGACACAGCAAATTCAAGTCAAAACTAGTGTGAATGATACATTTGTATACAAAGAAGAATATACTATGGCCAAAACGCCATGAAAACGCCTCATGGCGATGAAAAGACGCGTCCCCTTTAACGTACCAAACCCTGCAAGATTCCACGCCGTTTGTATTGTCGTCTACTGAATGTGGTGTAGTAAACGTAAGATTGGTGTACAGCACACTACGTTTTCAAAACCTCGTTTCAACTGACTGATACATTCAAACAAATACACTGAGACTGTTATATAATTAGAACAGTCTTGAAGTTACATTCACGTCTTGCTTGACGAGAAGAAGAGAACGTAACAGTAAAGAAGGAGGCCAAGTTGTAAAACTCAACACTTGAACTATGTATGGTTGACGTTGGACAATGTAACGGCTCGGACTCAGAGCATCCCTCTCCATCTTATTCTTATCGTGCCATGCAATAAATAGTGAGACAAGTAGGATCCGGTTTTATGATGCGTTTAGGGCTCGATCCTAATGACTGTGTGAATTTTTTCGTGAGCTTATGACTAAATTGATAGCAACAATGGATGGACCTTATGAAGGAAGCATACTGTAAGTGATATAGAAATATGTATAGCGTCTTTTGTATTGACTAACTGTGACTAATTGTAAGAGAGTATTAGAATTGATCATGATCATCATATGATTCACACAGCCACTGGTGTGAAAATGAACCCATAATGAACAGAACGGCGCCGGGCCATCATCACGCAAGCCACCGTGTCCTGTCAGCAGCTGCATTCCTTCCAAGCGACAGATTTGAACGGTCTTTTCTTTTTTTTTGTGATCACTTTGTCTGCTATGGGTCATATAGGTCGACGAGATAAAGCTAATGTAGTGAACTGGTCAGACGAGTTGAGTATGGCTGGATGCTTCATGTCTTGAACCCTGATTTATAGTGGCGTGAATGAATCAAGTGAGCTGGTTAAAAAAACTATGGACGACGATGCGATGAAGCACATTGTCGTAGAGTTCGAGCAATTTTTGCGCGGGCAAAATGCGTGCGGAAGCTGGCGTTGTTTGCATAAAGATTGTGACAGCCAGGCGTCAGCTGTCAAAAGCTTTGTCATTTGTACCACAAACCTGAGCTGCGACGTTCCTGCGCTGCATTGCTAGTGGCTTCATCCATTCCCCATCGTGTTTTGGTTGCACTCATCCCTCTATTTGCTAAGGAGAATGCAAGCAAGAAGGTTTTTTTACTTGCATACCCGCTACCTGGAATCGCATCCGTATGGGGCGTAAACGAGTAGCGCACGCCACAAGAGCTAATCATGATGCATGGAAGATTTGGATTTTATCTATTGTAATTACTGGCTGAGCACTGTTCAGAGCCGTTGCCAAATCGTAGCCGATTGTCACACAATCGCACGACCGCTTCCAAAGCTCGACAACGCAACAAATGATCATCACTCTGATCGTCAAATAGAAAAGTTTTTGTGAAAGATGGTGGCAATGTGGATAAAGGGAATCAATTCTTTCGTATTATATTAAATATCAATACAGGAGTATAAGGTAGTATAACCATTTTATGGTAAAGTACGTATAATATCTAGCTGTCTAAATGCGGTCATTGTGTCAACAGCCGGTGGATAGCAATCTTTGCTAAGGTTCAAGGAAAATTAGTATAAGGAAGGAGAAGTAGAAGAAGGAGGTATCTTTTTTTAGAATAAAAAAACCTTGATTTTTTAGATAGGTAGATAAGGATTGTGTACTGCACACATATGCATAAAGATCGGTTTTGTCTGGCACGGCAGAGCTCTTGAGGTAGCAAAACAAGGCCAAGATGAGGTTTTATTCTCTTTACCGATCTGGATTCCTATGCTTTAGGTTTTTAGCTTGACGAAGCCAGTCCAAATCAAACCAAAGTACCTCAGTCGCAAAAGGAAAAAGGAGACAAAGGTAACAAGTCAAAACATCAAGTAATCCATTCCAAGGCTATCTATCACTCGTTAAATTAGAGGTATGTAATATATAAATTCATGGCCTTTTTCTTCCTTCTCAACGGCATTCTTTTTTTTATTTATGACACGATTGTTTATAAAACTGAAACGGTCAAAAAGGAAAAAAAGTTATTGTCGTCTTACCTTATCTCTTCACCCACCACCGTCAAACGCTATTTCTCTAACTTATCTCCTGTCGCTTTAGGCGATTATTTGTTTCGATTTTTTGTACCCATTTTTTTTCCACTCAGACAACAAATCTGATCACGTACCAATGACTGATTTTATCCGCACTATTTGGCAAAATACCGCCAATACCTCTACCGGTGTATCAAAACCGATATCATCCACTTCGCCTGTGGATCAGATTCGTCTATTATCTTCAACCAGTTCAGTATGTAATACCAGTACTAGTAGTAGTACTACAACTGGTATCCAGACGCAATGTGTGATTAAATTAGAGCCACCAGTTTCACCGAGTTATGATCTTGAGAGTCATTCAGGTAAAGCCCAACGTTTAGCTCGTGTCAATGCACGACGTGATAAACGTAAATCCTCGTATGAAACAACTTCAATGGATACATTTCAGTATCCAAAGAAATTAAAGACAGAAGGAACAACAAGTGCTGATTCCAGTGGTGGGACGTCTACCGGTACGTCTACCGGTACGAGTGCTGCTGCTATAGCTGGTGAAGATCGTTTACGTGCAATGGAAGCTCAATTGGAACATTTGGATCCTGATTCCAAGGAAGCCAAGAAAAAACGTCGATTGATACGTAATCGTATGTCAGCTCAACTCCATCGAGAACGGAAGAAAGCTTATGTTGGTCAATTGGAAGATCAATTACAAGCAAAAGAGAATCAATTGAAACGCTTGCAAGAACAACTTGCTGCATTAGCAATGGAAAGTGAACAATTGAAACAACAATTGAAGCAAAAGAAGCACGAAGAGATGACGACGACGACGACGACGGCGACGACGACGGCGACGACGACAATGTGTATGAGTATGGAGCAAGATATGGTGATACCAATTAAGATGGAACCAGTTTTAGTGGAAAAGAAGGGTATTGGACTAGAGGAACAGCATCAGCTAGGACAAGGACTACAGCAACAACAACAACAACAAGCTACGGTTGATTGGACCGTCTGTTTAGATGATGTGGATGAAGCGATGGTTGGAGAAGATTTGCTCTGTGATCTAGATGAATCACCTTTAGCTGCCTATGGACTTCATTCAATTAGTGAAGATCCAATGACGACAGCATTGGCAGAAGAAGAAGAGCGACAGAAATTACAAGCACAGACGCAATCGTGCCATGAGATTCATGCTGCAAAAAAAAACTTGGCCATGATGATGGCGATGATGTTTTCGGTCACGTTTTGCGGACAGGGTGAGTCAGTTGCAAACGTCACGAGTGGCAGCAACTTTTCCTCGATGTTTAACGTCGTACCTGTGAAGGAATTATCACAAATGAGCATTGCATCACGGATAGTGGCGTGTCTTGAAAAGACATCGTGGGAGGACTTCCAGGATGTGTCCTCGTGGACGGCGTCTGCGGCTAGTGCAGCAGCTGCTGCTGCCGTCGCTGTGTCAGCTGACAAGAAGTCGCGCTCGTCATCGACCCAAAAGCCAGCGGACTCGCCGTCTGCATCATCAGACGTGACGGATGCGGGATCGTGTGCTTCTCCAAAGGAGCTAAAGGATGATGGCATGAGCTTTGACACGGATCTGATTGAGGAGTTTGTGTACCCAGTGGACGAGCCATTCGCCCCCGCGCTTGCTGATACCAATTGGTTTGGCGCTGACAGTGCCGACTTTGGCCACAGCGACGTTGAGGGCGACGACAAGCCTATTTTGGAGACCAAGACGACGTTCAAGCCCGTGTCGATGACCTCGCGTTTGTACGAGAAGTTGACAAAGCTTTGGAACGAAAAGAATCAAGTGATTCTGACCGTGCTGAACAGCAAGAACGAAGTGATTCGGCGTTCTGTAGCAGACATGAGTACGATCCGCAAGGGAATGTCTACCGGTGCTCTCTTCCCGACAACTGCTGCAACCGCTTCGTCCTCGTCAAATGACAAGCTGCTGAAGCAGCACGACCATTCGGTCACGTTTCTCTACCCGCTGAGTGCGTTCTCAGAGGACCAGCGTTCGGCTGCCTTTCCTAATGGCGGTACTTCAGACCAGGTATTTCTGGAAGTATCGTGCCAGATCAATGGTGTGGCTGATTCTGTGCTACTATAGCGGATTAGCTGAGGTAGGTAGACATGCAGTATTAGGGAGCACAAGCAGAGCGCTTTCGCTTCGTCTCTTCATTTTCCATGTGGCGTGTAGTTTCATATCTATCAGATGAACCATAGAGTTAAGGACACCGAGGCATAAAATCAAAACAATAAATGGCTTCTCTGCTTTTGTACGTGTGCTGGGTCTTATTGGTTTGCTATACGCACAGTATGAGCAGCTTAACACCTTTGAGCTGTCTTCGTGTCATCACGAGAGTCGTGGTTTGAGCAGTGACAGAGAATCCTTTCTACTTTCGCTTTCCAATGCATTCATTGCACGTGCCAGAAACAATCGAGTCTATAGCACTACGCCATCTCACAACTCTTGCGTTTCCTGCGGGTCTTTTCGTCATCACTATTGGGCTGCGTGAGTATAAGCGGCACCGAATTCGTCGCTGTTGCCTTCATCTCCGCGCACTCGTACGTTCCTGGACATCGATCCAAATCGACGCACCCGATTGACGGCATCGGATCATTAGCAGACCCCCAGCACTCTTTTGTTTGACTGCGTACTGTCAAGAGCTGTTCGGCTACCTCGGGTGACGGCAACTCGACGTACACACACTGCTGTCCCTCCCAGTACACGTTCACAAGTCGAGTTGCTGATTGTAGATTAAGTGCCCACCCCACACAGTGCTTAATGTGGAACGTCTTCAAAACTGAGCTAGAAACGTTGCCACCATTCGACAAAGACGTAGCATCTGCAGCAACCGGTGCACGCGTCCGCGTCAGCTTCATCCGCACAAACCGAGAGCGCGATGGTGTAGGAGTAGACTCAGGAAACGGACCTGGTAGATCCAGCACATACTTTGGCAGGAAGTGGCTCACAAACAATACGTTTCGCAGTCTCTCTAGTGTTTCGTCAGTGTGCTTTGAATCCCAATTTGAACGTTGCAACGGCGTTCCCAAGGAAGTGATGCACTCGTTCGATACCCCCAGACCAGAACACACGCGCAAGAATACAAACCCCGTCATGAATGCGTCATAGCCTGCCTGGTGCGCCTGAAGTGGTGCTTGCGATGAGCTCGTTAGTTCATTTCCATGTTCACGTGCTGCATCAATACCCCTCACACTTGGCTGCACACTGCGGACCTCTGGGCCGTAGAATGGATGCTTCGACAATGTCTCGAAGCAATTCTCAAGCGTAGTATGTGCCAAATGAGTCGCAAAAGAGTCCACCGTTTGCATAGCGTTGTCAACAAGCGCCTTTGTATCGAAGACGCCACCACCCTTACCAAGCCATGTATGCAGCTCTCGCTGAAACTCGGCACACCGCCCTGGCAGTGGTCCATGAAACTTTGCGTAGCACTGCATGAGATCAAGGAGCATGTTGTGTCCAATGATTGGCTTTCGCGCGGCTACAATGGCGTCCAGTACAGCAGTGAAACCAATCAAACGAAGGTTTCGCTCGCGCATCTCATCATCTGCAATCTGTTGGTCAGCCAACGACAACGCTAGCTTGATGCATTTCGAATGCGCGGCAACAATACGGACCCGACGTCTCCATGGATTACGCATGACATCCGCATTATCAACGTTGTCCACTTTACAATCAAGCGCTAGAGCATCTGGAAAAACACTGTGAAGATACTGCGCGAGAGCTTGGCGACGGAAGGGTGCCAGTGGTTCAGTCACGTACGCACCGCACGGAGCAAGCGTTGGATCAGCAGGCACTGGCGTCAGCAAGAATCGCTTCATGGCAACGATAGTGTCATTGTCTGGTTCAAGGTTCTCCTCCTCTTCTTCACCTAATGCAAGATCTGTTTCAGACATACCCACCTCCTGTTGTCCAGTGTCATCTTCGTCAACAGCTCCCTCATTTTCCTCCTCAACGTCTTCCTCCTTCACTGTATTTTCCAAATCTTCCTCAGCATGTGGCTGTTCCATCAATTCCTCCTTCCCACGTAAGATAATTACTTGCCATACATCCAGGTGACGTCAAACATTGCTGTTCTCTCGTATCACCACCCCTACTCTTCAGTTTATTCCGTCCATTGTTTTTCTTCTTGTTTTTCTTGCCACCACGTCGTCCACGTCGTCGAACGGTATTATCTTGCATCACTCTTCCACCACTACTTTTTCCTGTCACGGCATTTTTCCTTCCATCTTCAAAAGCTGCAAGTCTTTGTTTCAACTTGGTCATCACTTGATCCAAGAATATTTGTGTTTCATCTGTAATCAGTGCAGATTGTTTCGGATGAAATTTTCTCAATATCTCTGGTCGTGCTGATCGTTCAAGCATGGACTTGCACGGTTCTTTTTCTTGTTCATTGTGTGACAAGTAGCCAATACCTTGATCAATCCATACATTGAGATCAAAACCATGAGCTCGAATATATTGCAAACATTTTGCCTGTAGTAAAAACCTTCGATCTGGACAAGCCGAAGCATCTTGATTGTTCATTGGTCCAGAAGTTTTCATTTTGATCGTCTCTAGTCCATCAATTTTGTCATGAAAGACTGGAAAGAGTGGGAACTGATACGTTTCCACATGAAAACATTGGTCTTTTGTATTCCACTGAAAAATGCCAAGTCCAAATTGCACCAATGGAAATTCCGTCGCACTTTCTCGATATTGACGATAACGCTCATCCATGGAATCCATTACACTAGGACGTGGTGTACTAACAACAAATATTACAATAAGATGGAGAAAAATTGCAATAGAATATGACAATAACGTGTGTGACCTTTGAAACCAAAAGAAAAACGACATTAGCGTAGATTCTTACGTACTCATGGCATGATACACCACCCATTTCTGTATCAATTGATACAAATACACTTTCATTGATTAGCTGTTGTAAACGATCGAGTATTAATGCGTCAAGATCATGGCGTCCAAGGTCCTGTATCTGTACGTAAGGTAGCATTTCGAGTGGTCTAATGGAAGAAATTAGAACAAAAAAAGCGGACATTACATGAAACATTGTCATTAAAAACGTGAATTTGTGATTTTCTAATGTGAAAATGTCGACTGTTTTTTTTGTCGCTGACAATTTGTTTGGTTTTGTATGGTGAAATGTAAGATTTCAAACGTGTGTCAAAAGTTGATCAATTCTTACACTTCTTTTGTCAGGTGGATGGAGCTGTGAATGTTGTCACTAATAGTCCAAACGCGTAGTTTTTACACTCAGGAAAACGCTTCTACTGGTAAAAAAAACTATCGGGTTCAATATTGTATAGCATCCACTTAATCATCCTCTTCATCACTTGAAAACATTATATCTTCCATCAGCTCATCACCTGCATTGTCCATGGACAACCCACTTTCATGACAAACATATGCGTAAGCATCCTGCCCTACAGTTTCAAGGAGCGGTCCCATAAAAACATCTCGAATAACCTGAAGATCTCGACCTGAGTCCAAGAAAACTGCTGCCACAAGAGCTTCAAAAACATCCGCAAATATTTTCGGCAACGAGTGGTTATTTGCTCCAGATGAGACGCCCTTCCTTTTCACCTTTGGCTTTCTGGATACACCAACAGCTTCAAATGTTGGGCTGAGACCCGTGCTCGCTTCATGACGGGCGTACTTTCGCTCAATATTACTAACGCGTTCCATCGTCTCGCGGTCAATACGGACGGCCCCCGCAAAAATACACTCGTCAACGCCAAAACATGCCAGCGCTGTCTTGCCCAAGGCATCGTTAGATACCGTTGCACTTTTCCATTGTGATAGTGATCCGGGCAACCATTTGTCGTACATGAGGAATGCGTATGACAGGGTCAAGTACTCGATCAAAGCATCACCAAGGTACTCCAGTCGCTCGTAGTCTCCTTTCCACATCGTCTTTTTCTTTTTTTCCGTGCGCGACATTACCTTAATGTCACCGTCCTCACGACTCGCACACGCATCGCTAGCATCCATTTGGTCAATATGCAGAACAAGCTGACCAACAGACGGATGCGTTACAGCTTCCAGCAGGAGGCGCTTGTTGCAAAACGTGTACTTCAGTCGTTGTTGGAGAAGCATGAACCGTTTGGGCAGATCTTCAAACTGTGGCACCTTGAAGTTTAGGCTCAGCGGACGTTGAACACCCCCACGCGACGTCATAGCAGCGTCATACAGTTCGTTGGGGAAGCAGTCTGGATAAAAAGGTTGCGCAAAGTTAGCAGACGGGTGCTCAAGGACACTGACACCAATCCACTTAAGAAAATAGCGAGCACCCTTCTCCCCCCTTGCCAACCAGGTACGCTCCGGTGATTGCCTCTAGAACGTCGGCGATCCATTTCGATGGAGCTACCACCGGATCAGGCGTCTTACCCATGCACGATGGCTTCCAGCACTGGAAAGGGTGCTGTTCCACTTCGGCCGGGTATAAAATATAGTGGTGAAGACGTGCCGCTAACGCAAACTGATTGAGTCTATCGTTGCGAATGATGTCGCGACGAAGCTGCGTCAGTTGACCTTCTTGTGAAATATCCTTCCGCTTCTCGTACATATACCACGAGGTCTCGAGTTTTAGGAATGTATCCCCGAGGATCTCAAGTCGTTCATACGCAGGTTTTGTGGTAGCCTCATCCAAAAGTGCCATATCGAGCTCCAGCCCGATTTTACCCATCAGATGTGATATTTGGCATTTTCGCTCAAACTCGTAAAGAAGCGGTACCAATCCCATTGCATCAAGAAAGCGGCTCTTCGTCAGGCGAAGACGTGAAGTGTACTGCGGGATGAGCAAGCGTTCGTTAAACTTGGTTTTGTACTGTGATATGCTTCCTTCGTCGTTATTTCGTTGCATGACCCGTCGAATAATTGGGACGATAGGAGGAACCTGAATACCGTGAATCAACGGCTGATCCGAGTCGGCCTCTTCGAGCTGTTGCCGAGTTTGCCACCGACCCAGAATGGGATTTCCTGGCGTTGATTTTCCTTTCTTCAAGTGGGTCGCCCACGTTTGCTCGTCTACTAGATACTCCTTCCGAATATCTTTCACCATTCGATCAGTAAAAGCATGAACCACATAGCTAACGTTAAGGCGATATGTCGGGACGCAGATCCATTCGTCCGCTGCATTTGCTAGACTCTCTGTCGCAGTTGTGGTCGGTAAAGGCCACAATGGCTCGAGTAGTGGCTTCCCAATGATGTCACGAATGTAGTCCCAGTCTAACGACAGCGATGAGGGTTGTGTCGTCTCATCCAACAGGCTAGGCACAACCAAGTATCCTTTGTCGTTTTGTTCAGAAAATTCATTCCACACTTTATCACTTGCGATGTCGACATCACGCACTGCGTCTTGTACACCCATACAAGCCAGACGCATTACCACCAAATGAAAGTGCAGTGCATCGTGCAGCTGTTGCTTTGTTAGAGTGAGCTGTAAAGGCCTCTTCGCTAGCGTTATTGGCTGGATCTCCGGTGACATCACTCCACTTGTCGCAAAATCATAACGCCACCCCGTATTAGTGTTACCAGTATACAACTCGTTCGTCGACAGAATTGCGTAGCGTGCACCAATGAGGCCATAGAAGCACATTGTTGTCGACCACTCCTCATCTTCTGCACTACTACGGGCAGCTTCTTGTGCCAGGCTTCGAATCGGCCGTAAACTCAATTCCAGCGCGCTTACCGGTGGTAAGTCATACGATGACTGCGTCGATAGATCACCCAGTTGACTTTCTGGGGCTTTGTCTTCGTCGTCGAGTACGACTGTGTCATCAAAGTTGGAAGTCTCGTTTTTGCCATCATTAGTGTCTGCGCCTTTTTCGTCGGTATGAATAGTAGCTACTTGGTCATCTATAAGCTTTGAGCGAAAGTGCCGATCCAGCAGTCCCCTTTTCACTAACTCTTGACACGCCTTAAAAGCAACAATTCCCTTTGCCTCGTCTTGCGTCTCAACCTGCTGCGAATGAAGCTGTTTTTTAACGCCCGTAGCGCGTGGGAGTTTCAGTGTTGCTGAGTAACGAAATCGCATATCTTGAACGTCGGTAGAGTCAGTATTGCATTCTTCATCATCACTATCCTTAATTTCGTCAGTACCCTCCTCAGTCGTTAATTTAGCTCGCTGCTCAGCCTCAGCTTTTAGCACATCAATTTTGTCAGTCAGCTTTGCGTTGTACTTTAATAGCTTCTTTTTGGACCGTTTCAACGATGGTGCTATGGGCTTTGCAATGGAGATTCGCTTCACTGTATACTGCGGGCGACGATCATACGTATCTAATCCTGGCAGCGTATCGCAGAATTTGCTTAAACATACCAAACTATTTGTCACGTTCAGCAAGGCACCGGTGTCACGATTGATAATCTCATACGGACCCACCACAGGCTGAGTTGGTTTTGAAATTACCGACATCCGGTGTTCTGCCTGCAGCGAGGCCAAGATGGAGCTCGAAGAATTTCGTGCTGCAGATTCCTCTAGAGCAAGCGGCATCTGCAGGCTACCATTTATACCAGTAGATGTTGATGCTGCAACGTGGATTTGGCTGCTTTCTTGCTCCAGACGAATATACTTCTGCATTTTGCGGACGAGATCGTCAAATTTCTTTCGAGCGAGCACTGTATCTTCAGTAATATACTTGATAAAGCCGCGTATGGGATCTGCTCGATTACCGAATTCAAAAAGTTTGTTAGCTTCTAGTAGTTCATTCATGACCACGACGAGATCGCATAGTGGCGGAGCCAGGCGCATCCTCTGCGAGCTCTTGGATACAGACGTAGTCACCATGATCTTCGTTTCAAAGTCCGTGAACATTTGTATCACCCTAAGAAACGATGAAAACCGAAGTGCTCCAGATATACGAGCGTTGCTACTACCTAGCATGCAACAGCTTGGTGGTATACCCAGATCTGCTAAAGCAGTAGTCATATACTCAGCAACAACGCGGCAATGACATCGCCTCTCGACAAATACCCAAGCTCGGACTTGTTTTTCCCCTGGAGAATTGGTGAAACGATTTCGAACCACCTCGGTAGTCTTCAATAGCCGTGGCGAGGCCTTCAGCGTCCCGCAGAGCTTCAACTGTACAGACAGCCACAAGAGGACACTCAAAATAGGTCGGATTTTCTGTCTCGTCTTTTCGTCTACCTCAGCATTCGCTCCAATAAATCTGGCAATCAAGCGGTCTGTCTTTGTGTGTCTTTCCACTTGGTCAGCGCTTGCTTCACAACTGCTGACATCCATTGTCTCGCTTTTTATGTCACTACTGTCCACCTCTCCATCTTCTGGCTCATATACGGCACCGTTATCAACACGATCTTCATTCATGGGATCATCAACCTCGACTGTATCATCCTGTTGCTTTCGTTTTCGATTATTCACATTGTCTGAGTCGTCAACAATGCAAGCTTGCAAGTTGACTTGCAGTTCCAGCTCCACAAACTTCCACAAACACCATTGTCCTAAATGCTCTTTCACTGCTTCGGCATCCTGAATGAACCTATTCACCTTCTCTTGCTTTTTGCGCTCATCGTACACCGCTGCAGAGTTTCCAAGCTCAAGCTCAAGTCGGAACACATGAACTAAGTCTACTTTTTTACTATTTGCACCGAGCAAGAAATCTCGTACACTCACTTCTTGCTCCTCTTCATTCTCCACGTTATTTGAAAACACCTCACAGTGCAACGGCGGGAATTTTGGCTCCATGGACATTGACGAGAACACTGGCAGCATATGAAATACGCTAATATACTTCAACAGTGGATTCGTGACTGGATTCCAGTCCATTTTTGATGCTGCTAGTCTTGTCGTTGTAAAAAGCCGCGTCATGTCTGTACTCGGTATCTTGTCCATTAGACCCGTTAAGAGCTTGAAAAAAGATGGTAGCTCAGCATGCACCAGGTCCCAGTCTTCTATCACCAATAGCTCGACATCTTTTAGCTCAATATCTCCTCTGCGCAGCGTTTCTTGAAGAATTAATGGCGAAAGGATCGTGATCTGGCCACGAGCAGCTTCGAGCTCATAACGAACAAATTCAACATCATCCAGCCACTTGTTCGACTTCATCTCTGGTGATAATACAGCTTCATCACTGCAAAGTACGCGTAGTCCACACAATCTTGCGAGTTGAGTCTGTAATGTCGAGCGTTTTGATGGTGATGCAGCTACTGCCAGCGCCAGCTGCTGAGGATTAGACGCAGCAGCTTCACATAACAACGTACAGCTTACAAATGTCTTTCCTACCGGCTGCATACTGCTTATTGATACGCTACGATGCCGAGCTACAGCTGCAATCTCTCGCTGGTGCTCCCAGAGCGCGGCGTCCATCGATGCGTGCGGATGCGGAAACCGGAATGATGTTCAATCTGAAAGTTCTGCAACTTAAGCTGGTGATATGGAAAAATAAAACCTATCAAAACGAATGACATTGCGAATATTTCGATAACATTTTGGAAAGTATCAAAACATATCAAGCTATAGAAAGACGATATTATCATTTTGCAGTGCCAAATATGGATGCTCAGCTACTCTAGATTTTGGCTGCATGAAAGTCCTTACATATATCCAAGTCTCCAGGCCACCAAGAGAGAAGGCACAGCGTCGAAATACTTCATCAGCCATGTACAGCAGGAATGGCGAACAAGGCCAACTTCAGACAAACTGTGTCAAGTCTTACAAACCAATGTCATTGAATCTACAGACAAGGTCACAAATATTAGGTAAGTTAGGCAAGTTAAAAGATTAGTTGATGCAAAGTGAAATGCAAGCAAACACAGAGAAAGAGTGGTTTCCGACCCATGCCTTTTCTGCTGCTCCTCAACCTGCTTGGCTAGCGCCTTCTCAAAAAGGTCATTGTCGTGGTAGTACATGAGCGCAGACTGGAAAGCGTGCAGGTCCAGCTTAAACTTCGTGCAAATCTCTTCAGTTTTCTTACCAGATGCCTTGATATACTGCTGCGAGATCTGATTGCGAAATTCCGCGTTCGTTAGCTTCTCCTTGCGCAACGTTGCAACAATCTTCTCCATTTCTTCCGTCAGCAATGGGATCAGCTCCTCCATAACGCGAATTACCGTCGTAACCGTAATATCAGGCTTATCTTCAGGCACCACCTACAGCAAGATTACGCAAGCATCAGTCAATAGAAAACAAAACATCAGCATAATCAGTAGCTTTGCTCGTTCGTTACCCATGCCGACTTTGCTCCAGGAATCAGGAGGTTGCGCGAGCCCGTAACTTTCCATCGCAAACGTCCAAGCTTTCGAACAAAGTCGTCAATAGTCTGTGCTTCAGCCACCGATATCTTTCCATCTGGGCCTCCACCACGCAAGTTTCCTGCCACAAGCCGCTGCATCGCGTCGTGGACCTGTTTTTTGGTCACGTAGTTGTTGCGGAAGACAGCGTCCTGCACCTTCTCCAGCGTCGACTCAAACGCAATGCTCATTTTGAGTGCACGCTGCTCCGGTGACATTTTGAGCTTACCGCCATTCTCCTTCTTTTCTTTCTCCACGCTTTTCTCTAAATCCTCCAACATTCGCGCCGCAAAGATGCTCATGTTCTGGTCAATCTGCTCGTACAGACGCAACAGCGTCGATACATACTGGATCGGATTCACATTGTACGCTCCTTCCTCTATCTCTTCCTGATCCTTTGATTCGCTCTTGACCTCATTATTCATTGCAACAGCCATCGTCAAGATACCTCCCGCTGCCGATAAAATTGTCAACACGTTCACTCGTTTCGTGTGGCTCATACAAGCCACATTCCATCTGGAAAGTACATTGACATTCCTTTCTGATGTGCATGAATTACTTCTTGCAATCTTGCCTTCGACATAAGGTCTTACAAAACGCGATACACGTCGACGTAGCACGCGTTCCACCTTACTCACTTGTGCACCAAACATGTCATCAAGTATCAGTAGCTCATACAAATACCGGTAGCAAGCTCAATAAACTAAAATGTAATCTGATATAAGCAGCAGCGTCAGATATGACAGGTTTCTAACTCACACCACACATAGTTTGTTTCTGCATTTGCTAAGTTCACCTATTTCTGCGCACTTAACGCCAGCCAATAATCCCTCGAAGGAAGTGTATCAAGCGCGATCAACTAGATAATTATGACTGCGCTGCTGCTAGGGACGGAAGCCGTGACCGAGGTTCGCCTACACCCTGTAGTCGTATTACAGGCACTAGACCGTGCACTTCGTCGTGCTGAAGGCCAAACGCGTGTGATTGGTACGCTTCTAGGTCGCGTAGAAGCCGGCGTGGCTGAGATCAGTGGTTCGTTTGCAGTGCCGCATTTAGAAAATGGTGATGAAGTCGCGGTAGGACGAGACTTTCACGCACATATGTACGAGCTTCATCAGCGTGTGAATGAGAATGAGGTGGTTGTTGGTTGGTATGCAGCCGGTCCTGGCCAATTGGATGATCACTCGGCACTCATCCATCAGTTTTACAGCTCCGTATGTGAGTTGCCTGTTCATTTGGTGCTGGATACGAACTTGCAAGGTGATGCGCTTGATGTGTCCGCCTACGTCTCAACTCCGCTTGAAGTCGTCGACACGGCGCTTGTCAACCAATTCAAACAGATTTTAGTGACCCAAAAGCTTTCAGAACCTGAGGCCATCGCACGTGCGTTGGAAATTTGAGTTTCTCACTCTTTTCGTGCTGGGTGAACGCGTTTTAATGGCTTGTGTTGGTGTTATTTTGCTTGCAGTAAACTTGATGGCGCCGAAGGACGGTCAGATCAAGACGGCAGCTTTGCCCAAGGAGCTAGAGGCACTGGAGGAGACTATGGAGCGACTGTACAATTGCATTAATGATGCCAGCACATTTGTGGGTGACGTGGTTGCCGGTAAACAGACGGCAGATGCCAAGCTTGGACGGGAGATTGCAGACGCACTGGCGGCTATCCCTATGCTCCGTGAGGAGCAGTTTGACCAGCTCTTTAACACGGGTCTGCAGGACCTGCTCATGGTGTCGTATCTTTCCGGGCTCACGCAAGCACAGCTGTCTATGGCTGAGAAGCTCATCAACACCTAATTTGTGGATGTACGGATTGCTAGATCTGCAGCTTGTCTTGGTAGTTTTCATATTAAGCGTGACGGATGCGAACAGGTAGCTACATTTTTTTTTGCTTTGAGCTGTCCAGTTTGTGTGTGTGTTTACTGCGTGACGTGATGCTAATCTGGTGAGATCAGCAATCCTTTGCGGTGGACAAGTTTGTGCTGCTTGCAGACCTTGGGATTCAGATCTTAAACGCATCGCATTCCTCAGGTCTGGCCATCAGAGCTCGACGTCTCGACGAACTCACAGGTGCCAAAAGCTCCGTCGGGTTGTCGCGCTCGAGCTTTGCTAGTCTCGCGATGTTGAAAGATACAGCCAGTCAACCAGCAGGACAACAGCCGAGTCAGACAGTTCTCTGATGAGCACTTATGGATTAAGAGAGCTTCATTGATCAGTACGCTTGACGGACTTGAATGATGTGCCATACTCAAGCAAACTCTATATCCGCAAGGGAGAGGAGGTACAGCCTCGCCAATGGCAAAGACTAGCATCGCTCATAGCCATGCGTCGCGATCCTGGGCAATCAACACAAATGTGGGTGTTATACGCAAACAGTGTTAAGTTGTTTGCAATGGCTCCGCCAGAAACAAAAGCCGCTGGAAAACAAGCTTGTGCAGTTGGCTAGACATGAGCTTGAGTGCGAGAAGCTTCTGCGGAGCGTGACTAGAACTTGTACGTTCTAGTTGGGCAAATATCACATGATAATCCTCAGGCGTCTACGAGTTCTTGTATCATTCTATACGAACAAGGTTCATTAGCGCCATCATCTGCTTCGTTTTTTAACGGTAAAAGGCACAATCAATACGATTGAATGATGCGGAGTATGAGTGCAGTCACTGGAGCTGGACGAGATGACTCTGCTGCATTATCGTATAGAGCACAGAACATGCCGCTTAGTGGCGTTTTTAACCTGCTCAGCCTCTGTAACCTTGACGACACGTTGGTGAAGTACAACAACAAACAACGTGTACATTTCGCTCATTGAAAATGAGTCGCCATACGTATCAGCCAGCGCAAAGTCTTGTTATCGTGCCACGTACCACATTTACGGTGACAATAATAAACGTCCACTCGTACGGGTTTGTACGCTTGTTATGGACAAACAAGAGGCCATTTTAGCAATGGTCTCGTGAGCTTCAAGTATTGCGCTGAACAGTTAGTTACCTGCACTTGAAACATTCTTCTGGCTAGCATTTTCTTCCTTTTATTGTCGTTAAATTGTTCATCAACACTTTTAAAGATAACAGTGTGCTATGCAGCTATGTCACAATACGGCCATAAGCAAACTGCACGAGCATAGAATCTTTCCATCGAAAGTGAGCGCAGACCAACCGTTTTTTGACTCGGTACCATGCATTCATTACCTTATATGGTTCATTTTCTCTGACATACAGCCCAAAATGTTTTCTTCCTCTTATTTTGCCTTACAGTACATGATCAGATAGCAAGGAAAATTTTTGCTATGCAGTATACTTTGTGATTGACTGTAGAGATGATTCGACGTCATGTTGTCCACAAGATGACGTCGAATCATCGAAACAATCTCCAGAACAGTCTTAGCTTATTGTTGATCAATGAAGACAAGTGTACAAAAGTGACACGCAAAAATGCACCGAATGAATAGAGAATGAAGGTAAAAGCTTCGCTTTTGCATCCAGACACTTAATGACCTCAAGCTTTCACTTATTTAGAACTATTGGAGAATACATATTGAAAGCTTTATGAAGCATGACATCAAAGTGAGTCTGTCAAATGAAGAAATAAATGTAGTGTAGCAACCAGAGCCATGAGGGTAGCAATTCCATAGCCACTTTCTAGAAGCAGCATTTTTGACGCTTTTCAACGCCACTGGCATACTTCTTGTACATGCGACTACTTTGCAAGGCCCTTGATCTTGTCCGCCCACGAGTCAGCCGTCTCCTGCACCATGGATGCTACGTTTGAAACGGTATCATTCACCTTCTTTTTTGCATCCGAGGCCGTGTCTTGGACGGTGCTCCTGGCATTTGAAGTCATGTCCTGGGCCTTGCTTCTGGTATCTGACGCCGCGTCTTGCATGCTACTCCTCGCATCTGATGCCGTGTCCTGGATTTTGTTCCTGGTAATTGAGGCCGTGTCCTGTGCTCTGCTTCTCGCATCCGATGCCGTATCCTTTACTTTGCTCTTGGCGTTCTCCTTCTCATTTTGAGAGCGATTCCCTGCATGACGCGCTTGAGACTTAGCATCAGATGCAAAATCATCCGCCTGTTCCTTAGCGCGGTCCATCCAGCTATTGTCATTGTCGTTCCACTTGCTCTTTGCTTCCTCCTTACGACGCTTCATTGCATCTTGCACACAATGACGGAAATCCTGTGTGTCCCGCTCGCAGCTGGCTTGGTCGAACGAGCCGCCCCAGAGTTTCTGGAACCACTCTCCGTAGCAGGCCTTCACACGCTCTTTCTGCTCTTTACACTCGGCAAATACTTCCATCTTCATATTGTGGGTATCAACGGGAACAAGATTTTACTAATGAGCATTGGAAGAAACACAAACTTGGAGAAACATGAGAAGCGACGTGATTAGGGGCACGGCGATGAGAGTCGCGCTACTGACATCTATTGAGGAGCATGTATTGCAACGGCAATCACGTGCTTTTTTCACTACCTGTACGAGCTAATACTGGCTGCCTGACATATAACGTCAAGATTCCTCCCGGTATCATCTAAAACGCCTCCACCTTTGAAACCGTGCCAAGATAGTGTCAACCAACATGACGACGACGACATCCTCTTCATGCTTCTATTGTCGCTGAAACCTCCATGAAACGATCACTCTTTCCTCTCACAAGTTTTGCACTGTCCATTAATTAATCTGTCGCTCTTGTTGGCGCCGTCCGTGGTGATATCTAGGTTGTGATATGTTTACGGAGAGATTGCAACAACCTAGACCCTGGAGGATTTGTAGACCTTCAAAACCCTTTTGTAAACTTTGGTGCCATGTGTTTCCAAACAAATGGCAATGCCTACATTTCCATAATATATGATCTAGTCAAAGTTCTAAATGCATTCAAGAAACGACGAAGCATGATAAAATCCATGTGATTTAGTACCAAGTACCACTGTATCCATGACGTTCAGATAATTCCAGTATCGCCATCCGATAATTGGTAAAAAAAAGCAAATGCGAAAATCGAGCTCTGTGATTTACGCTAGCCATGGCTTTACCGATCGTCCAGATGATGCAATAGACCCGACGCAGATCTGGAAGAGCATCAATAGTGGTGCCTTTCTAGATACTAAAAAGCTGTAATCAAGGCGTTTTGGATGCCTACATGTGAAAGCAAGCGAAAATGTGATTGCATGGTAAGCAGCTGTACTTGAAGTAAAAGGACACACCATATATACGCAGCGACGTAGGACAGAGAACCATAAGGCTAAGAATTGAAAGAATTGCTTGAATGTGTCGCATCATTTTGGACAGAAATAAGCGTACGCCATCAGTTGGAGCAATAGTTGTAAAAACACAGACATCTTTGCAATCTTTTTTATGTAAAACTCAATACAATCTTTACCCTCAAGTTTTCATGGCTCTATCAACATATGAAGTGATCTATGTATTGTGCTTAGTTCGTGAACTTGCTACTCATTGCGTCCTACATACAACGCTTGATTAGATCTCTGTCTTACTGGATTCTTGACTCGACATTTGTTATCGTGAACCTGCTAATCTCACGTTGAGTTCAATCATGTCGTACCTGATGACGTGAAGCATAAAGTATCATGTGATTACGCACGATACAATCCTCTGATATGAGCTACGCGTCATCATACAGCTTCAATACCCTGTGACATCTCAAAGAGCTCGGCCGGGCTATGCAATGTTCTATCTGCTAATTACAAAGAATATATGTTCAAGAATGTTCTAAGCTTCTCTTTTATATGCAATCTACGGAATAGGGAATTAATGTCCTAGTCTATTATTGTAATTATATCTCTCAAAGGTTGATGTTTTGATGGCTTCCATTGTGTGACGCAAGACTCGTATAAGTTTGTGGAATAACGAATACAGTTCTATAAACTCTCGCAGGCTTAAACTTCAGTTCGTGGGTTGGAAGTGCAATGACCGAACCAATGTCCTTCCTCATTCCTGAATTTGCGTTGGTTATAACAAGTGTGCAATCTACTGTTCTGATCGAGTCTCGTCAATTGTGACCGTGATGCGTCTCGCTATTGTTTTTGCTGCATTGGTTGCGACAAGCTTTAATACCAAAAGTCAACCCACCCGGACGTGAGGGAGTCTAGCAATGTATAGGAAGCCGCCGACTCAATCCATTCCGACTGTAAGGGACACCAAATCGTAACTTTTCGTGCTGATCTAAATCATTGTGATTTGGTCGACGATTGTCCTCCGGTAGCTCAACCGCCGCTAGGTGACTAATGCTCTTGCACCGTAGGCAAAAGCTAACGCTGCTCCACCGATGACAAATGATGAAATTCTTTTTGTTGGCCTTCTACGAAGACAGCCATCTGCAGGATTTTATGGGTTTCTGTTGAAGTATGGCAATTGAAGAAGAGTGCTTTACGAGCATTTGAGCGATACACTTTAGTGGACTGCTTAACTGGAAATGTTTCTTTGCTGATTAAACATGTTACAAGTACTCGTAGTCTTATAGCTTCGGCAAATGATAATGATGTGTTAAGTCTCTATCCTTGTTTCCATTTTCATTTCTTTATGTTTCCCTGTGGTGTTGCCATCTTATCGTTCATGCTGGTTGTTGAGCCTCCCAATCAATATTTTGAATTTAGGCGAGCAGGGTCGACGGAATACACCTTTTTGTATCCGACCGGTCAACTGACATATTAGTTCTACTAGACTTAATATAACAAGTTATGCGTCCCACGTAAATACTAACTTGTAGATATCTTTTAACTTGTTGTTAAGAGGGATATCTTCGACTGAGAGAAGACTTTGCAAAGCGTACCTGGTATGCATGCAAGTTCTACTCCAGTGTATACTGATTTCTACCTATACGTATATATGAAAGTTGAAGCCTACTCCAACAGGTTCATTGGAACATTGTCTGTGTGAAATACATTGAGAAGTCCGAATAGCCCGCTTTTCAATTTAGTTCTAATACATAGCTTTCGGAGCGAGAGAGATTGTATTCTATAGCTTAGATTCCAAAAATTAATGTGCTTTGAACAAAGAGGCCGTCAGCTTTGATAACTTGAGCGTTGTTGGCTACTTCTAGTAAAACAATCAATCTCGATGCAAGCCAAAAGGTTATCCGCATCTTCACATCTTGATTCCATTCGCCATCGATATCTGAGAACGACGTCGCATTGCGTAATTGCGTACGCCCATTGCAAACAGGACTTTGCGTGACGGTGAGTGGTCGCAACCAAAGGTTTTCCAACTATGGCGGCAGCGAATAGCTGGCAGCACGACCCCATGCACCAGAAACCTAGGCCCTGTAGACTCAGCGGCACGATTTCACAGTTTATCAAGTATGGACTTTATACCGGATTACAACGCATCAACTGAACTTCTTTACACGGTTCAGCCCACCGGAAATCCGTGCTCCACCAAAACTCGATGCGCCGGTGAAGAATAAACGTACGAGCATCTCTTATGGAGCTGTTCGTTTGCTCAAGCGACTTGGGTGAGACTCAGCAGCCACTGCGAAGGCACATGGATACAGCCCGAGTGCTTGCAACGTTGGAAACGTGCATGTGCGGCTCGAACGAAGCCGCTCTTCTCGTCCTATATCCGTCGTTCGTAACCCAACGGTTCCCTAACAAACCGGATGGCTTTGCTGTTGATTGGGCTCAATTTCAGACGTTCCTCTGACCGGTCGCGACCGCAAGCCTTTGGTAGTAGCATTTCGATCGTGTCTTCCCGCGGCGAACGGATGATGGCACAGGGAAGGGATAGTGGCCTTCTGGACTGAGGCAATCAGGTAACTCGAAGCCGTCGCTCAGACGCAACCACCGCAAGGAAAACGCTGTCATCTGCGACGCCATACTGCACGCGTACATCGAGGTTCTTACCTGCTCACTGAGAGAGTCCACCGTTTTGCGTTCCACATGACGAGTGCCTTGATACAACGTCTCGCCCTTTGGCACCAGCGTTTTTATCTAGACTACGGATATATCAGTAAACAGTGAATACAAATTATGAGTTTCTTAAGTATGACAATTACAAGTTCCACGATGAGTGCCCACTACAAAAGGCTTTTTTTTGAAACAAACATTTTCAAGGGCCGACAGTTGCGGTATACCACCAAGCTGTCGTTAGAATACGTGGGTACTAATAAGGCGTGCCTCAAAGACAAGTACAGTGTCCTCAGATTGCAGCTATAAACAGCCCAGAGTCCGTCAGTTTTCACCTCCAGCAAAGGTATGTCTCCATCAAATTTCAATTGGTCCCATTCTGGTCTGCGTCAGATGGCATGATGCTGTCGTGAGCGGACCAGATCCTGCCGTGTTTCTTCAATCATGCCCGAGACGGTACCTTTCATAGAGAAGCTTGCGTGAACGGCGGAGGGTCCAAAGCAGTAGGGCGCCAGTGTCATTATAAGAACTTAGCGTTCTCTGCTGCAGCGAGACCAGAAGTAAGGCAAGCGTTCAGCGGTGCAACGTGAAGAGTGTGTGGCGTGGGGAAGACGGCTGTATACATTCACAGCAGCTCCTTTGAATCTTACACCAGAGCCGTCGTTGATGCCGTTACTGCCGATGCCCAGGACGATGCCGTCCTGCTTCTTCGGATAGCCAGAATGGCCGACTGCCGTTGTAGATGGTTTGGTAATCTCCAGACTGCGCGTCACCAAATTTAAAAGCAATGGACCCCTCCGAGCAACTGTTTAGCATGGCATTCACGAACTGGTGATGCATCATGGCGACTTCTTGAGACAGGCGAAAAGTCATCATTCTGATCCGCCATTACCCCGGACCATCGACATCGCCAGGAAAAGGGGGGGATACGAACTATTTAGATGTAGGCCACGTCAAACAAGGTAAAATTAGGTGCAAGTTGATCCTGCGACTCCAGTACTAAAGAACGTAGGAACTGCTGTATCTTCACTGTTTGCGCCAGGGAAACTTCTAGTGCGACCAAAGTAAATGGCTTTCACCGTCAGTCTTTTTGCGGGCGTAATACCTCCGTTTGAGCGTCGTTATTACAATTAAAGCTTTTAGAGTGATAGTGACGAAACATTCGTCAACAACGAATGAGAAGCAGGTAATTTTGGTAATAAAGAGTCATGGAGCGAATTTGGAAGGCATCTTTTCCGTGTTTAATCGTCTGGATACTGAATCTACCCAGATAAGTATGGTACGTCCGTCTGATCTGGTGCCCACTAACGTTAGCATTACGCCGTGTTTACACGAGCTTAGGCGTGTTGATTTGATTGCAAATATCAACGATTTCAACCACCTGGTGCATCTGTCGATGTCAATATAAATTACAAAAATGACTCGTGGACTTGTGCTGCTGAAATGCGTTTGCAAACCACCACTCAAGAATGCAAACGTACCTTCATTTTCAAATGTAAACACACGTTTCCATTGCGCACTTAATTACCTTAGCTGGTTGTTCCCTCAGACGAGTAATTGGTTCAAAATGTCTGCATACAAACGAATCTGCCGAAAATAATACGCTTTAAACAGATAACCTCTCAATAGCTTCACGAACACGATCGTGAACAGTCACAGGTTGATTGATGCGAAATCACGCACGACCTTGTGATATCTCAATGATGCGACGTGTGTTGTTCATGATTCGTCGAGTATGAGCTGAATACTGCCGGTCAATCAGCAATTCATGTCAATGGACCGACACTTGGCGGTCCGATACAAGTTAGCGTCTGCTGCCAACTTACCTTACCAATGCACTATCTCTGCCTGATCTTGTAACCACATTCACGCAAACAGTGTTGAATACAGACAGTCCTGCCCATCGAGATGATGAGATAATCGAACATACTCGAGATAAGTGAATCTTTCCGAGTCGCACACGTCGCAGGTGTCGTGCCCTCTCGTTTTGACAACATTTCTTCACCAGCTCATTCAGCAACTTTCCTCAAACAGTTCAAGCAGCAGAGACTTGACAGAAAGGAAGATCTTGATTTAATCATGGCTGCAATGTCAATGCACAGCTCAGAGAACACCTTCGGCAGCATGAACAGCGACATGAAATGCCGCTTGTCACCTGCCTTTCGTACATTGGGGTCGCTGCTGCGTCTACGCCACCTTGACCTCGAGAAGCTGCGTGAGCTTGCGCGTAGTGACGATTTTTCAGACAGCGAAAGCGATGGCGTTGATAGCGACGAAGAGATGGACGACGAGGATGGCATAGTGGACACCACGTTCGTGCCCATACCGTCGCCTTTAACCCAAGACACGATTGGGGCAGCGCTACGTGGTGACCAGTTGAAGCAACAAAAGAAGAGCAATGATAAGGCCGGTTGCAGCCCCAAAAGTGACGAGTGGGAGCTTGTAGACAAGTCACCAACATTCAAGAGCGTCGAAGAAGGCAAGTCGGATCTGGGTAAAGAGAGCTGGTTCGTAGAATAGCGTGGTTGTAGTCCACGCACAGACCTATACTGTTGGGATGCTGGCACGACAACTTACCTCGTTCGTCGTTAAATTAATTTCATCATTTATGCGTATCTTTTTACTTTCTTTCAAGTGCAAGATGTATCCTTATCCGTTGTGTCTGCTACTAATCCACGCGCGGACGCTTACTGTGAGTCAGGTACCGAGGGTTCTCTTGCGACGAAGACTGCGAGTGCGATAGTGCCTGACCATTGCTCTCACTGCCAATTGCGTTTCTGCGACGACAAATTATAGATGACGTTATCAGAATTCAAGCACATCCTGCACAAACTGACTAATAACGCACTCACCTATTTGTGAAAAGCTGAACCTCTTCTTCGCTGCAAGTCTGTGACGACGCCGGCAAAAAAAGTCGTGACTGTGGAAAGCGTCATCTCGATGCAGAACTTAGCCACAGACGTCGACTCGGCCGTAAATAGCACCGGGCTGACCAATAAAATACACAATGACGCAGCAATGAGATCCCCAAGATATTCAGCAATGGTCCTCCTCAAGCTCAATACCCAACTTACCTGCCGCTTGTTGTGAAATAAAAAAAAATCTCCGACACGTCGCTTGTTTTGCAGAATGTCAGCAAGGCCTTTATGAACAGCCACAGTCCGACATCAGTTTCCTTAAACTATCTCAATGTTTATCAACAATATCATCTCCATCTCACCCTAATTTCTTTGATACAAAAGATCAACTGCGCGGACGATTCAATGCTATCCAAAGCTGGCTGCAGCACGTATTCACTAAACTCAGCGCTCTCCACCGCTGTCTCCGTTTGCAGCTGCGCCTTACCATCTATAAAATTGGAGAAGTAACTTTCAAACTTCACATGGGTAGCTGAGCACGTGACGCTTACTTCGTTGCTACGATGAATATGTGCCAATAAGGAGCTCAAGTGGTGCTGCCGTGTTCGCAAACGATTGGGACACGAGTCCTTATCGAATACGGCACGCATGATCTGGCACGATTGGACTTTCATGTGGTGTGTCTTTGTAATGTCAAAATCGCAGCGAAGCTTCCAGCGCAGCTCCATACAATCCAAATCTATTTCATCCACCTCACTTTCCTGTGAGACGTTTGCTTGGCTGGCATCAGCCACGTCCAGTGCTTCTTGGTCGACCAGTAGCGCCAACTGGACACTCTGCACGTGCTTCAGCGTGCGGAAAACATTGCAACACGTCTTGGTAAATACTTTGCACTTGAGAAAAGGTATTCGATTATTAAATCTCGCCTTCAATGCCTCGAATGATGAGATGTCCATACCCTGTAAGGTGATGCTGCTGTCCTGAGACTCGGAGAAAAACGTACGGTCCAGAACCACTTGGCCAGAAGCAGAACGCGCGTCATTGAGAGCGCGTAGAGTTAGACGACGGGAACATACGTCACATTCAATTGACATCTCCTTGCCAACTTGCGCGAGACATTGCAGCGCGGCGACAAACACTTTAAGACCTTCCTCGGCGATCTCTAAACGCACCTCCATAGTGAGCTACAATACTCCACTTTAGTGACAAACGTTTCCCCTCGTTCAAATGACTGCCGCACCAATAAACAGACCTTCACTCTGCAAGATGGACGAGATCGCACTGCTGCAGCAGCAATTGGCCGCTGTCCAGCAGCAGGAGACGGCGCTGAAGCTGTCGGAACACAACGTTATTGATCTTTTGCTTAAGCTGAAGCAATTGGGGAAGCTTGAAGTGATCCACACGCGTACTGGGAAGCAGTTTCTGACGCTACTTCAGATCCAGAAGGAGATCATTGACTACGTGGCGCTTCAAGGTGGACGTATGAGCCTTACGGATCTGGAGAAGATTATTGAAGTGGATCGTACGCACATAGAAAAGCAGGTGGCGGCGCTCTGTAGAGAAAACAGGGGTCACAAGGATTCATACCACGTGGTAAACAACGGCGAGGAGCTGCTCACGAGCTGGTACCTCGACAGTATCATGGAGGACACAAATGTGCTACTACAAGATAGCGGTACTACAAGTATGGGAGATCTGGCTCAGCAGTATGGCTTTTCTGTAGACTACATGAGAGATGTGGTGCGCACAAGACTCGGAAGTCTTTTAAAGGCGCGAGAAAGGGATAATGTATTGTACACGGACTCATACGAGACAGCGCAAAAGGCGCGTATACGAGGTGTCTTTGCTGGTGTGACACGCCCTGTATTTGTACCTGATGTGGTATGGTCTTTTGGCTTTGATGAGGCTGTGGCTAATGAAGCACTGACAGAGCTGATGCAGACAAAAGTATTGATGGGTACATTGAGAGGACGTGAGTATGTGCCTTATATTTTCATGGAAGCTCAGAGGGAAAGCATGTACTCATTCTTTCAACAGAATGGATACTTAGAGAATGTGAGAGCCAAAGAGTTACAAGTTGCTCGACCCTTTGACTTTCTAAAGAGGAGGTTCCCGGATGCCGTACCTCTGCAAGAATGTGTGGTGAGCCGTGCTATGCAGCTGCAGCTTGAAGGAGCTGTGGAAGCAGCAGTGAATGAAAACTCGCTGGTGGATGTACGTATGCTACTACCAAGTGCTCTGTCGGCAGGAGATGTTGCAATGTTGCTGGGTATGTCGCCGACACTGAAAAAAATGGGTCATGCACCCAGGGCGTACCAAATTGCAAATGTTTATGCTGTTAGTTTAGGTTTGTTTGCTTCTTGTGTGGAAAAATTTGAGGAAGATGCCATGACAAAGGCTGCTTGTGCTGCAGCCCAGCAGAAAAGCAGTGGCATAAAGGTTAGTTTGCACGAAAATCGACAAGAGATTGATAAAGGCGATGATTTAGGCGCTAGCAGTAAGCACGGCAAAAAAGGAAAGCGTGGAACGGGTGACAATAAGCGCGAGCAGGAAGAAACTGGAGGGCAGGGTGGAAAAACGAGAAAAGCTAAGAAGAGTAAACGTGGATCGAAGCGCGGTGAAGAAGCTGGTGACGACGATGATAGACCTGCAACTGCTGAGGCTTCGATTGTGCCTACGCGTGAGGAGATGACTGAGCTCTTTATTAGATGGTTTCCGGTCGTTGCGGAACTGGAAGGCGATGACGATTTTATTGACGGTATGGTAGAACATTTAGAAAGTAAGGCCGCCGAAGTGTACTCAACCGCACTGGCCAAGGCACTGTCTAGCATTCTACGAGGAGATGCTGCATCACTGCGGGAGCTGCGCAAGACGTTTGAAGACCGATTCGATGAACAATATACAAAGTTACTTGTTCTGTCAAAGGGATACAACAAGCTATCGATGCGTGTGGACGCCAAGGATGTATCCAGCATGGAGCAGCTAGCTGTCGTAGAAGTACATTTGCTCGAGACCTTTGCCGTAGAGCTTACAGCTTTGATCACAAGATTCATTGCCGAGAGCAACAGTTTTGAACTGGAAGACCTATCGATCTTGCCATCTCCTAGTGGCAGCGAGGATAGTATGGGTAAGGTTCCAAGTGGTGCGGTGATAATCTTGAGCGACGAAAACAAGAGAATACTCGAGTCGAGTCTTCCACATTCAACTGCAAGTAATCTGGTGCGGTTATGGACGCTGGCTACCGCTGGCCGTCGGTCACTGAGCGATTTCATGGCACATGTGTCGGTTTTAGCAGAGGCTCTATGCATGCCGCTTCCGAAGTTGGATCGCAAGAAAGAGCGACAAGTCATATTTGGCTACCGACAGTCACTAATTGCAGAACTCGACGAGGTGGTGGCACTTGCGATTGAGAGCAGTCAGCAACATGCTTTAGTAGCAACCTTGATTCTGCAACTTTTCTTCCAGCAGCTAACTGGGCTTCCCGGTAGTTTTCCACGTCACAGTATATCGTATGGTAGAATAGTGCTGAACGCATTTCAAGACTCAGTACCTGAAAAGTCAATGTTTCTCTTTCAGGTGTTTGTCCAGCTGGCAAGTGCGATGAGCACTGGCGAAGAAGTTACCGAAGAGCAAAAGAGCGCGTGGAGTGAAAGTCTGGATGCTGTGCATGCATTGGTTCTTTCAAAAAACCCGAACTTTGTAGAATGAATGCAATCAGTTGATTGTGCTATCGTACAGCCGTCTGAAAGGGGAGAATGGAATTATGTGCTACATGTATTTTGATTTTACATAGAGATATTTGGTCGTCTACTTTACGTACGTGATCATTGATTTTGTAATACTTGTTTATAGTAGGGGCCAAGTTAAGCTTCAATGGAGTTTTCACGTACTGCTTGTTGCTCTGCAGTACGCTGGATAACACGCGAAGTCGTACTAGCCAGGCTGCTCATGGCAACATACTGTGACCGCGTCAGGTCGCGAGCTTGTGGGTCAGCACAGCACAGGGAACCAATGATGGTTTTGCCGTCAGACCAAACTAGTGGAAAACCGCAGTAAAAATTGATTCCTATCTCGCGGACAAACGACATGGCGTTAAAGCGTACATCAGCCTGTACATGGTGACATACGAGCGGATTCAGGTCCAAGATGGTTTGAGCGCAGAAGCCCTGCTCTCTCGGATATGACTGGCCGCTGAGCACCATCGGATGAGTAGATGCTAGCACATGCAGTTGTGTTTTGTCAACGACGGTGATCATACTGACGGCGCAATTAAGTTCCCTCGACGCCAGAGAGCAAATGATACTCAACTCAGGCACGTCACCCAACTTGTTCAGTTGCTGTTCATGAATAAGTTGTAATCGTTGGTGCTCATTGGCCGGGATCGGTGGAATAATAGCTTCCATCACGTTGTCTGGAAATTTGATCTGATAGCTTCTCGAGTCTGCGTTAGCTAACGGATAATCGTCTTCCCAACACGAAGTCTCATCCCAAGTCAGCTGAAGCCGATCATCGATCGGTTCGTCGTCTGCATATTCATCGGCGTCTTCAAATGCTTCGTTGTGCTCTCCGAGCAGAGGCAAACCGCTGCTAGTTACGCCTGCAGACGAACTGCGAATTCTGGCAGATCGTCTCCGAACGCGTTCCTCATTGACGATATCCTTCATAACACTCAACACACTAGCTTTCTGTCTCCGTTGAGTGGGTCCGCCTGCGGTTGCATCCGCCAAGGTTTCCAGAAGCAGTCCATTGAGCGACGCTGGACGCATCTTGAATGTAGACCCGGTACGTCTCGTATTAACATCGCAAAGACTGCCTTCCGGAGTGCGAGACTGCGCGTCGGAAATCACTCGTACTGGACGCAAATCCTCTTCCGTGACTTCTGTGTATCGCGCTTGGCTGACCCGAATGAGGCATCGTTCACATAATCGCACTTGCTCAATTTGTGGACGGTCGTCACCCCGTGCGCGGTGTTCGCGTTCTTGAACGTGGGCACATTTATCACAAACAAGGAAACCACATAGACAGCATAATCTCTTTCTTGTGCGCTGGAAAAATGCCGAAAACGAGCGACGGCAGCAAGCACAAGAAGTTACATTGGCCATGGACTCAAGTGGGAATTGCGTACTGCTAATAGTTACCTGCATCCCAAGACGGCGACGACGGACGACCGAAAGGAACTGATGACAACTTGCAGCATGTCGAAGCATCCATCTACGCGCTATGCGTCGTTCGTGACCAGCACGATTGAAAGCTTCGTGAGTATCAGGCGGCAAGTATTCGCCGTGGAAAAGGACGCGAGTGAAGCGACCGGTAGGATCTTGTTCGAACATGTAGTTGATGACAACGTTCGGCTGTGATCGCGACGGCAGTGTCTGTGTATTATCCAAGACTACACTAGAGCGCGCAATGGACGCAAGGGTTGTTGTAAAAGCTGGTGGAGTAGTAGCATTAACTGCACTTGCTGTCGACGACGCTGTCCTCCTGGACTGCTCTTCCTTGGTTCTGTCTCGGGGATTCAGTAACTCCAAGTAGCACCACGATGTATTCTTGGTAAAGATATTGCCACTTTCGAACGTCACAGTTTTGACGGAAAGCTGTCCGTTCTCAAAAGCTTTTGCTGGGTTTCCCGCTCCGCGTTGAATTTTGATCGTGCGCAAGAGTTCAGCCTCGACAAACTCACGGCGATACACGCAGCTCATCATATCACGGAAGGTGTCGGTGGAGGCGACGCAAAACACAAGTCGCAGCTCCTGCACTGTACAGGACAAAAATTCCTCTGCTAGAACAGCGAACCCCTTTGGTCCCCATCGTGTCTGGTGTCGGTGGTCACGGACCGTAAGTCGAGTAAAGAGCTTCATCGCTTTACTGTTCGTATATCCTCGTGGAAGTTTTTTTTTGCTTCCATACGCTTCCATGTCTGTCACAAAGACCCGCCGCTGCCAATTCCAGATTGAGTTTGCCCCAGTTTACACTTGACGCAGCCGCAGCCGCGACTTCATGCAATCGTTTGTCGCTTATTCGAGCCAATGTCTTCATCGATTCGATAGCCTGTGGACGTCGCCGTAGTGAATCCGAGAAGTCTCCGTATCCGTCATCGCTGCGTTGACTAACAAAGTCGTACGCTGCGCTGCTTTCTCCGGTTTCGTAACTGTAACTGGGATTCACCATAGCCACGGACGTCGAGGCGACCCCATTTCCTGCCTTTGTCATTGACAAGTGTTCGTATGACGATTGTCTTTGCAGAATCCTATCGTTTCTGGTTACCAGTCTCTTGTCCAATTCAATGTCGTTGATCTGAATTTCTCTTCGTGCTCTTTTAGGTCAAATTGATAAGTGTCTTTGCTTTGGACGGAAACGCATTGATACTTGACGGCATTAAATGCCTTTACCTTTTGTCCCTGCAGACAGGAGTAGGCTTTAGGATTTGTCTGTACACTCTAAATGTACAGAAAAGGATATAGTCAGTAGCGACAAACCGCAACTAACTTTCATAGTAAATACATGTCTAAATAATATCGAGCTCATAGTATTTCAGAAAGTGTACGAATAATGATGTTTTACATAGCTTATTTTAATTGCTATGTCTCTTTAATAATTACTGGGGCGTCCACTACCTTTGTTAAACATTCTTTATTGTTCAAGATACAACAACATACCTGGGGATGAATGATACAAAGCAATCATTGCTACTAAGAGGAGACTATGAATGGAAAGGTTCTTTTAGAAAGCTTATTCTCAGCACTGCGCGTGTTTTTGTAGCGTGAGTGCAAGCGTGTGCAATGAAAAGGGACATTGGGTCTCAAGGATAGCCTCGAGGGATAGGGGTCGTTATTTTTGACTCAGTCCGCTCGAGTTGATTTTCTACCATGAGATAACCAAAGGATACGATCGTCGGTTTATATGGTACGGGGGGACCAATGCCTATAGAGCCCATGATTGGAAACTCAATGGCGTCTTTCAATATACAATGTATCTGTTTATGAAATGTGATCTTCTTTGAAAGCTGGAGGTCGTGCGTTGGAACCACGTACTGTCAGGAGCTAGCAGCTGTTACCATTGCAATGCCATTGTCGTTTCACCTTCAAGGATTTGCACGCGTGTGCGAGGGAATCGCATACGTTGCAGTCACGTACGATGCAAAATTAGAATATAAGTGACTCTAAGTCGTTTCATTGTTGCATCGATCAGAGTAACACACACGTGACGTTTGACTCGTGAAAGTTGCCAAGAGTCCGTACAAAAATCACACGGTGCTGTCGAAAGGTTGTATCTTGGCATGGAAGAGCAGTACAACTTGTCAGTCGCAACTTGTCAGTCGCAACTTGTCAGTCACTGACTGTATGTATGCTACGTGTCATCGATGCCTCAATATTTTTGTCGTACCTTGCGATGTTCATTGCTGAAAGCGCATAGCAGTTACGGAAATGGCGATGCCTCTATTGAAAATAAACGGTTGGGCTCGTACCTTTCCGCTCGCAATGTAATCGGCATCACGCAGCAGCTACAGGCTCGCAAAGAGACGCCTATCGATGACGACTTGACCAAGAAGTAGCTTTTGAGCCTCTTTGTATATGTGCAGAAATGTACGAGTTTAAGTTTTTTGACCTTGGTCTTGCAAGTCCCACTGCGCTGAGTAATTACCAGCAGCTCGAAACGATCGATATCGTTGACTGACGAATGTACGTTACAAGGTGCTATCACGAGCATAGTTCTGTTGCAACCATGTCATTGCTAGTAGGTTTTGACGACAATTTCATGCTACGAAATGGAGAGCTCAGCAAAACGACGGGGCAAATGGTCATTATGGTTTTTGATCGGCCACTAGGCTGCATTCTGATATCTGTAGTGCTCAACCTGCTACTGCACAACAAGGACATAATCAAGCAAGTTGTGCGGTTGCAGTGCACAATCAGCGATGGTGAAGGTGTACAAACTTAGAGTGCATATTCACTAATTCCTTCAGCAAATCTTGACTCCACGGCTTGACAGATCGCAAACTGCCGTTCGAATTGACTTCGTATTGTTTTGCGTCTCCAGCTTTTGCGATATTTCGTTCATACAACTTGTGACCTAGTGGACTGCTTTTAACGATAGTGCCTTGCTTGCACCAATAAGCCCTAGCACTGTATATAAAAGCACCTACACTGGCTTGGGTGGAAAGCAATCGAACAAGAATTTGTTATACAAACGACACAGGCGACATCTTTGGCATCGTTTAGGATTAAATGGTTGGCTTGCGTTGTTTTTTTGTATCTGCCTGAGCCTACAGCTCGCTGCGATCTCAGCACGCGTAATTCCAGCCCCGCGCACGACTTGTTTATCAAGACCCGTAGAGGCCATTGTGGCATTACTAAAAGCATCAGGATACGAAGAAGCGAAGATGCAAAGTAATTACGCTCTAGTAGCGCCATGTAGTGAATTTGTACATTTTGTGGTGTGGTGGCAAACGCGGAGCTGGCAGCACTGACATCTAAGGATTTTTGTCGCGCGTCAAGTACCAGAGTAGTTAAGGCTTCATCACTCACATCAAGTGCTGTACGACCTCGCGTACGTCGCTGGACGCTTCCGTCTTACTTGTAAACGTTGATGAACCTACAGTCAAATTTGCTGTACACTTGTATCGCATCGGTGTGTGGTGCACTAGTACGTGTATGGTGAAGGTATAAAAACGTCTGGAACCATACACGGTCTCAGCAAGAGGCATGCTCTATATCAATACGAGCTTGGTGTTACATCTCATAAGCGATGATGATAAAACTTTAAGCCGTGTGAGCTGCAGCAAACACTACCGTCAAGGTCTCAAATGTTACAACTCATTGCTGTCTGCAAACTTTTGTCGTTGGCTGACAAGAGAAACATGGCGGCAAGCAGCTCGGTCTAAGCTAGCAGCTTTACTTGCTTAGTCCTCGAAATATGGTCGTAAGATGGACTAGCAGTCGAAACCTACTGGTTTGCGTTACCTCGTCGTCTCAGTCCTGTAATATGCATTACATATATGTGACCGACATCCGTCGTCGCCATCCACGTTCTTGCTTCTTGATACCAACCACCAGTGATTACAAATTTGATCAAAAGCCACCTCATGGATGGCATCGATAAAGCAATGTGTGTCTTTCCCCTTTTGTGAGTCTGGATCGATTGTGCCATGACTAACAGCTTAGGTAGCAACAATTTGTAGCGAAATTTGACTACAGGTCGTCGTCAGAGGCAAAAGACTATTGCAGACGAAACAATCAAGTTTTGCATAGGAGCACGTTTTACAGTAGTGTGTACATCCACAACAAAAGGTCCAAATCTCAAAAAGTATTACTGTTGCTTCACTGAGAATGGAAAATGTAGTGTTGCATGGTGTCAGTTGAGTATTTATTTACACATTGATATTTCTAAAGCCCAAGCTTTTGTTCGAAACGTGGCTTGTATGCACAATCGCGACTATTTTTTGCTCAACGCGCTTCAAGTAACAAGGTTACCAGTAGACTGAATCCACCAAGCAAGATGGTTTATTACGCGATTGTTTGTCGCCTATCAATTTTACAAGTACTGAAACCACTCAACTGATCATAATACATAATCTCAGAAGACGTTATCAAGAATGTATTATCACAGTAATGAAGTCTTATAGCTCAATGAATTGTACCGGTAATTGGTCAGTTTTATCCTTTTCTCTCGATGCTTTTATGCACAGTTCAGTCAATCAATATCAGTACATAAAACAAACCATTGTAAAAGGATACTGCAACACAATTTATTGAGCAAAAAGACTCTATTTTGTGACCCAATTCTTCACTGGGTGATGCTGGTAGTAAAAATGAATGATGAAGTAATATATTTTCGATGCTTGGAAGCTTTCTTGCATTGTAAAATGGTCAATATATACAAGACATTGAAGATTTGTCAATAAGTGACAATAGACAATCCATCACATTGGTATCAGTCTGCAGAATTCGACGACGTCAGTGTCACGTGAGATGGGAGCGATTGAAAAATTTGATTGTGGTAACAGACGTGTAAACGATTGGTGGAGCGATTTGAGTAGCAAGCATCCTCAAGTAGATCTGATCACAGTCTTCTTTTCAGTCCCCAATTTGCCACCTCCATCGCCATTCACCATTCACCATTCACCAAACGCTACACACCAAACTCCACAATGGCCGTAAGCATCAGTAGCACGGATAACTACTGCCCGATGGATACGCCTGCTCCGGAAAATAAATCCTGGGCCCGCAAGATGGTGACGACATTGACTTTCTGGATCGTTGTGGGCATGATTATTGGTATTCTTTTGGGTCAGTTTGCCCCCACCTTTGCGGAGAAGGCTGCTCCTATGAAGAATGTTTTTCTACGTACGGTGCAGTTTATTGTCTTCCCACTCGTGTTTTCATCCTTGGTGATTGGTATTGCCGATCAGAAAGACATGAAACAGCTTGGCCGTCTTGCCATCAAGTCCATCATTTACTTTGAACTCATCACATCCTTGGCACTTATCATCGGTCTCGTTGCTGTTAACATTGTCAAGCCTGGCAAAGTAGGACTTACTCAAGGTGACGACTTTGAGAATGAGGCCAAGTCGACGTTCACGCTAGAAAAGTGGATTGAACACTTGACCCCAAAAACGTGGGGTGAGATGATGGGTGGCAGCGGCTCATCAGAGCTGCTTCAGGTGCTAGTGGCCGCGATCCTTACGGGCGTGGCTACGTCTCAGCTGGAGGATAAACATAAGCACCTGATCATAGAATTTGCACGTGCAGTACTAGAAATGATGTTCAAGTTTGTAGACATTGTGATCTGGACGGCTCCCATCGGCGTGTGCTTTGCGATCGCTGACGCCATTGGCTCAAATGGTCTTTCAGCTTTAAGTAGTCTGGGTGTGCTTGTGGCTACGGTGTATGTGACAATGCTGTTTTTTATCGTCGTTGTATTCGGCACTGTGTGTCTAATTTTCAAGATCAACCCGACGGAGTTCCTTATTGCCATGAAGGAGCCACTTATAATTGCCTACACGACGGCCACGTCGGAAGCTGCACTGCCCAAGGTGTTTGAAGCCCTCGAGAGGTATGGCGTGTCCCCTCATATCTCAAGCTTCGTTGTGCCATTTGGCTATTCGTTCAACCTGGATGGTTCGACCCTGTACCTGTCGCTGGCCTCCGTCTTCTGTGCACAGGCCTCGGGTGCCGACAAGTCGGTAGGCGAGCAGATTGTCATGATCTTGATGCTCATGATCTCGTCCAAGGGCGTGGCTGGTGTGCGCTCGGCTACCCTCATCGTCATCGCGTCGACGCTAGACCAGTTTGATGTACCATCGTGGCCCGTAGCTCTCATCCTGGGTGTTGACTGGCTCATGGACATGTTGCGCACGCTGACGAATGTCATGGGAAACTGCCTGGCATCGATCGTCATGGCGAAGTTAGAGCATGAGTTTCGCAAAGAGGGGTGGGAGCGCGAGTTTAGGTCGGCACATAGTGGCGAAGACAAGATGGAGGAGAAGCTGAGCAATGTGTCGGATATTGAGGAGGCCCGGCGCTGAACGTCTGACGAGTGCAGACAGGAATCTACATGCTACGGAAGCATGATGCAACGCCAAACAATGAGAGACGGCGCAATTTATCGACATGGACGGCAAGCACGTGTCCTGATCACAATGCCAATAAGCTCAATACCCGTTTGTACCCTCCTCTAAGCCCGATGTCGTTGCCAAGCTGTTCTCGTGTAGGAATGGCCTTTATCATCAATTGTCTTCGTCTCTTAGCGCAGTAGCGATGTAAGAGATGTTAAATAGCATCAGTCTTAAGACGTTAGACCGAATAGAAAGAGAAAACTTAAACGTGTCCAAGGTTTACCTATCAACGACTTCCTGCTATCCGCAGCTAGCTTCTTGTTTGTCTTCACTTGAAACCACAGCTTTATCCGACCCTGTACCAAACACAATTGACTCGTCTAGGTCGATACAACATTGAGCGGGAGTATCGACTCAGGGAAAAAGCGGTGCGACTAAGTCGTACCGAGTCATAATAGATAGGGAGTGACCACCTCGATTAGCAGCCTTCATCAATCGATCATAACTATTAGAACGTTTCAACCTCGGGGGCAAACTTCAGCAAGTCATTTTTCCGTTTCTTCATCTTCTGTAGCAATTCGTGATACCGCAGCCCAAACGTAGTTCCGTCAGGATCATCCAGGCCATAACAAACAAACGAGGTTCACGAACAGAACGTACAGCCGTATCTTCTGTAGCTGTAAAGTCAGCGTAGATTATCAATCTGATGCTTTGTTGCGACTGAACTTGGTTGGAATACGATGAAGTGGGTGTCGCTCGTTTCCTATTCACGCACGGATCTCGCGGCATCATGTTTCGTGCTTTATCCTGTCTTCATCCGATACATTAAGCTCCACGTACTCAGACATTTTTCAGACGGTAGAATTCATTCACTACATCTCAAGCTCTTCTCAGGTATCGCCATACGTATAAAACGTTTCCCACCGTTTCTTTCACCGAGACAAGCCATTGACGTCTTGTCAAACACACTTCCGTACTTCCAGCGACCAGATTCATCCAGGCAGTTTGCAAATCTGCAGCCAGGTGCGGTAGACACTCAAGAATATCAAGCTGTTTACAACCTCAACAACCTCATGGACCAGACAACCTCAAGCCTTGTGAACTTCAAAGCACGGCCTCACGGATTACAAGTATGAACAGGCATATCGATAAGCGACGTACCAACTTAGCTTGTTTAACATTGGCCGAGCAGCTTTTGTTGCGGTAGCCGTGTCCTAACTCATATGCATCTACACAGCATCAAGAATCCTTTGTCGCAAGACGTTTAGTCTTCCAATGCTGTTGCCTCGCACTGTAACGATCGCCCTTTGCTTACATCCTATACAAACTAAGTGCTCACTAGCTTGAAGCAACATGTCTAGGCTATAGCCTTTTGTCTTAAGCTCGACGCGATTGAGCCTACAGTTGAATGAATACAGTCAAGTCTGATTGGCGTTGCTAAAGAGAGAAGCAGCAACCCAATAATGATCGCATTCGTGCAATTCTCCTCTTCTTACTTTACATAGGAGCACACTGCAAGGGCAGCCAAGCTAGTTATAACTGTTGACAGGACATTAAATGTATCACGCAGCCTGTTGACTAACAAGTACACTCCTCTGGAAATGACAACATGCATTTATTTACACACGGCGCACGCACATACGGCATCATAGTTGGCAAGAGAGTGTAAGGACAATTCTATGTAATGAATTAGTGGGGCGCTAACGCCACAACATCCAGAGCTACAGGATTAACGAAAGTGCACGACACCGTGAACATTCGCCAGCGACAAGTCGCCACCAACAGCACGCTCCATGGTAGCTGATAGAACGTCGGCAGAGAACGTGGCATCCAACGGGTGCATTCCAACACGCGTCTTGCCCCGCTTCGTTCGAATGATCAGTAATCCCGGTTTCTGCTGTTGATAAGTATGACCAGCGACCGTTTCTATCAGCTTCTGCACCGTTCGTTGTTGAGTCTTCCAGTCAACATATGCGATGCTCAGACCCTTTGAGTGGCGAAACTTGGTTGCGACTTCCTTTACCACCTTCATTTCCTTCTCTCGTTGCTTCTTTTCACCTGACAAGACAAAGACTGCGCACAGAGATGAGGTATTGGGCGAAGCGTGTTTCCCCACGTTGCATAGCTTGACCTCGTTGCCAGCATGCAGCTTCTCAATCTCGTCAGAATTGCGCAAGCGTTGAAGACGTTCAAGATGCTTTTGAATAGCAAAGTTGTACACTTGGTACTCGTCTGTCTCACCTTCATATTTCGTCATTTGACCTTCCCAAATGTAAATAAACGTTGGGTCCTTCTCAATCCCAATCTCCTGACAAAATGACGGATACTTTTCGCAATTGACTGCACCAACACGTACCTTTCCTTTCAAATCACGAGCAATATTTTCATAATTGCCACGAAACTCTGCACCTACTACATCGATTTTGTAAAACTGAATCAACCACTCGTTATTTGCGTCTTTTCCTGGAAACTTTTTCTTTGACAAGGACTTTACGGGTGAATCTGGCCAATACAATTTGGTCGGTCGTCGTGCTCTGTTCATGTCTTTATACGGTCCATTGGGTGGTCGTTGCGTATGGCCAAACCCATCCATTCCAGCAAATTGAAATTCATTCGGTATGCCATGTCCACCTCGTCCCATTCCTTGTGCAAATCCGCTTGTAAATGCTTCAGTATTGGCATCAGTATGAAATCCACCACGATTGAATCCATGACCAAATACAGTTTCAAACATTTTCGTAAATGACGCCATGTTTTCTTCCTTGGAACGTTGTTTTCCACTTGAAAAACCTCTTGCTTCTCTCCCTCCACCACCAAATTGTCGTGCATGATCATATTCCTGACGTTTTACTGAATCTGATAGTACATCATAAGCTTCCGAAACTTCCACAAACTTTTCAGTAGACGTCTCTTTCTCTTCTGGTGTCTCTGCTTTATCAGGATGATACTGAAGTGCTAATTGACGATAAGATTTCTTCAGCTCTCGGTCGGAAAAGTTCTTACTTACTCCTAGTATTTTATAGTAATCTTTACTTGGATCCATGGCATCAAGAGATATCATCAGGAATACCATTAGAACCAAGTGGAAGATCAATCGAAGCATTGATCGAGATACCATGGTATATAGATATATTACTTTTAAAAGGAAATTTGAAAAATGAACGCCCTCTTGACCTATGACAATGATCCATACATGTCGTTTGTCCTGCTTACCAAGAGAAATTTCGAGAAGCGTGCATGAATAAATTGATTTATTGATTCGATATCACGGGATATATGATATCACAAGAATCACGCTCGACACCATGCTTTCATGATTCACACGGACATAAAAGTCCTCATAGGAAAAGTATATATTGAAAGCTTTATGAAGCATGACATCAAAGTGAGTCTGTCAAATGAAGAAAAGAAATGTAGTGTAGCAACCAGAGCCATGAGGGTAGCAATTCCATAGCCACTGTCTAGAAGCAGCATTTTTGACGCTTTTCAACGCCACTGGCATACTTCTTGTACATGCGACTACTTTGCAAGGCCCTTGATCTTGTCCGCCCACGAGTCAGCCGTCTCCTGCACCTTGGATGCTACGTTTGAAACGGTATCATTCACCTTCTTTTTTGCATCCGAGGCCGTGTCTTGGACGGTGCTCCTGGCATTTGAAGTCATATCCTGGGCCTTGCTTCGGGTATCTGACGCCGCGTCTTGCATTCTATTCCTCGCATCTGATGCCGTGTCCTGGATTTTGTTCCTGGCATTTGAGGCCGTGTCCTGTGCTCTGCTTCTCGCATCCGATGCCGTATCCTTTACTTTGCTCTTGGCGTTCTCCTTCTCATTTTGAGAGCGATTCCCTGCATGACGCGCTTGAGACTTAGCATCAGATGCAAAATCATCCGCCTGTTCCTTAGCGCGGTCCATCCAGCTATTGTCATTGTCGTTCCACTTGCTCTTTGCTTCCTCCTTACGACGCTTCATTGCATCCTGCACACAATGACGGAAATCCTGTGTGTCCCGCTCGCAGCTGGCTTGGTCGAACGAGCCGCCCCAGAGTTTCTGGAACCACTCTCCGTAGCAGGCCTTCACACGCTCCTTCTGCTCTTCACACTCGGCAAATACTTCCATCTTCATATTGTGGGTATCAACGGGAACAAGATTTTACTAATGAGCATTGGAAGAAACACAAACTTGGAGAAACATGAGAAGCGACGTGATTAGGGACACGGCGACGAGAGTCGCGCTACACATATAGATTTCCGGCTTTTTTCACTACCTGTACGGGCTAATACTGGCTGCCTGACATATAACGTAAAGATTCCTCCCGGTATCATCTAAAACGCCTCCACCTTTGAAACCGTGCCAAGATAGTGTCAACCAACATGACAACGACGACATCCTCTTCTCCTTCTTCATGCTTCTATTGTCGCTGAAACCTCCATGAAACGATCTCACAAGTTTCGCATTGTCCATTAATCAATCCGTCGCTTTTGTTGAGATACGTAGACTCTGGAGGATTTTGTAACAACCTTTTAAACCATTGTGTAAGCTTCGATACCGTTTGATCCTTACCATGCGTCGTGATATTAATCACTTATTGGTTTGGAAGGGGGTTTAGGTTGTTGCAAAATCTCTCCGTAAACATATCACAACCTAGATATCACCAAGGACGGCGCCAACAAGAGCGACAGATTGATTAATGGACAGTGCGAAACTTGTGAGATCGTTTCATGGAGGTTTCAGCGACAATAGAAGCATGAAGAAGGAGAAGAGGATGTCGTCGTTGTTATGTTGGTTGACACTATCTTGGCACGGTTTCAAAGGTGGAGGCGTTTTAGATGATACCGGGAGGAATCTTGACGTTATATGTCAGGCAGCCAGTATTAGCCCGTACAGGTAGTGAAAAAAGCACGTGATTGCCGTTGCAATACATGCTCCTCAATAGATGTCAGTAGCGCGACTCTCATCGCCGTGTCCCTAATCACGTCGCTTCTCATGTTTCTCCAAGGTTGTGCTTCTTCCAATGCTCATTAGTAAAATCTTGTTCCCGTTGATACCCACAATATAAAGATGGAAGTATTTGCCGAGTGTGAAGAGCAGAAGGAGCGTGTGAAGGCCTGCTACGGAGAGTGGTTCCAGAAACTCTGGGGCGGCTCGTTCGACCAAGCCAGCTGCGAGCGGGACACACAGGATTTCCGTCATTGTGTGCAAGATGCAATGAAGCGTCGTAAGGAGGAAGCAAAGAGCAAGTGGAACGACAATGACAATAGCTGGATGGACCGCGCTAAGGAACAGGCGGATGATTTTGCATCTGATGCTAAGTCTCAAGCGCGTCATGCAGGGAATCGCTCTCAAAATGAGAAGGAGAACGCCAAGAGCAAAGTAAAGGATACGGCATCGGATGCGAGAAGCAGAGCACAGGACACGGCCTCAAATGCCAGGAACAAAATCCAGGACACGGCATCAGATGCGAGGAATAGAATGCAAGACGCGGCGTCAGATACCCGAAGCAAGGCCCAGGATATGACTTCAAATGCCAGGAGCACCGTCCAAGACACGGCCTCGGATGCAAAAAAGAAGGTGAATGATACCGTTTCAAACGTAGCATCCAAGGTGCAGGAGACGGCTGACTCGTGGGCGGACAAGATCAAGGGCCTTGCAAAGTAGTCGCATGTACAAGAAGTATGCCAGTGGCGTTGAAAAGCGTCAAAAATGCTGCTTCTAGACAGTGGCTCTGGAATTGCTACCCTCATGGCTCTGGTTGCTACACTACATTTCTTTTCTTCATTGACAGACTCACTTTGATGTCATGCTTCATAAAGCTTTCAATATGTATTCTCCAATAGTTCTAAATGAGTGAAGGCTTGAGGTCATTAAGTGTCTGGATGCAAAAGCGCAGCTTTTACCTTCATTCTCTATTCATTCAGTGCATTTTTGCGTGTCACTTTTGTACACTTGTCTTCATTGACCGGCAGTATTCAGCTCATACTCTTTTATATCATTTGCTGACCGACGAATCATGAACAACACACGTCGCATCATTGAGGTATCACAAGGTCGTGCGTGATATCGCATCAATCAACCTGTGACTGTTCACGATCGTGTTCGTGGAGCTATTGAGAGGTTATCTGTTTAAAGCGTATTATTTTCGGCAGATTCGTTTGTATGCAGACATTTTGAACCAATCACTCTCGTCTGAGGGAACAACCAGCTAAGGTGATTGAGTGCGCAATGGAAACGTGTGTTTACATTTGAAAATGAAGGTACGTTTGCATTCTTGAGTGGTGGTTTGCAAACGCATTTCAGCAGCACAAGTCCACGAGTCATTTTTGTAATTTATATTGACCGAAAAATCGACAGATGCACCAGGTGGTTGAAATCGTTGATATTTGCAATCAAATCAACACGCCTAAGCTCGTGTAAACACGGCGTAATGCTAACGTTAGTGGGCACCAGATCAGACGGACGTACCATACTTATCTGGGTAGATTCAGTATCCAGACGATTAAACACGGAAAAGATGCCTTCCAAATTCGCTCCATGACTCTTTATTACCAAAATTACCTGCTTCTCATTCGTTGTTGACGAATGTTTCGTCACTATCACTCTAAAAGCTTTAATTGTAATAACGACGCTCAAACGGAGGTATTACGCCCGCAAAAAGACTGACGGTGAAAGCCATTTACTTTGGTCGCACTAGAAGTTTCCCTGGCGCAAACAGTGAAGATACAGCAGTTCCTACGTTCTTTAGTACTGGAGTCGCAGGATCAACTTGCACCTAATTTTACCTTGTTTGACGTGGCCTACATCTAAATAGTTCGTATCCCCCAACTCCACTTTTCCGATGTCGATGGTCCGGGGTAATGGCGGATCAGAATGATGACTTTTCGCCTGTCTCAAGAAGTCGCCATGATGCATCACCAATTTGTGACTGCCATGCTAAACGGTTGCTCGGAGGGGTCCATTGCTTTTAAATTTGGTGACGCGCAGTCTGGAGATTACCAAACCGTCTACAACGGCAGTCGGCCATTCTGGCTATCCGAAGAAGCAGGACGGTATCGTCCTGGGCATCGGCTGTAACGGCATCAACGACGGCTCTGGTGTAAGATTCAAAGGAGCTGTTGTGAATGTATACAGCCGTCTTCCCCACGCCACACACTCTTCACGTTGCACCGCTGAACGCTTGCCTTACTTCTGGTCTCACTGCAGCAGAGAACGCTAAGTTCTTATAATGACGCTGGCGCCCTACTGCTTTGGACCCTCCGCCGTTCACGCAAGCTTCTCTATGAAAGGTACCGTCTCGGGCATGATTGAAGAAACACGGCAGGATCTGGGCCGCTCACGACAGCACCATGCCGTTTGACGCAGACCAGCACTGGGATTGATTGAAATTTGATGGAGACATACCTTTGCTGGAGGTGAAAACTGACGGACTCTGGGCTGTTTATAGCTGCAATCTGAGGACACTGTACCTGTCTTTGAGGCACGCCTTATTATTACCCACGTATTCTAACGACAGCTTGGTGGTATACCGCAACTGTCTGCCCTTGAAAATGATCAATCCAAAAAAAGCCTTTTGTAGTGGGCACTCATCGTGGAACTTGTAATTGTCATACTTGAGAAACTCATAATTTGTATTCACTGTTTACTGCTATGTCCGTAGTCTAGATAAAAACGCTGGTGCCAAAGGGCGAGACGTTGTATCAAGGCACTCGTCATGTGGAACGCAAAACGGTGGACTCTCTCAGTGAGCAGGTAAGAACCTCGATGTACGCGTGCAGTATGGCGTCGCAGATGACAGCGTTTTCCTTGCGGTGGTTGCGTCTGAGCGACGGCTTCGAGTTACCTGATTGCCTCAGTCCAGAAGGCCACTATCCCTTCCCTGTGCCATCATCCGTTCGCCGCGGGAAGACACGATCGAAATGCTACTACCAAAGGCTTGCGGTCGCGACCGGTCAGAGGAACGTCCGAAATTGAGCCCAATCAACAGCAAAGCCATCCGGTTTGTTAGGGAACCGTTGGGTTACGAACGACGGATATAGGACGAGAAGAGCGGCTTCGTTCGAGCCGCACATGCACGTTTCC